CACTTGTTCATTGTGTGGAGGTATGCTTATGCTTGTATGTGTGCGCATGCGTGTGCACGCAGGCGTGAGAAAACAAGTCAGTTCCTTCCTCCCAGGATTAATCACAGATTGCAGGGCTTGATGATATGCACCTTTACCTGCTGAACCATCTCGTCAGTTCAAGAAATAAACATTTCTAAAAATGTGGACATCTTAACTCTTTACTCCAAACCTGACTGCACTTAAAGATTATGATTACAAAGCATTCTGAAGAGGACAACTATTTACATGCACACCCAGTATGCTCATAAGCCCACTCTATCCAACCTGCCGCATCTTTTCAATGAGAATCTCTTACAACAGTTGGGGCTTAACGATGTCTCCCTCCCGTGATTCTGCAGTTTACATGGTAAATCAATGAGGAAACAAGCAGGGAGAATATGGAAGCAAAGCTGTTGCCTCAGCCCATTCGCATTCCCAGGAGGGCAAATGAGCAGTGAGGGGAAGAATCTGAAGCTCGGCAAGAAAAGACAGTCAGGATGTCACTCTACCCAAGGCCCCCCATAAATGAAACTTTTGATACCCTGCAAGCTACTACAACTTAGTACAAAAACACAAAGTTTTATTCACAACTTCTACAGAAAATGCTTTACAGTGTCACACAGACCGACTATCAACCTGGTCAAGTTGGGAAAGAAACTTTCCCTCTACCAACTTGGGTTTGAGGGCTCTGGGATCTCTGAATTGGCAACAGATAGGAGCTCACTGCCTGGGAAGGAGGGAGTGGCTCCTTAAAGGGCCTGGGATCAAACAGGGGGGAGTTACATACCAGCAAAAACTTCAGAAGGTAAGCAGGGGCATTTCTAATAAGGCTCCTTTGCAAACTCTTCCGAATCTAACAGTTTTAAACATCAGTCATTTCCCTGTCTGGAAATCTGCAAGGAGCCTGTGAGAGCAAAATTCCACAGCCTGCTTTGTGTCACGTGAGGCAGATGACTGTGTCCAGCGTTTTCAGTTCAAAATCATTTTATGACTTGCTGGTGGGTAGGTGGTCCCTTCTATTCAAAATAGCACATGAAGCTCTTCACAGAGCTTGCTATGGAGAGAAGCAATCTACACAAGGAAAACAAAAGCCTAAACACACTGTCCCATAATCCCCTGAGCAAGTCAGTACACTGCATGACTGTGTCTCAATTCTCTGATGTCGGATAGGAAATGGAAACTGTTATGGAAAATTATTTTAAGGTGTGTTACTTTTGTTTATGTTGTATTTAACTCTGTGAAGCTGTGTTCAAACACTGGCTGAAGAGCCAATAGCAAGGCAGGAGAGAGAAACAGGCAGGCAGAGGATAAATATGAGGAGAAATCTGAGAGAGAAAAAAAGATCTGGAAATGAAAGAGGAAAAAGGAGGTCAAAGAATTTTCCGGGGGGGGGAGGGGGAGAGAAGAGAGACTATAAGGAAAGAAAGGAGAGAAATCTATAGACTTACGGCCTTGGACAAAGTTGCCTATTTCAGGGTGGCTGGTGTGAATCGAGGCCCGTTACAGTGACAGTACTTTCTTCTAACAGCTATACAGTATCCTAGTCCGCTGGCCAAAAGGTACAGGCCTCTGTCAGATGGGGAAGGCCTTGTCCTTGAAGTATTGTACGTGAATGGCATCTGTTGGTTTCCATATATACCTGAGTGTATTAAATCATTTACCCAAATCCCCATAATAGTCACTATCTAATATAGAAATAAAAGTTTAGAGATACCAAAGGCATAAAGCAGTCAAAATTATTTCAAAAGTGGTCTGTATGGCTCAGCAGTTAAGAGCACTGACTGCTCTTCCAAAGGTCCCAAGTCAATTCCCAGCAACCACATAGTTGCTCACAACTGATGTGAGATTCCCCTCTGTATGCTGTGAATATGTTTTATTACCACTGGTTAATGAAGGAGCTGCTTTGGCCTATGGCAGGGCAGAACAGAGCTAGGCGGGAAAACTAAATGCAGAAAGAAAGAAGATGGAGTCTGGCAATTATATTTACAGGTAGGCTACAGCCTCATGGTGATACACAGATTAATAGAAATGGTTAATTTAAGATGTAAGAGCTAGCTAGGAATATGCTTAAGCTACTGACCAAACAGTATTATAATTAATATAGCTTCTATGTGATTATTCAGGTCTGGGCAGGTGGGAAACCAAGAGTAGTCTCAGTTTACACACAACTATCTGTAATGAGATTTGGCACCCTCTTGAAGAAGAGACCTGGTCAGCTGTCCTCATCAATTTAGACCATGAAACCCAATATGGGCAAGTTCAACAGAACTGCCATACACAGGCTGCTGATGCATGCTTCAGCATTGCCAGGGCATAAATTTCATTCATTTCTCTAGAGGAACAGAACCAAAAAAGGCATTGCACTAAATCATATGACTATTGTGCAAGTATACACACACACACACACACACACACACACACACACACACACGGCATTTATTAGCTTGGCTTGTGGGCTCTGGTCCAGCTAGTCCAACAATGGCTATCTACCGCAGGGTTGGTAGGCTTTAATGCCAGTGGAGGAATAGATTGGCCAGCCAGAGTGAGTGCAAGAGAGCGAGCTTCCTCCTTCCCTGTCATTTATACAGGCTCTCACCAGATGAAAGGTGGATCTTCTTACCTCAAAAGATCCAGATTAAAAGTGGGTCTTCCCAATTCAAATCATTTAATTAAAAAAAACTCTCAAAGGTGTGCCAGCTGCTCGGTTTTATGTTGATTCCAGGTGTAGTCAAGCTGACAACCATGAATAGCTATCACAGGTGTAGTCAAGCTGACAACCACGAATAACTATCACAGGGTCAAACCATATCTCCTACTCGGGGTATTTAGATGTTTGGAAGAGTTGGCATAATAATTCTGCAATTTCAAGTCCTTGACTGATTTTTCCTAGAGTTTTATTGCTTTGTCCTGCAGTGCTGCCCTTGGGGGAGGGAGCGAGCAGGCTCGGGGTCAACAGCATGGGCTCTGGCAGACAAGCTGAATGCAGCAGGCTAGTTCACTCAGGAAGGGGAAAGCCTCATATACCCTCCTCTCCCCCGCCCGAGGAAGGGGAAGCAGCAGCAATTGGCACCAGGCCATCTGTCATGGCGGCTGGGGACTTCAGGTCCTCCTGTCTCGTGGCTCAGCAGCTGTTGCCGGGGCCCCTGGCAGACCTAGGTTGGCTCATTTTTTGGGAAGTAAACATGCCACAGGTTCAGATAGTCAGTTTAGTCTGGTTTAGGCCGGTTTAGGCCTGCTGACCCCACCCCCACCCCCACCCCGAGTTCTTTTTAAATGCACACAGAGAGGCGTCAGAGAACCTGAAGGAGTGGGTTCTCTCCTTCCACCATGGGGAATTCTGGGATGGAATTCAGGTCTCTAGGGTTGACAGCAAGTACCATAGCACTGACAGGCATGCACTTGCATTTCAAGACACAAGAGGCCTTAAATGGCCTAACGAGAATTTCTTCTACACTCTCTGCTGACTGGAAAAGATTCCAATCAACCCTCTTCAAGGAGCTGAGGTATTCTTGAGTCAGAAGTTCCTAATCCTTACTCTAAAACAAGTTGAAAACAGACTTCAAAAGTTGGCTGGGAAAGGGAGAATCCATTCACCTCAGCAATCTGGTCTGTGGGAGTCTATCCTTACTCCAAGAGATAATCACACATACATGCACATAGAGGCAGGACTGAGTAGACTCAGTGGGTCTAAAAAGAGAAAACATGAAATTGAGAAGAAAGATGTGGGGAGGGGAATGGGGAAGGGGCAAGAAAGAGGAGGAAGATTTGATCAAAGATTTCATTATATGAATGTATGAAATTCTAAAACAACAAAAACAACCCATTAGAAACAAAGAGAATGAGATTATAAATCTGATCTACTTCCTGTGTCTCCCAGTGCATTAGCTCTGGTTATCCCCCAAATGGGGAATAACTGGTTGTCCTGATGATACCCGATCACTGTGTGGAGCGAACACAGCAAGCTCCTACTCCATCTCCCAGTTCAAAAAATCCATTTAACATATTCTCTTGAATAGAGGTATCAGATATTAAACTGATCAGAACAGATACCACACTTGTGATGACATGGATGAACCTGGAGAAGTTTGTACGTAAGCCAGGACAGTCACAACATAACCCATATGCGGTGGCTTGAGTAGTCACTCTTACAGAGCAAATGGGGGACGAGTGTGCTTCACACCAACGCTGAATTTTAACTTAAAATCGTTTTAGATGGTAAATTTTGTTCTACATTTCTTATTACAACATACAATTGCTAAGACAAAATTAAAGACTCCTTAATTTTTTTCCTTAAGCACTGACCCAGGAATTTCCTAATTTCTAGCATGAAAGATTTCGGGTTACTGAAGACTAGAAGCTACTGTGTCTCTTCCCTGTCATTTACTGTCTTAATCCCACAAGAGCGGAGTCAGGGCCTGAGCTGTCATTCCTTTTCCCCACACAGCCTAGTCGCAGCCTTCTCGGGGCACACTCTGTGCAAGCCTTTCCACCCCGTCACTCTCGGCTTCTCGGGGCACACTCTGTGCAGGCCTTGCTTCTCAGGGCACACTCTGTGCAGGCCTTTCCAACCCGTCACCCTCGGCTTTGCCCTCCTGAGCCCAGGCAGAAGTGGGCCTCGTGGCCTTGGGACCACAACTGTGGCAACACGGAGGTGAGTTCGGTGTCAGCTGGAACAGTATTTACCTTCAAGTCCACGGCAGAAAGTAATGAACGTGGAGTCCCACCCACCCCACAATTTGCAGATCCTGTACAGAAAAGGGCTTCCCTGCTCTATCAAGAAAATGAAAAAACAGGAAGAATTGAAAAACCCATAGGGCCATGCCCATTATTGATCAAAATGCAAAACTAAATTCTACTGGAAACAAAAGGGAAAAGAATAAAAAAAAAGGGAGAGAACAAAAGCAACACAGGCACGCAGAACTTCCTCTCACTTACTTGACTTCTTCAAACAGATCCAAAACTCAGAAGAGTATGTAAATTCCAGTTTATTGTAGGTCCTCTTTATTTACAGTTCAAGTCTCTAAAAGGCTAGGGTTATCTTTAAATAATATGTCAATCATATAAAACAGTTGGAAACAAGGTTAGAGAAATATATACATTTCAATACACTAAGTACTTTTAATATTGAGTTTTTCATATTAAATTAGGAGGCTACTGTGATTTACAATGTTATTTCTTCTGGTTTAAAACCTGTTGAAAGACATTATGTACATCTTCCTTTATAAAACTGACAACGCAGCATTAACAAAACTGCTCATGATTATAATTTTCATTTTTTCCTATAATACACTGCACCCATTACAAAAACAACCAAAAAATGGAGAAAAAAGGCATTGCACTAGATATTTTGAATACTGCATAAGTCACTTTGAGAGCATGAATGTTCTGGTCAGACTTCACCAGGATCACTGGCAACGGTTTTCACACTGGAAACTCAGCTAACTTTCTACAGGCTAATAACTCTCCTTGGCATTTCCAAAAAGCCCACTGCTGATAGATAAAAGGCCAAAACAGTCAGTCACAAAGCTGTCGCACGAGCCAATGCTGATCTGAATGACCCTGTTATTTATACTGATGCTTAGATTTCTGTAGGACTTAAGAACCCATAAAGCACACAGTAGACTACAAAGGGGCTCACAACAGCTCACTTCTCCTTTCTTCCCTCAGGCAGAGAAAAAAAAAATTAAGCCTCTTCTAATTTTTAAACAAAATTTTATAGTATCAAAAAGCTTCACATTTATAAATAAGTTTTTTATACAAAGCAACATGTTAACATAATTCTCTCATGTTACTATCAGTTACTTTGGAATTCATTTTATAGTCTGAGCATGAGATTTCTTCCTTATTCACAGCTTTTCAACATTAAAAATTCTTTGGGCCATGAAAGGAAGTTCAGGAGGAAATCATTCATTCAATTGAAAGCATTTGGAAATACTGCATAAACATACATATCCATGGCAGCGGCTGAATGCAAGCAGCCGGGAGTCACACACTTGCATCTCGCAAGACAGATCAATTCTGCAATTCCCCTTCATTAACACCAGCCAAACATTCATTTTAAAAAGACAAGTCAAGCTTTCAAAGCAACAATCTTGCCTTAGAAAGTTTAGTTACCAAAATACCAGAGGCAACAATACTTTAAAAAGCAAAATTGCTTTTCAAGTCAGGGGCAAGAGAGGATGGACCCACCAATTCTCCTGTCAGGGGTTACTGCCCTCCCTGGAGCTCAGCTATGTGCACTGAACTGAAACCAAAAAGAAAAACAGAAACAACCACACACAGCAGGGAAAGGCATCAGTATAGTCCCAGAGGAAGTGGGGAAGACATACAGCCCTAACCAAGCGGACAGAAAGAATGAACAGAGCTGGCATTTCAAACCAGACACAAAAGCCTTTGTTTCTGGATGCACAGAAGTAGCATACAACACAATCTTCGTGTCTGTACAACTCCTTTACTGACATTTAACATCACAACTAGACTCTCCAGTGTTTGGTCCACCTTCACAAGGAGCAGACACAAGACTGAGAGGCTGAGGCTTAACATCGGGTGGACATACATCCTTATTCAACTGCTATGAATTCAAAACTAAAGCTCTCAATAAACAAATAGCTAGCTACCACTTCACTCTCTGCAGTAAACTTGTCAAGCGTGTGCCTAGTTCAGGTGCAGACTATTCTATGTAGCACAATACATCCAGCCTCTTTTTTTTCTCTGAATATTGATGTGCTATTAGAGGAAGTTTGAAAAAATTGAATTACAACTTCATAAATGTCCAAATATCCTTGTCACATAAAAGCCAAGAGGAAATGTTCACATATTTTTTATTATTTTCTGGGGTGAAAGCATCTCATAGTTCAGGATTCCTAGTCACTTAGACAAGACTGCTGGTTAGTAACATGGTCCTTAAATAGGAATAACTTCACCTCTCAGCATTTTCTCAGCAGCACTGATCAGAGTGATAAAAACTTAAAAGTGAGAATACCCACAGTGAAACCTTTTAACTTTATAGATCTCACTAAACTGCTAACAGTGTTGAAAGATACTTTACCACTATAAAACAAAACAAAACAATTATTCCTTCTCATTCAGTTTTTTAGATTGGGTCTAATCTATCTTTTACTATCAAAAAATCCTTCATTATTAATTATTCAGTTTGGGATTCAGTGACTACAATTCATTTCCTGTTCATTCTGTTTCCCCAAAATTAGAGAAAAATCCAGACTATAAATGCACATGCAGGTTAAGTGCTGTTTGGCACATTACACAAAAGTCTTAAACAAGCACCTTAAAGTGCTCTAAGAAAGAAAGGCTTTAAAGCTAATGGTTATAGGCTCTTACCACCCGCAAAAAGATAGATGATAAAGCCTCAAATACAATTAAAAACAAGGTGAGCTGGAGAATACAGAGTATGACAGGATTCCCAGTTTAATCAAATTCCTAATAAAGCAAGCACCAATCTTGGCAATTAGTGGAGTAAATAAGAACTTTCCTAAATATTTCAGAAATTATAAGTACACACATAGGAAACATAAAATGAACTAAGCAAGTCTATAAGTCTCAAGGAAAAAGTGTCAAATGTGATGTCAGAGAGGCACAGTCTACCAGACAGCTACAATCGATCAGAGAGACAAGGTCTACCAGACAGTCACAGTCTACCAGACAGAGCTTTTCTTTAAGCAATTGAGTTAGTAAACATGACAACTCAATTTCTTCCCCTACACACGCATCTCCAATCACAGCCCCTGGAGAAGAACCTGTATTTAACTCTGTAGAGTTTCCCGCTTTACAGGCAGCTAATTTCAAGTAGCAGAAGCAAAATACAATTCACAGAGCTTTTACCCTGCAGTTATCAACAGTCTAAAGAAAGTCTATGGGCAATCACAGAACTGAAAGGTCTTTGTGTTCAGTGATAGACGAGACAAAGAAATAAACATGTCATACAGCTGGGTCTCTTGCTCAGATCCACGTTCCTTCACAGTCTACTTCAAATCATCTGCAGAATTTCAGCAATTCAGATCCAACCCTGTCCAGTGGTCCGGCACCATAAGGAAATATTTGTCCATTGCTTCACAAAATCTAGTCCTATACAACTCTGGAGAGACCACAGTTGGCATTTTACCTAAGATAATGAAAAACAAAGGGAGGAATTAAAAAATTAAGTGTATGAGCATATAAAAAAAATCAATCAGGCAACTGAATTAACAACCATGAACTGCTATATGCCAAAGCACTCAGGGTATCTGCTCTGATATCTGCCACAGGTAGAGTCTTTCTCAGATATGAGTTCTTCTCCTCTTAAGAGAACAGATACCTAATACTCAGGAATGAACTAGAGAGTCTAGAAGATACCAACTATTAATAAAGGTCAATCCTTTATTCAGAATCTCTAGCTTTTAAAAAACTTCTTGCTTTGAAAAAAATGTCATAAATCCAGTATTTCCCTACTTACATACATCTTCACATTAAAGTCATTTTAGAAAAATCAAAGATATCCACATTAATTTTTTGTTTTACTTTGCATGTAGAGGAGGGTCTTCCATACCCAAAGCTGGCCCTGAACTCAAGATGCTCATACCTCAGACTCCAAAGCACTGGAATTACACCACCATGCCTGGTAACCATGTTTCTTAAGTATCCAAGGAATATGTGAGGACAGTTCAAATAGTAAACAAAGTAACATTTTCTCACCTTGTCCTCCTAAAATTCCTGTTGACTTCACAACCATCTCAAGCTTTTTGTCCCATGTAAATGTTCGAATATAATCTAGGGACGGAAAGAGGGAAACACGAGCGGAAGAGCTGTTGTGAGCGTAAGCCAGAACAGTAGCAATGCCTGTTCCAATTTCTACGGCACCGCTGCTAGTGCTGTCCAAAGAGTTGTCCCCACATTACTCTGGTTGATTCTTACAGCCATGACACAGAGCCTCCTTTTCAGGCGATTGTCATTACCTTTTAATTCATATATTTTTGGAAATGAAGAAACTGAATAGAACAGACTAGAATGAAAACTTGTTTGTTAACTTTGAAATTATAAATGAAAGCTTCCAAAAGTATTCAGTAATTATGATATTAAGCCAGTTCAGCAGGCTCTCTGAAATTTTACTCCATTTTTAACCACAAGCTATAAACAGGGTACAATTATTGACTTACCTATGATTCCAACTACCAGCTCATTGCTAGTGTCATCTCGACCAACCAGCAAAGAATAGTCTATAATGAGGTGGCTTGAAAGGAAATGGGCGTCACTATGGATGGAGGTTCTCAGCACAGATTTGGAATGGGAACGAATATACAGAGGGTTGTCACGAACCATCTTTAGGAGGTTCTCATCCAGCAGAACTACATCACAACTCTCTTTCCCAGTGTCAGTTTTTACATTTCGATTCCTAAGTGAACCTTTCAAATCAAAAACCTACCAAAACAAAAATTCTTTATTATTTATATGCAAATTTGCCACTACAATTAATTAGTGCAATTAAAAGACAAAAGATTCCTTGTAGTTACGATCATAAATGCCCTTCTAAATTTTATTTCAAAATTTAACTTTATTATAACTATAACTAATTTAATTATATATTTAGTTATATAAAATATAACTAATTTAATTTATATGTATACAGTGATATAATTATGTAATACAAAAAGTACATGGTATATAATACATTAAATTCATGGTGACACAATTATACCCAGTGTAGCTCAGTCTGTGTTCTCAGACAAGGACATTCTCAGTGACACACTGTCTTCACACTAGAAGGAGGTCAGGGCGCAGCATCTCAGAGAGCACTATGAAGTCTAGACTAGGTGCCTAGTCAGCGGCAGCAGGCAGGAGTGTCACTCTCACAACATCTAGACCAACATGAAGTCTAAAAACAGCCAAGTGACTGACAGGTGCTCAATCTCTGTAGGGCTCAGCTAATTCTATTTTAAAGTTAAGACGGTAGGAGGGCATCTGTCTTCTTAGTCCACCCACTACCTGATTCTAAAATATGAAATGTTAAATTTTAAAATGAGATATATACCAACTTTTCCTTCTTCCAAAAGTAAGTCAAATGTGCACTACTGACTTAACATACGATGTCCTCACAGTCAAATGTGCACTACTGACTAACAGACGATGTCCTCACCTGTGCCATCTTTCTCCCATAGAACAGATTTTCCATGACAAGGAGATCTAACTTCTTCTCAGTGTTGTTTTGAGAGTTCTTATAACCAATTCTGTAAACTCCAAGTATTTTGGCCAAAGCAGTAGGCCTCTAGTCAAAAAGAGATCAAAATAAACTATTACCAAAATAAGATTATCTCTAAGTCATATAATATCTGGTTTGTCCATGTAATAGCCAAGAACGGTTTTCTACTAATATACCAGGAGTAGGTACTTGAAATTCTTCAATGTCAGAAGTTGCATGCCAGTAACAATAGTAGATCCTTAAATTATACAACAGGATAGCTAGTCCTTCACGGCTGTTCAAATTCAAAAACTTTATCATCACATGAACATTATTTACCCTAATAATCTGCAATACATTATTACTTGACAACAACCATAAAACCCTTCATAATTCCTTCATTAAATATTCACGGTCACTGATCAATGACAAGTGAGCAAACCCAAGCTACTGTTTTGCTATAAGGAAAGTACCTCCTCATTACTCAACAAAAATACTATGTCTTTAAATGGACACCTAATAGTCTCATATTTTATATTAACTTACATATGTATGTAGGTATGTACACACCAACCAAAAGCTAATTGTTTAAGGTTACAGGGTTCCTCAATGGCAGAGGTAGGGAAAACAGATATCTAAAGACTCTGCATTCCTTCACATCACAGTAGAATAAAAGATTCCAGGCACACCCAGCTCTTATCTTTCCACAGAGAAAGCTTTTTGAAGCCCAATGCACTGTAACTGCAAACAAGATTCAGGATTTCTACCTTTTGCTGGACAGCATTTGTGATGTAGTTGAAGTAGTGTGGCGCAAAGTCCAGGAAAGACTGAACTTCCAGACGAGGCATCTGCTTCAGAATGAATCTATCATCTACAGGAAGAAATCCACATTTATTCATCACAATACATATTGTCTGCTATAAAATGAAAGAGCAATCACTCCAGAGAACACAAATCACTTGTTTATTTTCTGTTTCGAGGTTTTTTTAACCACACTCTGAAAATTTTGATCAGAGAGCAATTACCAAGTAATTAAAATATTCAGAGTCCTAAGGATTATATGGACTAAAAACACCCACTACTCAAATCTACCCTCAAATCTAAATTCATAGCATAAATTCATTTATTTACTTTTTATAACTCTCAAAGAATGCTTATTAACTCCACTGCTACTTCAATAACTCTTGAAAGTCATTAAAGTTTTTATGAAGTCACAAATCTACACTGTCTTCAATAATTTTGTGTTCGGTGAGTATTATGTTATTAGGTAAGCCTGTATAGGAAAGAACTTGGCCTTTGTATATTCTGGCCAAACATCTCTACTGTTCCTTTTCTATCATCAGTTCTATGGCACCCAACTGAGTTTCCCCCAGGCTGTTTGCTGTGGTCTGAATCTGAGATATCCCCCACCAGCCCCATGCTTTCAAGCTTGTTCAGTCCGCTGACCCTGCTACGGAAGGGGTGAGGCTTTAGGAGGCAGGCCCAGCTGGAAACAGAGAAAGACTTTTCTTCTACCCCAGCCTCACTTTCTGCCTCCTGTCTGTGATGATGTGAATGGCTAGCAGCCACCACATGCTCCCTCTGCCAACCACTCAGGAGCTGAACATGAACTGAAATAAATCTGCCCTCCCTTAGGCTGTGTCTGCCAGGCATCTGGAGTGTAGTTATAGACAATAACCAATGGAGTTTCCACATAGATCTGAAAACTCAGACCATGTCTCAGCCTATATAGTCTTTGAAGATGTTACTACTCTTCTCAGGAACAGAAAGAACCTAGAGGACTTTGTTTGCCAACAGTGAATATATAATGCCCACTTCAAGTGTGTCGTAAACCATCTCAAGGCAAAGAACAGCAAATGTTTGCACTAGTGAGTAAACAGAATTACCTTCCGTGGCGTAGAATGCAGCTCCTGACTTGCCTCCCCGGGCCTGCCAGGGTGAGGAGTGAGAAAGGGAGCGTATGAAATCTTCCTCACTGCTCCCCAGAACCACCTCCCGCATCTTATGAAACTCTCCCGCGTAGTACAGCCGACAGTAAAACTTGGCATTTGCATCCGAAAATTCTACAGAGTTGAAAAGATTAAAAAGAAAAAAGGATATAAACAGAAAATTTCTTACCTCTCCAAGTACCAAACATAATGAAGTACAAATCTGGCCAATCACAACTGTGTTGTGTCAAGCTTCATCTATGGGAATACCATCTGACCATCGACTGCGCTCTGCTCTGCTTTTACACGGGGACTGTATTTTCTTCACTGCATCTCTAAAGCAGTTCTTAAACGTCAGCTCTCATGAGCACATAGCCATATGGCAGTGAGGACTGAAACCAGGGCAAAACATGCTGGGCGAGCATGTCATCCCCACCCCAAATAAACACCAATGATGTCAAGCTCTGCGCCTCTCAACTACATAGTAAGAAAATATTTCAACTTTAGAAATTAAAGTATAATTTATTATAAATTACAATTTAAATAAAGAAAATAAATAATACAGATTTTATAAATTGAAAACTCATACCAATCCCTAACATTCATTTAAAAGAAAATCAGGACATTTATCTAGAATGAAGTTACACATCTTAGTTAGACAAAATGTTAACTGCACACTTACGAAGTTCCACATGAGGATTTGTGAGTTGTTTTTTCTGTGTGTCTCCTCCATCTACCTCATCTAAAAGATTCAATATCATTTATAAAAGCAAAGCATTAGACTTCATTTTGTCCTTTTTCCAAATATAGCAACAAAAGTTAGCAGATTAATAATATAAATATCCTAATCAAATCACTATAAAATATGCATTAGACAGACAAATTATGTAAATGACTACAATAAAAATGCATGCTCTATCCTGGGATTTAAATATTTCCGATTGGATCACTTTTCTTACATATAAGTGATTTCTGTGACAGCAATAAAGTAAACTCAAGCTTTTACACCAAGAATTCCCAAGGCTCTTCACCCCTGTTTACGAAAGATTTTTTTCTAGGCGCATATATATATGCTTCTTTGATATATTAAAGTCTTTTCTTTTTTTGCATTAGACTCATCTTTCTGGCCAGAACCACTATGTTTACTTTAGTATTCAGGCGTCTGTAAGGCCTGACCTTGGGGTATACGTCCTCAGCTGCAGCCACTATAGGCATCTCCTGTGCACATTTACTGCACTCCCTTTAAAAAAGGGCCCTGCCCACCTCCCGTCTTGCCCTCTTTCTCTCTGTCTCTGTCTGTCTCTCTGCTCTCTCTTCTCTTCTGCTAATACTGTCCCCAGAAGCTGGTCTCCCCGTCCCCTGCCTTCTTTCCCATCCACTGTCCCCCAACAGAATATCCCTCCCTCCACCTGAGTTCTCTCTCACGCCACTTTTTTTTTTTAATTACAACATTTACTATAAATACGAAACACATCCTAAAGTCTAAAAGAACAAACCATCCCCTAAGTCTCACATTTCAGAACCATTTATTAGGCTTCATATCCCTTCATATCCCTCCAAGGAGCACAGTACAGACACCTACAGACCAGCAGTAACATACAGAATATTAAACATGTAAAAACAATTTATCAGTTGCTATGTTTTTGTTTTGTTTTTCTTAGTTTTGAAATAGGGTGACCTAAACTGGCCATGAACTTAAAATCCTCCTGCCTCAGCCTCCTGAGTGCTAGGATTATATCTGTATACCACCAAGTCAATCTGCAGTTTTGATTTTTTTCTTTTTTATATACAATATATGTTGATCACATTCTTTTCCTTACCCCAACTCCTCCCTACCCACCTGACTTCAGCTCTCATGTTCTTGCCCTCTTTCTCAAAAAGGAAAAAAAAAAAAAGACATGAAAGTCAAAACAAAAATCTAAGAAGACAAAAAAATCCTAAGAGAAAATATGCACACATACAAAAACAAAACAAGCCGGGCGGTGGTGGAGCACGCCTTTAATCCCAGCACTTGGGAGGCAGAGGCAGGCGGATCTCTGTGAGTTCGAGACCAGCCTGGTCTACAGAGCTAGTTCCAGGACAGACTCCAAAGCCACAGAGAAATCCTGTCTCAAAAAACCAAAAAAAAAAAAAAACAAAGAGTCTGTAATCTGCTTTCTGTTGGCCAATTACTCTTGGGCATGGGGCCTGCCCTAGTATGTGGGTGATAAACCCAGAGACACTCCATTGGCAAGAACTGATTTTCCTTTCCCAGCAGGAATCAATGACTAACAGTTTGTTGGCTAGGAAATAAACAGCCATCTTACAGGACTGGGAAAGAAGAAAGCATGTGGAGGAGATAATGGGTAATGAAAAGATGAATCCATGTTATGAATTATGTTTACATGTATAATGCCACTGAGCCCTTAGAAGACTTTGCTTTTGCTTCTTTATAGGTATGGACACTAAAGTTTTCTGATTCTAGCACACAAAAAATAACATTGCAGACCTCTGAAGCCAAATGAACTCTTCAAGTATCATGCTGTTCCTGGTCTATTACACAAAACTGAAGAAAATAAATGAAGACTAAAAATAAGCCATGCACCCCACTTAGCATACCTTGAGGCTCCCCGCCTTGGCTCTCCGTCCCCTCTTTGCCGGTCTGCCCCACCTGGTAGTAAGCACTGTCAGCCCCACGTAAAGTCTCCCTCTTCTGAGAAGAGAGATCAGGGCTCCTCCCTGACGTTCCTCTGAAGAAGGACAACATTCCTGAAGCTTTTTTGGCTTAAAAGTAAAAGGTAACACATTAACTTGGAGGTAGGTCACTAACGGTGGCAGTAACCAGGCATGAAGCTAATGGTCTGCGTTACGCAGATACTCTTGTTTACAGGTTTTAATTCCACATGCTGATGCGTTTGTAAGTCAGTGAGCACCCTCATCAGAAACAAGGCAAAAACGTTCGGCTAGTTGAAGTAAAATGAGAGAAATTCTCCAGAAAGCCAGACAAAACTCTTGGTTAAGCAATAGCAAGAATTATCACAGCATTCTTAAAACACTGCAGTAAAAATCAACATGAAACAATTTCATAAGCTAAAAGAATTCAGAACTAAAGGTAACATCTTTGTATCTTTTACACTCTGTATTGTTCTAATATTTATTTTCTTATTTTTATGCATATGGCAATTTGCCTGCATCACATACACCACATTCATGAATTCCTGAAGAAGCCAGAATCCCCTAGAACTGGAGTAACAGAAGGTTGTTAGTCATGATGTGGATGCTGGAAATCAGACCCATGTTCTCTGGAAGAAACACCAGCATTCAACCCGTGAGCCAGCTTTCAGTCCCTGTGTTCTGTATTTTAACAGAGGAAAACATCTTGTGCACAGAATCTTTCAAAATAAATAAAGAAAAAACTAGGTATCGTACTTCACAGGGGGTTGGAAAGACAACAAAGCAGCTAAGAGCAGCATCCTGCTCTAGCAGAGGACCTACGGTCTGTCCCCAGCGCCCACACCAGACAGCTCAAAACTGCCTGTAACTCCAGCTGTACATCTGATACCTTCTTCTGACTCAATGGGCACCTAGACCCAAAAGCACACCCCTACAAAGACACACACACATAACTAAATAAAACAGGTGCTGGAGAGAGGACTCAGCAGTTAACAGCACACATTGCTCTTCCAGGAGACCTGTGTTTGGTCCTCAGCACCCATGTTAGGCAACTATGAGCTGCCTGTAACTCCAATTCCAGGGATCTGACATCCTCTTCTGTCCTCCAAGGAGACACACACAGCATACATAAGTAAACAGACATGTACATGAAAAAAATAGTAGAAATAAAATATTTTTTTCATTTTATTTTATGTGCATTGGTATTTTGTTAGGTCCCCTATAAGTGAAGTGACACAGCTGTAAACCGCCATGCAGGTGCTAGGAACTGAACCTGCGTCATCTAGAAGAGCATCTATGAAAAAGCAGTCAGTGCACTCAGCCATAAAGCCGTTCCTCCAGCCACAAAAAATAAAATCTTAAAAAAATTAGCATATATAAAATTTTTAAAAAGTATTCTAGAATGACAAGAATGTATACTTTTGCTTTTTTGTTTACAGTTTTAAATTTCATTCATCATATTAATATGTGTGATTCTAACAGTATCACTTACAAAATCCAGAGAGTATCAATCATAAAAATGCTTAATACCCACTGGTGCATAATAAGGCTTTGCTAACAGAAATGCAATTTTTGTGGGGATAACCATGTGTAGAGACCCAAAAAACTGGATGGTGGCTCATATAAACACAGCAGGACTCTGGAGCTCTGACTTCCTCAGTCTCTGTGGGGTCAGAGGTGGCTGGCTCCAAGCCTGGGTCCTGACAAGTAAGTCTGTAGGGCACAGATGCACCCTAATAATAAAGGAGCACAGATACATCCTACACCACCCTTCTCTTTGCTTCAGCACAAATTTGGAATATTGTTTTAATTTAAAGAAAATGAGAAAAATAAAAAAATCCCCTCTTGTCACTGGGCAGATCAACACCAGCAACTGTCTGCTGCATTCGTAAGGCTTTGCAGTCACTTCAGCTTCCTGGTCCTACCAACCACAAAGCATCAGCAAACACTGAACATGAGCCACATCCAAGCCCCAGCTCTACTTCCGTCTAGTCCTGAGCAAGAGAATTAGTCTAAATCGTAGCCCCCTTCCTAAAAACATGGATGCAGCAGACAATTCTTATGAGAGTATGGTAAAGCTTAATAGACAATAGCAAAAAAGTTGTCAGTTCACCAATAATGGCATAAAATTTAAAAGCGTGGACATTGTTATTGTTTCTTAGGGTATATATTTTAGGTGGAACGCTTAAGAAAGACAGATCCTTCTTCTCACCAAGGGCTTCTACATGTTTTAAATTCAGTGAACTGAATCTGCATTTCCAGAAGACTCACAGAAGCAAAACATCTATAAAACAGGATTTTTAAAAAAAAAATAAAAATAAAAAGTTTATTTTTCAAAGAGCAATTCTTACCAGATGGCACTTTTTATCACTTTTGTTTTCCTCCACAAATCATAAATAGAACAATTATAGAAATGTCTGCATTTAGAGCTTGTGAGATGGCTTAGTGGTTCCGGTACTTGCCTCCAGGCCTCAGAACCTGAGCAAGACTGCTGAGACCCACATAGTGGAAGGATCAGATTGACTCTGGTTTCCACACACACATAGACGCAATAATAGTAATAGTGATAACAATAATAATAATAATAAATGTAATAAAAACTTAAATCTTACTTGGTTGAGGTTCTGCTTCTATTGTACGGTTTGTCTGTCCTCCACTAATTTCAGGTAATCTAATGGGGCTGCTACTCTTTGGTCTGTTATCTAAAGCACTACCATGAAAACAAAGAAAAAAATAGTTTGAAGATATTCAGTTAGAATAAAGCAAGCATCCTAATTCCTAAATTAAAGCCACCCACAATACCAAAAATCTGATTCATGGTTTTGATAAAAACAAGTTACAAAAAATATTGAAATATTTACTAGGTTTAAAAAAATAAAATACTAGATCGAGAAAAGTATACAGAAATGTACAAAACAATAGACTTTTATAAAATTTTCCCCAACACTGTTAGAACTATAATAAGTCAATTACAAAATTACATCAATTTCATTTTTTTACTTTAATTGCAAAGATAATTCAGACTAAATTTTATTAGGTCAGTAAAGCAGGAGAATTTATTTCAGTAAGGATAAGCCTATGGCAATTTCTGTCTAAAACACAGAACATGCTAAGTGCATTGATTTGAGTATTTATTTTCTAAATATTAGGTTTATTAGTACTATAGAACTTGACAAACACTTAAAATTATAAAGCCAAGCAGTAGCACAACTAACTTTACAGGTTACTGGTTTTTTTCTTTAAAAAAACAGCTTCTTATTTTTATCATTTAAAAAATTGCAAATTTTAATCCACAGCACATAGTGACACATCACAACAATGTCAGTAACTATGTACTAAAGGCTGTGGAGACCTTACAAGACTTGAACTGTGCTGTCCAACAGCTAGCCGAAATGACTTATGTGAACCTAGGAGATTGTGTGCTAATGAATGCTGTCACAGAATAAGGTCCAAGGATACAGAAGATGATGACATAGCTCAATTTAGAGAGATTCTACTCAGTCATTATTCACCTATTTGCTGGAAGCCCTTCTTCAGCACTGTTCCACAGAGTTGCCTTGGACAATTCCTCTAAGGCATTTCGGTATTCTTTACAACTTGGGGCAGAAATAGGTTGAAAAGTGTTAAAACATTAAGCTCTTCTTTTAACAATAAAACATAAGTTTTAAAATAAATTTTGCATTATAGAAGCATAATCATTGTAAATGTCCATATTTAACTCACCAGTTCATCAACTACATCCACTGTAAAAGGGTTAGGATGTAACTTAGTGGGAGAGCTCTTGTTCTAAAGGCCCTGGATTTAATGGCCATCAACAACCCTCACACAACTACCCCCAAAAAAGCCTACCTACAACTCTCTGGATCAAATGAACAGATAAGTTAAAATAAGAAAGACTGAGACTTAGTACAACAGAGAGTAATGAAATTTGAAAGTGATTTTCTATTTAAAGGATCTAATTAAAAAAAAAAAATAACATTCCAAAGGTTCAAAATCTGATTCTTGGATGAGTAGCCTGGAATATTAGTATGCATCACTTTCCTAAAATATTGAAACATGAATTCAGATAGAACACTTGCTTCCTTAAGAATGGCTATATTTTTTGTGCCTTTAATATCTACTGACAGACTGTGATTAATCAACTAGATAAGAAGCAAGTATTATCTTCATAATGCTAAAGCACAAAGAAAAGAATCATTATACAGACTCTTAGAAAGTGAAAAACTCTCATCTACAGAAAACGCTAACCTCCACGAAGGTAGAAGCACATACAACTATACTATTTACTCTGGTATATCTATGCACCACATTTTGTTTATAACCAAATGTTTTTCAATAAATGTGACATTTTGTATAATCAATACATAAAAAGAATTTTTTTATTTTACACTTTACAATGAAAGGAAAACTTTAGTTAAGCACCTCAGATCCTATTTAAATTAAATTCACCCACAGCCAAAATAGCTTTATGAATGAGATTCTTAGGTTTTTAGATATTAGTATAAATATTTTAAAGGTGAAATGCTTCTTTAAGATAAACAGCAAGTCCGTAAGCTATACATCCAAACATGTCTTTGGAACAAGGAGCAGAAATAGAATTCTCTAGGTAGAAAAATTTCAGGCAGTATGTGTGTGAAGAAGAAAGGAGATGATATACAGATAATGTAAAACAGGTATGTTTCACTGTTATGTTAACAACTAACCACAGAAAGAGTTACCAGGGCTATCAATCAGACAGCGTGGTCAGAATATTCAAGGGTTAGTAAATACTACGCCAAGTCACATTAGCTGTTAAGTATACTTGCTTAAAAGTCATGCCAAATCCCGTTATTTGAGTAAAGGTTTTCAAATTAAAAAACAAACAAACAAAAATAAAAACCATCATGACTATAGAACATATATTTTTGCTTGCATTTAATCATTTTCCTTTATTTTATTGTAAACAGTCCCTAAATAGGGTAATTAATAGACAGACACAGAAATTTACAGCTGTAATACAGGAAAGGCTTAGAGTACCTGAGTGCAAAGGCAATGATGGAGCTGGGCTCTTTCTCACAGACAGCAATGGGGACCCGTTCATGTTCATACATTAAATAGTGTTTATCTGGATCACTGCTCAATAAAGTAAGAATATAATTAGAAGTCAAATATAAAAATTGATTAACACAGTACAATCAAATCTCAGGACAATTTTAAGGCAACCATATGATAAGCAACAGAAGCATAATTAAGAAAGCCAAGATGCATGCAAATGCTAAGAAACTTCATCAACTAAACAACAAAAAGAAAAAAGAAATATTTATAAATCAATTGAAAAAAAATCAGTTTTTGTTTAGGGGCTGGAGAGGTGGCTCAGCAGTTAAGAACACTAGGGCCAGGGCTTGATTCCTAGCACCCACATGGTAGCTTTGCAACTGTTACTCCATTCCAGAGGGAATCCAATGCCCTCTTCTGTCCTCTCCAGGCACCAGGCATACACGTGATACACAGACATACATGTAGGCAAAACACCCAGACACATAAAATTAAAAATAAATAGGTTTCAAATGGGGTTCTAGAAATGGTTACTCCAAAGCATGACCTACTGCCAAGATCTTGGTCAGACTAGTCTCAAAAAAAGAGTATGCAATAAATGATCTAAAATCCGGTGTTCCATCCTAACCCTCAGAGAGGCCTCCTAAAAGCTAGGTAGAAATAGTGCTTTAGCTCCACAGCAATAGCCTAAGAGTCGCTCTGCTGCAGTCACATGGAAGCCAAGTGTTAACTTCAACCCAAACTTTGTTCCCCTGACTTCTGGGATCCATCAGGTAGAGTCCCTGACTTTGCTTAGATGCCATTTACTGACTATCCAATGTAGCGGAAAACAACAGTGAGAAAAAGTTCTATCTGCACACTTTCCGTATATGTACATAGTTAAAAACACACTGTCAGAACAGAACCAGCATGTATGTTTGTAGTGCAGGGAGGTAAAGAAACAATTCTGCAAGTAAACACAACCACTTTCGGTGGGGAGTGAGCAAGAGAATTATTATAGATGAATGTTAGGTCCTGTTTCCCAAGTCCCAGTGTAGTGGTATAGGGAGACAGGGCCTTTAGATCAAGAATAATGACACCATACATGGGGTCAGTGTCCTTGCCATAAGGGACAAGTGAGCTCTCTCCACCATATGAGGATGGCCTGGACGAGGACCCTCATCAGAATCGACCCTGCTGACACAAATGTGATCCTCCAGCCTCCAGAGTTGTGAGAAATACATCTGTATTGTTTATAAGCAAACCAGGATATGAAAATTCATCATAGCGGCCTACATGAAGACAAAAATTCTGACAATACACAGAGACTTAATTTAGTTAGTTAGGGCACAGAAGGAGAATCCAGTAAAGTTTTCTTCAAAAAAGAACATAACTTCCTGGTTGAGAAAGAGGTACTAGGACTCGGCCATTGTTCCCAATAGGAAGAACAAAAGACATTGAACAACAGACTGCTAGGCCTGCAGTTGACCAAGTGAGCCTCTTATACAAGACACCATGTAGTGAATCCTACATGTCTGAGTATCTCTACTCTCTCTTCCCCAAGACCATGAGCTCCTAAGAGTAATGCTCTCCATCTGGGGACAAGAGAACAGCAATGAAAATTACTACTGAATAAAAACGTAAGTAAAGGCTCATAGTTTGGATATACTTGTACCAGCATAACAAAGGCAGCATCTGATGGCCACATAGGCCAACCAGCAGAAAAACAAGCTTTTACAGTCGTCATGCGTTTCTTTCCAGTCTGAGCAAGTACAGCATTAAAAAAAAATGAAACAAACAAACAAAAAAAAAAAACCATAAAAACATACTTGGATCATTTTGCTCCTTATCAGTATCTGTTAAAATAAATTATAGGGGTGGCAATGCACTCATATACAACCAGCAATATGTGTTTTAAAGATAAATGAATGTGGGCTGAGGAGATGACTCAAGTCCCTAGCACCATATAAGAAGCCAGATATGACCACACATGCCTGTGGTCTCCAGTACTAAGGGAGACAGAGACAAGATCACTGGGGTTTACTGGCTATCAGCTAGCTCTGGGTTCAGTGAAAGGCCCTGATAGTGCATATACACATGGATATTGCATATACACACATACAAAGAGCCACTTGGTCTTGAAATACTTACAAAGGAAATGGAATGGGATTATAGCTGTTTCCTGGAAGCAGATTAGCAAAGATGGCTTTCATGGTTGACTTCTCCTTCACCTGGCTGTCTGTGGATCCCAGCAAATGCCCGTCAAATACATCTAGGACAAAAAATAGTCTACTTACACATTAACATTCAGGAAAAATAAAAGGAGAAGTGTCTGCTGTTTTCTCTTGAGACTATAGACAGGCATACTGAGCACCATGGATATAAACGATGGTTTTCACTTTCTAGCTCAAGAAAGTCGCTTAGACACTGAAATGGCAACAGTGAGGTAAACCCTGCACTAACTCCAAGAAACATGTTTAGTTCCTTACATCTGAAACTCAGAGCATCCTGATCAGCGGTCTCTTATTGCCACAGGATCCATAGGGACTTCCTGTCTGACTATGCATGAACTGCCAGTGTTGTCTCTGCAGCACAGGAATGTGCATTCTAGCTATTACACCTGAGCTGAAAGCAACGGTAAACTGAGCCGAAGTTCAGAATTCAGTACGTACTGCTTAACAGAAAACAGAGAAGCAAGGCATGGGTTTTGCTATAATGTAAATGTCTGTTGGAAAGAAATGGCAAAATTTTCCTTCACTTACAAAGCAATAATAATACACTTTACACACCTTTAAAAAGATGTCCCCAAAAGTAGAGAACAATGAGTAATACTGTTTTACTAGGACATTTACATACACACAGTGATGCATGTCAGTTCAGCTAATGGAGGAAGGGATAACATGAAAGGCTGTATTTTAAAAGGTACTTTAAACATTAATTTATTATTTCTTTATGTGCATGAGTGTTTTGCCTGCATGTGTATATGTTTGACCGGTATCCAAGGAGGTGTCAGAAGAGGGAGTCAAATTCCCTGGAACTGGAATTATAAAGAGTTGTGAGCTGCCATGTGGGTGTTGAGAATTGAGGCCAGGATCCTCTGGAAGAGCAGCTGATACTCTTAACCAATGAGCCATCTCTCCAGCCCTTAAAAAAGAACTTTAAACAAACATAAACAATTCTAAAGGATAAGAAGCACCACATCAAAGAATTAGCCATGGTTTTCTTTTTCAGAGACACATAGGAAACAAGGAATCATCTCAGTCTTAGATTCAATGAAACAGGGTAAACAGTGGCCGGAACCTTACCTTCAGAGCCACTGGCTGTGTCGAGGTCGGAGGGCCCTCCCATCAGCTGCTCAGCCAGGGCCTCAGGAGGAGTTGGCAGCTGGAGATGGGCAGAGCTTGTGGAGCTCTGGCTGGACAGGGTTGTCAAGAAGCGATCCTCTAGAGAAACATCATCTTAGATGAGTCAGTTAAGACAAGATGTCCATTTCACCTGATAACACTTTTTTAAATGCCAAATCGTATTTCTACTTCTTAAAACGTGGAATTTTAACTTTTGGAAAATTATCTAGATCATGTAACTTATGCCATAAAAACTGAAATAAAAATCCAGGAAGATTATATGATTTGGCCACAATCAAATCTTGGTGACAAAACTATAAATGCCTCCTGACCACTACCTAACACAATACCCTTTCCTTTATACTACATTATCTGCCTACATATGATCTGGCTTCACAGAGAATGAAATTAACAGCACTGTGGGGAAACTTAGATGTTTACTCTGACAGAGAAAAAAAAAGTTATAATTATTACAGAAAAATGTAAACAAACAGTAAGTTCTATTCAACAGACAATCTATGTAAATTTCCCTACAGTTTCCAAAATGATACTAAGTTACTGAAGAATAAAAATTTTAGAAAGCAATTTAAGAACATAAAATATAAATTAACCATGCCAAGACAAACCCTAATAACAGAATAAGGAGGCTGCCTGACCAGCATAAGCAAAGAAGGAAGTCAACGCCCGGTTTTCTTCTTTTTTTCCTACTGGCAGCCCTTACTACCACTGTATGCATCTCTACACCTAATTTATGTTCCTATAACACACTGCATGACACTCTCAGACCAGTAAGAATTGTAGGTGTTCTATAAGGAGGAAAATTACTATGGACACATGTATTAGAAAATAATGCTCACATTAGCAGTTAAAAGCAACTTACAGCCGGGCGGTGGTGGCGCACGCCTTTAATCCCAGCACTCGGGAGGCAGAGGCAGGCGGATCTCTGTGAGTTCGAGACCAGCCTGGTCTACAAGAGCTAGTTCCAGGACAGGCTCCAAAACCACAGAGAAACCCTGTCTCGAAAAACCAAAAAAAAAAAAAAAAAAAAAAAAGCAACTTACAGAATAAAATCTCTTTAAATGCAAGAGCAAGAGGTCACCAGACTACAAATAAAGACCAACCTTTTTCTCCATTGTGAAGTCCTGGAGAAATATTCCTTGGAGATGTGTCCATTGCACTTATCTGAAGAGAAATAAATACGCTATTTTTAAGGATATATTTTTTTTAAAAAAAATCACACTTTAAAAGTAGTCTAATGATATGAAGAGTCTTCTGTTTTGTGTTAATAAAGAAACTGCCTTGGCCCTTTGACAGGACAGAAAATTAGGTAGGCGGAATAAACAGAACAGAATGCTGGGAAGAAGGGAAGTGAGGCCATGCCTCTCCTCTCCAGGCAGACACAATGGAGCCAGCCGCCAGGTCAGACATGCTGAATCTTTCCTGGTAAGCCACCACCTCGTGGTGCTACACACATTATTAGAAATGGGTTAAGAAAGATGTGAGAATTAGCCAATAAGAGGCTGAAACTAATGGACCAGGCAGTGTTTAAAATGAATACAGTTTCTGTGTAATTATTTTGGGTAAAGCTAGCCATGTGGGAACCGGGCGGGATGAAAAGCAGGCCTGCTTGCCTCATCACTACAGTCTAACCTAGTGAATCTTGAAATTTTTGAACTCAAGACATGTTTCCACTAAAATATTATGTCTTTATAATTTAAAGTGGCTCTTGCCATTTTAATTAATTAAGTCTGAGTACATTCCTAAGTATGCATTTATTGGTTCACTTAGAAATAACACCATTACACAGAAACATAAATATAAAAGCTAGTTGAAGCAGAATAAAGCTATTTTCCAAAATTTAAAAAAAAAAAAAAAACACTAATGAAGAAGTGTCACTGGTTTACATTTTCGGAACTATCTTAAATGTCTGCCTAACTAGAAGACAGCTAGATTCTATATCCTGCAGACATGGACCCAGGACTTTGAGACTATTGCTCTAAATAGTAGCTCACACCTTGGCATGGACACATCTAGGAACACTAAGTAGTCTAGTAAGCCCACTCCTCTCCTAACAGCCATCTACTGAACCGTCTATGTCCTATTACCCATGGACAACATGAGCAGGACTACAAGCCCTTACAAATCATTTCATGTCAGTAGGAGCTACCATATTAAAGAAATTTTCTGTGTCATTTAAATAAAATAACCCACCACTATTACCTACTCCATCACCAAACTCTGCCTTCTTTACGCTTTTCTACAATCTTTTTAGGGTCACTAAATTCTATTGGGTTCATGTGTTTTCTATCAGTATCTTTTTAAAGAGGCAAATGTTTCTACGAGATAGTAACTATGGCTGTTGTTCACAAGTGAATGCCATATAAGCTAGGAAAACACGTAAAGAAAAATAGGTACTCAAAACCATTTGCCAAAAGGCAGTGTAACAGAATTTCAAGTCAATTTTCAACTTTTCAAAAGCAGATCACTTCATGGGTACTAGTGTATTTCTTTCTTTTTTAAAGATTTTTATTTATTTTTATGTGGACTAGATACATTTTTATGTTCACTTTTATGTAAACTAGAGTTACAGACAGCTGTGAGCTGTTATGTGGGTGCTGGGAATTGAACCTGGGCCCTCTGGAAGAGCAGCCAGTGCTCTTAACTGCTCAGCCATCATTCTAACTGTTATTCTTATCTAAGTATTAAGAGGAAATAAAATTATTAAATAGTCGCTTAACAGACAAAAAGAAATAACCATTCAATTTTCTAAAATGATTTGCAGTATGTGGAGCCATCACTTCATACACTTCTTTACAACAGTCTGGTGACATGAAAAGAACCTTCCCCGTCCTCAAAACCCTGTGATGTCAGGATACAAGGCCATTACACTAGCACCATTTCCTGTGATATCTGAGCAGCATGACAAGCAGAATTCTAAAGATCCCCAAAATGTTTAGTCTCTGGTGTATACACCCTTATTCTAATTACTGTAACAAACAGAAGTCTAAGTATTGCTGTGAACGAATTTTGCAAATATAATGGTGCCAAGTCAACTGACCACAAAACCAAGAGAAATCCAGATACAAGTGCATTAAGCACAAAAATCTTAAAGCTGTGTAAGTCAGAGATAAACAAAGTGATCTGAAGCTCAAGAGGAGCTGGACCAGCATGGAAGGCCTAGAAGATGGAACAGATTGCAGGGCAGGGAATGTAAGCATCAGCAGCCACCAAGAGAAGATTGGTCACTATAGGAACCAAGTCCTGTCAACAACCTAAAGGAGCTTGGAAGAACATGCTGACCCTCAAAAATGAGAGACACCCTGGCCAAGCCCTTAATTTTAGCTCTGTGGGATCTTGAATAAAGAACCCAGTCATATACACCACTATGAAACAGTTAAGTCCGCATTTTTGAACACTAAGTTTGTTTTCAGCAAAAGAAAGCAATCAGTTGGGAAGCGAGTGATCCAGGGAAGACACCTTAAGAAGAACTTCTCATTCAAGCACAGAAATCAAACACCCAAAACTACACAGTAAGAAAAGTGCCCTAGCGCTTGAGAGAAGGCTTAACAGTTAAAGGCACCTGCTGTTCTTCCAAAAGACCTAAGTTTGGTTAGCAGCACCCACATGATGGCTCACAGTCACCTGTAACTCCAATTCCATGGGATCCGACGCCCTCTTCTTGTTCTGCGGGCTCTAGACACATATGAGGTGCATATACAGACATGCAGACAAAACACTTATGCATATAAAATAAAAGTAAACAAACATATTTTTAAAAGAAAGGAAAATGAAAAATTAGAACTCTATTATATACGCTGAGAACCTACAAGATTCCTCTGTAATATCCTTAATGGTATATCAGGGACAGTAGCCTTTTGACAAATACTTCAAATAAATTAATTATAATACATCATTTTAATTGAGGTTAGTATATAAAAGTAATCAAGATCATATTTCCCTGAAAATATACCAACATGACAGAAAACTTTATGCATTAAACTACCACTCCTAAAGTGTTAGAAATGGAACTAACTATGTGTTTATCAATGAAACAGTAAAGACAAAGCTACACTTTATTATTACCTTGCTTTCTTCACCTTGTCTCAGTCTTCCAGGACTGGGAGGAACCGAAGGCCTCTTTCTACCTTTTTCCTGCTGGAAAAGGTCCTGCAACCTACAGTCACAGGCAGAAAGGACATGGTTTTGTTTCCAGTTTATACTTACAAACTTTCTCTTGAAATGGACGTTAAAGGTGTATGAAGCCACTACTGTATTCTTATGATAGCCAATGATGTTTCATGGGACAATGATCCAATCAATCTCACTCAGTAGCACACATATTTTAAACAGCAAAGAGGGCTGTTTCCTTTTGTTTTGTTTGTTTTTATCATAACAAACTATGTAAAGGCTGCAATATGTTTTAAAGGATGAAGAAAACAAAAATCAAAAAATCTTTATAACTAAAAAAATAAAACATCTATAATTAATAGAGCTTTAAATTTAAAATATTGTCACTGGGAATTTAGCTAAGTGGTAGAGTATTGCCTAGCAAATGTAAGGCCTTGGATTTAATCTCCAGAACCAGAAAACAAATTTTGAAATATCATGGCAGAAGAAATTTGGTAGCAGTGTCAAGAAGGCCCCGACAAAGCCTTACCTGCTGTTCCACGCTTGCAGCACCTCACAGAGACTCTGCTTCTTAGCTATGAGTGACTCAAAGATGGCCTGCAGCTGCTGAGGGGCATCCACAGAGGAGGACAGAAGCCTTGCTTGCATCTTCTCAGTCCAGTTCTTGAACTCACCCTCCTCCATCTGGAAAGCAATAGATTCAAGTTCAATAAGCTGAGACACCACAGAGACAAAGCGATTTCCAGCAAGTCAGCAACTTCAGTATTTTCTATAAAAGAAACAAATTACCTCTTTTTGTGCAAAAATATCTTCCATTTTTTCCTCTCTTGTTTTGCTAAATGTATCCGTTTTCAAGGATGCAAGTCTTTCATCAACAGCTTGGTATACCTGTGAAACTCTAAAAATGGGGAGGGTACCACATTAGAGGAGTTAAAATCAAACCACTTCATAGAAATTAGAAGAAAAGGTATTTTATATAAAACTATCAATAAAACAAGCTACCTTATCAATAATCACATGGAAATTTTGCAAAGCAAAGCAACAAAGCCTCAAAGGAATTACTTCAAAATTTTAAGTTGTCATGTATGTTTTGGAGAGGTTTTCCTGTATTACTTGAACTTTTTCATTTTACACCGAGCACACACTACATATATGGGTAAACCTGACAACTAAATCAGCAATGGGTTACAAACATGACAAAGCAAACATGGATGATCAAAGACAATGAAACCTACTTCTGAAAAAAGTCCTTGAGGTCCTGGAGAAGGGATACTTTCAGTGGGGCTTGACGTTTAATGAATATTTTTGGTAGTGGAACACACACTTCAAGAAGCCGAATAGGAGAATAACTGAGGGGAAAAAAACAGTAACAGGAGAAAATAAAAAATATTTTAATAATTTATAAAGGGCATATGTATATTCAAATGAGCATAAGAGAAAAATAAAGTTTTCTATAAAATCAAGTTTCATAAAGACAAAAAATAAATAAATAAAAGTAACTTTCAACCACCAGAGATATCTTCCCCAATACTGAGAGGATTTTTTTATCCTTGAACTGTGATGTCATTATTATTATTATTCCTCTGAGGGTCATCTGCTACAAAAACAGCAATGATTTTACTGTAAACCTTCCAGCTCTTAGGGTTCTTCATGAGTCTTCTTGTCCTTCCTACCTGAGGTATTGACTAAGAAATGCTGCATCCACCCTACACCCTACGTTTATGGCTAGAAGGCCCTGCTTTAAAAAGGAAATACATTCTAATTAATAAATATTTCGTGAGTATATTGTGTGTGAAACACTGTTCTAAGTACCAAGAATATAGCACCAAAATTTCTGTCCTCCTAACTCTAGAATAAGATGTGGGTAATAAACAAACTGTAAATATCTAAGATATTTTTATCAGAGCACTACAGCAAAAAAGTAATAAACCAAGAATGAAGGAGGAAGTACTTGGCAGGTAAAATGTGAACAGAGAGCTATGTAAGTAAGAAAACAGCAGGTGATAATATACAAGATCTCCCTGCCTTCTTACCTGAAGGATGCCACCATCTGGTTATAAGAGAAATATTGGTGATAATCATGGTGGATAGAGTGACCACACGGCTCAGCATTGGCTCTGCGTGTGTACTGATGTCCATAAAACCGAAGTTCAAGGTACTTTGCAAATGACATAGACCAGGATTCATTTGAAAGAGCAACAACTGGTGTTACCTGGAGTTCAGAAAGGAAAACACTTAATAAATTACATGCTGAAAATCTCGTTTTTTGAAAGATGTATTTTCTATTTTCCAAGACAAACAACATATTCTAACTGAGGGAGAAAAATTGGGGGAAAAACAAAATATTCAAAATGGATTTGAGCTGGGATGGTGTGGGAGGTCCTTCTGTCTATGTGTTGTTTGTATTGGTTAATGAATAAAAAAACTGCCTTGGACTGATAGGCCAGAACTTAGGTAGGCAGAGAAGAGAGAACTGAATTCTGGAAGAAAGAAAGCAGAAGAGAGAGACACCATAGAGCCGCCAGAATCAGACATGCTGAATCTTTCCTGGTAAGCCACTGCCATGTGGCAAAACATAGATTAATAAAAATGGGATTAATCAAAGTGTAAGAGATAGCCAATAAGATGTTAGAGCTAATAGGCTAAGCAGTGATTTAATGAACACAGTTTCTGTGTGGTTATTTCAGGGCTAAGCTAGCTGGGCAGCCGGGACAAACAAGCAGCCATCCCGACAACACTGGGAGGGTGAGGAGGATAGCTTTACTTTCTTTACAACCTTTACATGCCCATGGGGTAGGTCTCACACTAGCTGTCACTAACGGGCATCTGAGATAGACAGGTCTCCCTTATTTGCATGATGCTCTGCTGAACATTCTTGCAAACACACTCAAAAGAGACGTATTTGTTCCTTTAATTTTTTTTTTAAGATTTATTGATTATGTATACAGTATTCTTAGTACTCTGCCTGCAGGTCAGAAGAGGGCACCAGATCTCATTACAGATGGTTGTGAGCCACCATGTGGTCACTGGGAATTGAACTCAGGAACTTTGGAAGAGCAGGCGGTGCTCTTTACCACTGAGCCATCTCTCCAGACCTTTTTTTTAAAGATGTATTTATTATGTGTACGGCATTCCTTCCATGTGTGCCTGCATGCTAGAATGAAGTGCCAGATCTCATCATAGATGGTTGTGAGCCACCATGTGGTTGGTGGGAATTGAACTCAGGATTTCTGGAAGAGCAGTCGGTGCTCTTAATCACTGAGCCATCTCTCCAGCCCATATTTGTTCCTTTAGAATAAATCAGTAAGGGTGGGCAATGACGAATCAAAGGGCAATGGTTTTTTTTGTCAAAACAGGTATATTGATTTACACATTTTGAACAACAGTAACTAAGAATACTAATTCCCTCACTTTCCTACCAATCCTATAAATTATTCATCTCTGAAATGTTTTTTAATGCATTTTACTTGTTTCATTTATATTTGGCTTCATTTATGCTTCAATTAGTTAATAAATAAATTCATTTGCATATTTAACTGACCATTTGTATTAATTGCTTTGTCATGACCTTTGCCCACTTTTTCTACTACTGTGGCTTACAAAATTTAACATTAAATTTTTCTTGTACTAGAAGTTTTTCTTTTTTGTATATGTTAACAGAAACTGTTTTCCTTTCTAGCATAACCCCATAAAACTTAAAAAAAAAATCTTAAATGCATAAACCAAAGCATGAAAAACAAGACCAAAATTTAACTATTGACTTAATTCAACAATCAATCTACAACAGTGTTTCTCAACCTGTTGGTCACAACCTCCTTGAGGGTCAAATAACCCTTTCACAAGGTCGCCTAAGACCACTGGAAAGCACAGATATTTACATTACAACTCATAACAGCATCAAACTGTTATATTTTGAAGTGGTAACAAAAATCATTTCATGGCTGGAGGTCACCACAATATGAGAAATTGTATTAGGGGTAAGAACCACTGATATACCAGCATTTTGGACGAGGACCTAACGATCTATGGTATGAGAATGATGCTAGGACCTAGTTTAATGGTAAATAAAGCACTTGCCTAGCGTGTCCTCCACTAACACACACAAGAAAGTACGGGAGACTTGATCATTGCTATGAATCACCGCAGGCCGGTATGTTCCCAGCACATGAAGAACACTACTGTCACCATCCTCAAGTGCTATACTAACAGACTAATAGACACTGCTATTTTATCTACAATCCTTATAAAGCTTTCCAACCCAAGCACACTGAAAAATACATCAAGATAATAATGAAGGCAGTTTTGATACATATATGCTGTAATATGAGTGAATAGTATATGTTTACAATGTTATACGAACTGGAGATGGCTCGGCAGTTAAGAGGACAAGCTGCTCTTCCACAGAGTCCAGGTTTGATCCCCCAGTGTCTCACAACCATTTTAACTACAGTTTCTGATCTTCTTGGGAAATATGCATATACATGCTACACAAACATACATTCAGGCGAATATGCATGCATGTAAAATAAAAGTAAATGAAAACAACAAACACATCAAAAAAAAACCAAAAACCCCATTAAGATTATGGCTGGAAAGATACCTCAGCAGTTACGAACACTTGCAGCCCTTGCAGAGAACCCCAGTTCAATTCCCACATTAGGTATCAAACAACCACCTATAAGTACAGCTCCAAGTGATCTAAAGTCCTCAGTAGCCTACTCAGGTACTTTCACACAGTACACATACGTACAGTTGGGCACACACATATACAAATAAAATTAAATAAACCTTAAACCTAAACCTCTACCACTTCTCTAAAAATTGATTGAATCGATTTAATAAAAAACAAACAACAAAAATCATAATACTGATATCAAATAATTCCCTCAGAGATTGAAAAGATAGTTCAAAGAAATTAAATATGATTCCATGTCATTTTCTAATATTATACAAAAGTCTATACAGGTCATTGTCAACAAAGCCACATCTACATGTTTTTAGAAGAGATGTTAATATAGCTCAGATTTGCTAGGAAAATAGCCTAAAATACTATCGTTACTGCTTTATAAGTCTGTCTTCTTCTTTACAAGTAATTTATATTCATTCTCTTTCTATGCCTAAAATGCAACACAGTTCCTAGAGCACAGATAGGATTAAGTATCAGCTAAATTAACAAAAATAACTGAATATTTTCAAAATATAATTTCAATATATTATACTAGAAAAAGGTATACATAAATCATTATATATAGGGTTTTTCAAGACAGGGTTTCTTTGTGTATCCCTGGCTGCCCTGGGACTAGATCTGTAGACCAGGCTGGCCTCAAACTCAAAGATCCGCCTGCCCCTGCCTCCCAAGTTCCAGGATTAAAGGCATGCACCATCACTGCCCAGCTAATGACATTCTTTAAGTAAAGTTTTCTAAAGTATTAGGTCAAACATATAGCACAAGAAGGTATATAAATAAGATCATGACAAATAACAAAGCTCAAAATACTATTGATTATCTATGCCCCAAAGCACCTCACAAATAGAAATAAATATTCCAGCAGCAGCACATACTTGTTTGCAGATTCTGCACCAGGAATATGTGAGAATTGTATGTTGATATCCAGGCACCGGAGAATCCAACTCCTTCAGGATTATCTGCACACAGCCTTGGCCGTGAACAAAGCGTCGAATGTGATGCACCATGGGGGTATCACAGAACATGCTAGGACACTGGTAAGACGACCTGTGATAAACAAGAGAATCCTCACATTAAGCATGAAACAGAGGATCACATATACCAAGTACTGAATAATCAGAGCCATGACCAAGCAAGTGACACACCACCTCTAGAGTAATGACCAACAGTGGACAATCTCAACAGGACACATGGGCCCTGAGCTGCAGCTGAACATTCTGTCTTAACCATAAAGCATTTGTCATCTGTCCATTTGTCAAACACCTTCTAATGCCCAGCGTCAAGCAACAGTAAAACCCAGACATTTTTAAGGACTGGACTTCCTGTGGAAGAGGTTGCTAACATTAAATTACTCGTCCCACACTGAGTAACTTAACTGGTAACAAGTGAATCATAAACTGATGTCAAGCTGGTCCTAAGTCTTCCCTGTTTTTCATTTGAATCACTGTAAAAGTAGACACACCAAAAAAGTCTTGGTGTGGCAGAGGAGCTGAACAGCTCCTCTGAAATATACAAGAAACAAAGGAAACAAGCACTAAGTGCTCCCAGTTGAATCACTGTAAGATATGCTCTGACTTGTGGTGTAAAGGTCAGGGCCATCAACAGTCCTTCACATTCAACTCCCATGTTTTAGCTTGAAATTATGGGCTTCAAAAATGCATAATAATTAATCCCAGCACATGAGAGGCAGATCGCTATGAGTTTGAGGCCAGCGAAGTCTACATAGTGAGTTCCAGGACAGCCAGGGCTATAAAGAGGGCTCTGTCAAAATAAAGGGAAGAGGAGGGGAGGGGAGGGGAGGGGAGGGGAGGGGAGGGGAGGGAAGGGGAGGGAAGGGGAGGGAAGGGGAGGGAAGGGGAGGAAAAGGGAGAAAAGAGGAAGGGAGGGAGGGAGGGGAAGGAAGGAAAGAGGAAGGGGGGGAGGGGAGGAGAGGGGAGGGAAGAGGAAGGGAAGGGAAGGGGGAAGGGGAAGGGGAAGAGAAGAAGGAGGAGGAGGGAGGGAGGGAGGGAAGGAGGGAGGGAGGGAGGGAGGGAAAGAAAAGAGCAAAGAAAAATAAATGATAAGGAAGAAATAAGCTTTTACCTGAAACAGTATCTTTCTAAAAATATTCCCAGTGTAAGATCATTCTTTCCATAAAATTCCATTGTTACAATCCTAAAAGAAGAGATCATTTCTTAGAAATATGTCAACATTACCACCAAGACCACCATATTCTAATTATTATATGCTTATAGTGAAGTAATAAAGCAAATCATATGTATTGTCGCTACAGAACAGGTTTTACTTCACCCTGACAAACACGTGTAGATTAGCCTCACCATAGCATCTTTTCCACTCCCAAGCCGTTAATATCTTAAGAAATCATTTAATGAGCGCATAAACCATAAAAGCAAATTGAACAAAACTGATTTATGAGGAAGAGATAAAATCATCTGTCACAGTTTCACTCCCCATCAACAATGGGGGCGGGGGTGGGGTGGTGCCCATCTGCCCTCTAGTCCCTGTCTTCACCGAGTGTAGAGAGCAGCAGCTCTCACTCAGTAAGGAGCTGGCTCCGAACTGAACTGAATTCACAACTGCCCAAAATTAGACTTTGAACATGTGCTTGTTGAAACCAGTATCCTCTTCTAGAATTACTGAAGGAGTCCATTAAATTCTGAGAAAAATTCTATGGGCTTTCAGAAAGCCAGGCTTAAAGCTGTCCTGGAACTACATGTTTCAAGAAAATAAGTGCTACCAACCCCACCACCGCCACCCACACACAAAGCTGCATACGTGCACACGGGGAGTGGAGGAGATGGCACAAGCAAGTTTCTCCTGCCGTGTTACTGCTGTGGGAAGACCCCCCCCCCCTCCCCGCTGCCTGCACCGCAGGAAAAGGAGAGTGGAGCAGAGCACCCGCAACCACGCCTTCTTTGTTCTCTTCTGAATGATGACCTCATGTGATCAGTCACTTTAAGCTTCAGCTGCTGTGACTTTCCCTGCCATGATGGACGGGAGCCAAATAAACCCTTTCTCCGTTATGTTGCTTTTAACAGAGAGTTTTTTAGCCCAGCAACAAAACAAACAAACAAACCCTAAGACAGGGATGTAAGGTTTTTGCGACCATCACTGGAAATATTACATTATAAAATGTATTTGTCTCTATAAATTTACCTAGATGTTCCCAAGAATAATGTACTAAGACAAAACGCCAGTATGTAGTATAGCTCAGTAACAAAACTACAAACACTAAGATAAAAGCCTGACTGCTTTTATAAAAATTATTCAACATGAAAACTCACCTAAACTGCACATGATAGAATCAAAATGTAGCTCTTAGCTTTTATAAACCAGTTTTTGCAGGTCAACTTTGCAACCTTTGTAAAGTAAAAATTTCTTTTTCTCTCTCAGACTATCTTCACTCTTGTTTAAGGTGCTATTTTTTCCCCATGAACAAATTTCACAGTTACTCAAGTGTAAACATTCTACTGCATGGTATGTGACCATCAGTGTGCCATGTACCCAATAGCAGGAGTTAGTTCTCGTGTAGCAATGAGGCAGGGAGAAGTACCGTACCAAGGGCTGACACAAGCGCTGGGAGCATTGCTGGACTGGGCCGAGGAGCTGCTGAAGAGGACACAGAGCCTCTGGTGGTTGGCAGGATTCAGGCAGTCCACCTGCAGGACAAGGACAGGAGAGCAGCTGAGAGGGAACACAATGGCTATCAGGTCACTGACCTACATCACATTCCATTCTGTCAACAAAGCCGCCTGGGAAGAGTTAAAAAGCTGGGTTTTGACCAAAGACAATTTCAAAACTCCAAAGTAAACGTGAAAGCATAAAATAACTGGGCTGGAAATGGACCATCGATCAGGCCCTGGGTCAATCCCAGCACTGTGTCTGAAAGTGGGAGACGACTAAGAAGCTTGTTTCTTAACATAAACACTCCATTTTTTTCAAAATTGTATATTTTGGAAGAGCTAATTAACTAAAATATTTTCCTATGGAACGTTATTAAAGTGGATGGCTATGGCATCAATTGGTGGTGTCTAGAAACCTAATTCTAAGATATTCTTTTACCTGTTCTTGCTCCTGTTTTTAAACACACCTGTTCCCTGTTAAAATCAAGTAGTAGCGTTACATAATGTAAAGTTCCTCCTCCTAGGATGTCCCCCACCTCTCAAACTAAAGCTTATAAAGCTACTCAGACCAGCATGGTAGCACATGGAAATCCCAGCACTTAGGAGGCAGAGTCAAGAGGATCAAGAATTTAATATCTTCATCAGCTGGATCTTGAGTTTGAGGCCCAACCTAGACAGTGAGAAATCCTAATTCAAACAAACACCAAAAGGAAAATCACTTTTTCTTTATTCACGTTATTTGCCTTTACATACATGCACAATCGCACATGTATATACGCACACAAATACACACAGGTGATTTTGTTTTCATTAAGATGAGATAGGCTACAAAATATATTACTTTAATTTGCTTTTGGGAGGTACATGCTAAAATATAAGCATCAGTGTTTTATTCTAATAAGTAATAAAACATTCAAAACCCATCCTTTAGCCGGGTGGTGGCGGCAAATGCCTTTAATCCCAGCAATCGGGAGGCAGAGGCAGGCGGATCTCTGGGAGTTTGAGGCCAGAACTCGATCTACAGAGCTAGTTCCAGGACAGCTAGGGCTGCTGCACAGAGAAACCCTGTCTCAGGTAGAAGAAAAAAAAAATCTGGTACGGGTTGAATATGTGTGATTGATGCCCCTGCCCAAGAATCCTGTATTTAAGGTGTGTCCCTCAGCTGGGAAACTAAAAGGTGAGGCCTCCATGAAGGAAATAGGACACTGGAGGTGTCTCTGAAGACTGTATCTCATCCCAGGCCCTCCTATTTCTCTCTGCTTCCTGTCTGCTGTGCCATCTAACTACCACGAATAATGGAGGCAAGGAGGATGGACTGAAACCTATGAAATCATGAGCTAAAGTAAACACTCTTAAACTGTTTAATGTCAGGTGTTTGCCACATCTGCAAAATATGTTTTGCTACAAAAAATGGATGTAGTACTTCAACAAACACCCTTGTACATATATTCTTACAACAAGCAAGCATCCTACACAGATGTATTTAATTTGTTCTGCAATAGAGAAGGCGGAATCCTGAGTCAAAGGTGAGAAATGTACATTTAAAGTGAGAGAAACCTCCTTATCACTTTCTGTACATTTCAACAGGGATGTACAGACATACATGTAAAGTAAGAGAAACCTCCTTATCACTTTCTGTACATTTCAACAGGGATGTATAGACATCCACATAAAATAAGAGAAACCTCCTTATTACTTTCTATACATTTCGGCAGGATGTATAGACATACATGTATAGTGAGAGAAACCTCCTTATCACTTTCTGTACATTTCAACAGGGATGTATAGACAGACACGTATAGTGAGAGAAACCTCCTTATCACTTTCTGTACATTTCAACAGGGATGTATAGACAGACACGTATAGTGAGAGAAACCTCGTTATCACTTTTAGACATTTGTACACTTAGACAAAGCATTCAAAATTTCTTGACTCTCTCTAACCACGGTTCTTTTCATGAGTCCCAAAAAACATTTAGCACTTCCTTGACTATCAGTGAAACTAGATGTCTTTTTATTATCACTACTAGTAATGTATCTATCCACAAGTAAATCTTCTTTAAATATCTTTCATTTCTAATTAAACAAAAAAGATCACTGTCAAAGTTAAATGACAATATAAACCTTTTACTCTTAAATAACTTTCTTAAAACAGGTCCACTTTCAATAACAAATTTCCATCTCTCATAAGACTATAATCAAACAATAGAGCTAGTTGTGGTGGTACAGAGGTATAATCCTAGCATAAAGTGGTACAGGCAAGACGATTGTGAACTTAGAGTCAACCAGGACCACATAATGAGACCTGTAAAGGTTAGCTTAATTGCCATCTTGATACAATTTAAAATCAACTAGGAAGAAGAGTTTCAAGGAAGGATTATATATACTGGGTTGGAATATGGGCACATCTGAGCGACTGTCTTAGGTTAAAATGTGGGGAGACCCAGTCCACTGTAGGTGGCACCATTCCCTAGCAAAAGATCCGGAACTATTAGGAATGGAGAATAGAACTGAACACAAACAAGCAAGCAGCATATATGCATTTATTTCTCTTTGTTCTTGACTGTGGTATCATAAATTGCTTCTTCCTGCTGCCTTGACTTCCCCTTACAATGGACTGTAACCTAGAATTACAAGCTAAATAAACTCTTCTATATGTTGCCTTTTTTTCCCCCAGGTATTTGACCATAGCAACAACAACAAAAACTGAAACTAAAGACCTATCTTAAAACACTGAAAAGAGTCAAGAGCTACACCACACCACATATAAGCAATACAGATATAAACTTCAAGCAATTGCCCACTTTCCCTTAACTGAGGTCCTTCCTACTTTACTACAAGCGCATATTAAAATCCAAAATCCCAGTTTTGTTCCCTTAGGAATCCACCTTTATACTTTATACATAAATGCCATCCAACTCAAGAAGAAAAATAAGCAGAAGAGTAAACATTTAATAAACCTATACAATCTGTCATAGTGATTTTCTTAATCTTGCATCTTACCTTTGTCGCCCATAAGGCATCGCTTGGGACCAACCCCTTCTCTTCATCACTCTCAGTTTTGTCTCCCGATTTGCATCCTGAAGTACATGATGCATCTTTTGAATGGACAAAAGGGTCCAAATGTTTTGACTGAATTCTTCCTCCTCTAGCTCGATAATCAGCCAGCATTCTGCCCAAGCTCTGGCTATCACCGAGATGCTCGGCGATCCTGGTGCTCACTAGCTCATGTGAAGGTAAGACTTGAATAGACTTGGCCTGAACACTGCCATTCATGCCCTGAAGTCCAGAGAGATCCCTGAGCAGCTGTTTCTTCCTCCTGAGCGCCATTTCCTTCACCTCCTTGTTGAGGAGAGGAGACCAGTAAATCTGCTCTGGAAAATAATCTCGAGTTGAGCACCTCATCCCCTTTTCAGTTAAAAGGAAAGGTTCCCGGAATGTAATAACTGGAGAGATACAGAGGATCACGTCTTTTAATTCTTGTTTAAATGTCAAAGAGTAAGTCTTTCGTTTATCTTCAGAGGAGGTGACTTCCTCAGTAATGTACATCCCGGTGTCATCCTGTAGGGGGTCTCTAAAGGCTCTTATCGGGCTTTTGGGATCCTGGTGTTCATCTGTTTGCTGCGAAGTCTCTGGCTCTTTATGTCCTATAGCATCCTGTTGATCCATATGGAGAGGCAACAAGGATTCAGGTACCAATGCAAAGAGAGCACAGGGAATACCTGCTGGGCAAGTGGGTGCAGAGTAATCTTGATGTTTCACAGAGGCAACCGCCTGGGGAACACTTTTACTGTCCTGCTCACCCTTCTCAAGCATAATCCTTGATTCCAACAAAGTGCTATCATCAGAAGACAGGGAGTCAGGAGGGCACTCTGGGTCCTGGGGAAGGGAGCTGCCACTGTACTGCTCCTGAAGCACTCCTTCTTCCCCTCGGCCCTCAGACAGAGAATGGAATGAAGGGCTTTGCATTAAAGTTGGAGGCATAGCAAACTCATCCATGAGAAAGGAGATTTCTAGTTGAGAATGATAAGCTACACAGATCATAAATATTAGGATCTCCTTAACTCGAGCCAGCTCATAATCTGAGCCTCCTCTGAGCTTGATTGTACATCCTAGGTGCTGTGGACAGCCTTCAAAAAACATCAGTGTTTTGGTTTGTTCTACAAATAAACAAAATTAAGAGACTTAGGTGAAAATCCAGAGAACCAGACAGAATTTATTACCAACAAAAAAGAAAATCCTTACAGGAATAAGACCACACTGAATCATTCTCTCTCTACCAATGCTAACAGATATTAATACTTCCTGAGTAAACAATACTATATTTAACTAGGAGTTGATTCATTTCTTGAGATTCCCCAAGCTAAGTAAATGTATGTTTAAGATGACTCACCATTAGGTAACTGAAATATCTGCATATAAAATTTGTGGCAAGTGCCCAGGTGTGGTTTAGTGAGCAGCTGGTCCATGGACACCACTAAATCACCTTGGGTCATTCGACTGATTCGTTCTAAAACTTGCTACAACACAGAAAAACAGTGTATTACAGAATTAGCTATGAGTAAAATTCTTAATAAATTTAACCTGAAAAAGTACATGAAGTATTAAAATAAAATAATGTTCACAATCAGTTTCCTTAATTTTAATAATTTTATGACTTTTTTATTCAGTATTAGATCAAATCTGCTTGCTAAATAACCAATGTATGGCCTCAAAAACAAACCATGCTCGCTGTAACATCATCACAAGATGCACATGGTATGGGGGTGCACCTGTATAGCCCCAACTATACAAAAGACATAGGACCAGTGCAAGTCTGAGGTCAAACTGATTAGTGAGTTCCAGACCTCCTAGAGGTACAACCTGGGACCTTATCTTCTTTTTTATTCTTACTTTATTTTATTACCTTTTAAAGAGCATTTGGCTACACATTGTCTTAGTACAAAATACTATGAGCAAACAAACAAACAGAAAAATCCGTTTCCTTAAAAGTGGCCTCCATTTTGCAGAGGGACCAGTGAGGCACTAGTTGATGAAAGACCCAAAAGAACAGCTACACAGTCAGTCACACCTGCATCCAGTGCGAGTCCACAGTCTCAATAATAAAGTAGCTACCACACCTGTGACCCACTTTCAACATAAGTAGTACATCAAACAGAAAGAATGCTGCATACCTACCATACATGCATATTAATTTAAAAGCCATGGTTTTTTAAGTGAATAAATACAGAAAACACTCACTGACTTTACATTAATGACCAGAGTAATGCCATGTTCCAGTAACATGTCCTGAGCAATCCGAGATACTGTTTTCTCAACTAGAACCAATGTGGGTCGAACATCAACTATCCGTTGAACATAATTCTTCAAGAATTCCCTTTCCTAAGAGAGATAAAACAGAAATACAAAACCTGGTAAAATTCAATATTCAAACATATTAAAATATCATGATAATCTGACTTAATATCAATTTTCTATCTAAAATTTTTCCTTCACAAATAAGTCTGTAAAAACTTTAAATATAACAAAGAATTTTAGTCATAATTCTAAACTAGTCATTATACTTAAAAGTTTTAGAGATGTTTCATCCTCCAATCAATTTTATTTTGAAAGCTTTTCAGTCCCTGAATCTATAATTTGCTGAAGATGTAGCTCTGTGGGAGAGTACATGCTGAACACACTTAGGGTCCTGTGGATCAACATGTGAGCATGTGTGTATGTGTATGGATAATAAACACTAAGAACCTAGTAGCATAAACTTTTAAGAAACAAAAAGCCTATTCCTACACCTGTTACAATAAAAGCAACTTCTAAGTTTGTGTGATTATGAATTTTCTTTTCCATCTGTAATGTACAATCGTCTCTCTCCTAGGAGTCAGAATTAATAACCCTCAGACAGATGCTACTCCACCTGTTTCCTAACATCATACCCTACTTTAAACAAATACAATTCAAGTTCTTAATGTAATGCTTAATATAATACCACCACAACAGTCGGGCGTGGTAGCACACACCTTTACTCCCAGTCCCTGGAAAACAGAGGCATATGGATCTGAGAGTCTGAGGCAGCAAGGGCTATTACTCAGAGAAACCCTGTCTGAAAAAAAAAAAAAAAAAAAAAAAACACTGAATTACTTTGTCCAAATAAACCTCCCCTTTTTGATTTTCAAAGTTAAAAAAAAGAAAGGAAAAAAAAGAGAGAAAAAAAAGAAATTTCACCACAATAAAAGCTTCATTTCATTGAGCCTATAATTCATGATCCAAGAGAAGCTAAATAAGAAGGTGAACCCAAAGAAAAACATATAGTTATCCTCCTGGATACTGGAAGTAGACAAGATTGCCGGGCAAAAACTGGGAACTTGGGGATGGGGTGGGATGGGGGTAAGGGGAAATGGGGAGAGAAAAGTGAGAAGGGGAGGATGAGGGGAGCTTGGGAGAATGGGATGGTTGGGATAAAGGAAGGGTAGATATGGGAGCAGGTAAGTATATATCCTAATTAAGGGAGCCATCTTAGGGTTGGCAAGAAACTTGACTCTAGAGGGGCTCGCAGGTGTCCAGGGAGATGTCCCCAGCTAGTTCCTTGGGCAACTGAGGAGAGGGAACCTGAAATTACCTTATCCTATAGCCATACTGATGAATATCTTGCATATCACCATAGAACCTTCATCTGGCGATGGATGGAGATAGAAACAGAGACCCACATTGGAGCACTAGACTGAGCTCCCAAGGTCCAAATGAGGAGCAGAAGGAGAGAGAATATGAGCAAGGAAGTCAGGACCGTGAGGGGTGCACCCACCCACTGTGACAGTGGGGCTGATCTATTGGGAGCTCACCAAGGCCAGCTGGACAGGGACTGAATAAGCATGGGATAAAACCCAACTCTCTGAACATGGCGGACAATGAGGGCTGATGAGAAGCCAAGGACAATGGCACTGGGTTTTGATCCTACTGCATGAACTGGCTTTGTGGGAGCCTAGCCTGTTTAGATGCTCACCTTTCTAGACCTGGATGGAGGGGGAGGACCTTGGACTTCCCACAGGGCAGGGAACCCTGACTGCTCTTCGGACTGGAGAGGAAGGGGGAGAAGAGTGGGAGGAGGGGGAGGGAAATGGGAGGCAGGGAGGAGGCGGAAATTTTTTCAATAAAAAAAAATTTTTCTTTTAAAAAGTAAACAAAAGCTTCATTTCAAAGCAAATGAGTACTTGTACACAGCCCAGGGTCATATAATACAGTCTTAACTGTTTCTACTCCCCACATAAATGAGTGCTGTACACAGCCCAGGGTCATATAATACAACCCTTAACTGTTTCTGCTCCCCATAAGAGACACTGAAAATGAGCGTGTCTACCACTGTAGCGAGCTGCGTGAAATCACACCTGATGGAGATGTATAATCAACTCCTGAGATGGCTAAGGCCTGACCTATGCTATGATCACGCAATGATTATCAGCTGCCTGCATATGCGTGAACCTATGCGCAGTGCCCACCTGGCAGTTCGGGGTTGGCAGCCCATGCCTACTTAAGAGAGAGGTTTGCCCAAGGAGAGAGGTCAAGGAGAGAGAGGAAAAGTGAGAGAGTGAATAAAGTCCTGGAATAAACTGCAGTGAGAAGAGCTCCGGTGGTCGCGTCATCCTTGCGGGACGAGGGTGGCCGTGACACACCACTTCTTCTCCACGTGCCCAAAGCATTTCTTCAGCAGTCTGTACAACCATTCCCAGCCACCTCAGTACACGAGATTTTTACCAAAATAAACTACCCTGTAATGAAGGGCATTCTTCTGTCTTTCTCTGCTTTACTTAGAGAAAGTAGACATTTTTTGGCTAGCATGCTGGCATATGCCTTCAATCCTACAACTCCAGACTCTGAAGATAAAAGTTGGAGATAACCCTAGGATATGTAGAAAGACTATGTCAAAACAAGCAAACAAACAAAAAGATACAGCAATTGTGCATTCTCAAATTCTCCCTTTATTAGTAAAATGTTTTTTCTGATATAAATTTATTTCCCAATCTGCTTACTAAAATTTAATTCAATGACATTTGAAATAATTTTGTTTGTACTACTTCAATAAAATAGAATTATTTTTTTCTGAAACCAAGCAAAGTTAAGACATACCTGTAATCTCAGTGTTCAGAAGTCAAATGAAAAGTCCCAGGGAGGCCCAGGCTATATAATAATAAACTCTGTGTTACATTAAAAGTCCCAGGGAGGCCCAGGCTATATAATAAACTCTGTGTTACATTAAAAGTCCCAGGGAAGCCCAGGCTATATAATAAACTCTGTGTTACATTAAAAGTCCCAGGGAGGCCCAGGCTGTATAATAAACTCTGTGTTACATTAAAAGTCCCAGGGAGGCCCAGGCTGTATAATAAACTCTGTGTTACATTAAAAGTCCCAGGGAAGCCCAGGCTATATAATAAACTCTGTGTTACATTAAAAGTCCCAGGGAAGCCCAGGCTATATAATAAACTCTGTGTTACATTAAAAGTCCCAGGGAAGCCCAGGCTATATAATAAACTCTGTGTTACATTAAAAGTCCCAGGGAAGCCCAGGCTATATAATAAACTCTGTGTTACATTAAAAGTCCCAGGGAAGCCCAGGCTATATAATAAACTCTGTGTTACATGCACATGTGCGCTCGTGCACTCACACACATGATCAATTTCCTCTCAGATAAAATTCTATTTCCCTAACTGTACATAAAGCTCCATGCTAAAAGCAGGTCTAGTCTTTGTTCATCCAAGAGAGAGTATCAGGAAGTGGGCCCCAAGTACTGCCTGGTGATTACAAACCAGCAAGTCCAGCAGAGACAGAGTGAGCAAAGTCACAACCTACCTCTCCCCTGCACCTTGCCTCTTGCCCTTTCTCTCACTACTTTACACTTGGGGGTAGTAGGAAGGTCAGAAGAGATGTACAGGAGAAGGACAGGAAAAAACATTAAATTAGCTGATATTTTCTTTTCAAAGTAAAATGTTTAACACAACTGACATTAAAGGTTAAAAAAAAAGTTTGAAAACACTACTAATAAGATGCCTATTGTTATCAAGATTAAATCATGTTGCTAACTACAGATGTGCTCAAAACATAACCCAAATTAAAAAAATCAAGGTTGTTCACTAGATTCAAACAATGCAGTAATTGTGAATAAGTGCAACTTTTTAATTTAAATTATCTACAGATTTCAAGTATCAAAGTTCATGAAATCCAAGGCACAATTTTACACATTTTGACAACCCCACAACCAGGAAGCATATTATAATCAATATAGCTGTGATCTAATCCCATGAAAATATGCTGATACCATTTACAAAATCGACAAACCCAAGAGCAAGGATTACGTACCCAGACTGGGGGTAAGCCTGGGGAGTCCAGAAGAGCCCTTCCCTGGACCTAATACCCAGCACCAAAGCCAACAACTACAACAACAAAGAGACCCCAATATCAATATCCCTTCTACTCCATAAGCACAAGTAACTGAGTTTCCTTTGTTCCTCCCAGGCTCTTCTCTGAAGTCATACTCTACCATAACTACAAAGATTCACCTAAATCTAATTAAGAGCTTCCATCTTTACTGAATACAGCTGAAAGCTAAAGACAAGAGCTCCAGGAAATAGACTTGTTAACTAATACAGGGAATTTAAACAAGCATTTGCCTTGGACTACCACTGTGTTTTGCTAGTTACTATCTACAGAATGCAATACAAAGTGACTACTTCTACCATGCTTGAAAAAAATCTGACTATCTATGAATGTAAAAGTAATTTTTTTTACCTAAATATTTCTGGAACTAAGTATAAATGTTTCCATGTATATGGCATTTACATTCCTAAAAAACACGTATTTTGAATGATCACAAACTATATCAATAGTATTAATGGGAGAGGAGAGCTGTGTCAAAACAAAACAAAAAGAATTACATACACTGATACATACACTGGTAGTGACTTCAATACCCCGCTCTCACCAATGGATGGCCATCTAGACAAAAACTAAACATAGAAATACTGGAGCTAACAGGCATTATACACCAAACAGAACTAAGAGATATTTACAGAACATTTCACCCAGACACAAATAAATATACCTTTTCCTCTACACCTCATGAAACTTTCTCCACAACTGACCACATACTTAAGACACAAAGCAAATCTTAACAGATACAATAAAACTGAAATAATTCTTTGCAGACCACCACAGATTAAGCCTGAATATCAAAAACAAAAAGCTTACAAACTCATGAAAACTGAACAACTCCCTATTGAATAATAATAATTTAAAAAAATTAAAGACTTTCTAGAATCCAATGAAATTAAATACATGCATACCCAAATTTATGGGACACAATGAAAGTGGTACTGAGAGTAAAGATCATGGCATTAAGAGCCTAAAAAAAATTTGGAGAACTCTCATAGTAAGAACTTAACAGCACACCTGAAAGCTCTAGAACAAAAAGAAGTAAAAACACCCAAGAGGAATAGATGGCAAGAAATAATCAAACTGAGAGCTGAAATCAATAAAAGAGAAACAGAGAATAATAGAAAGAATCAATGAAACAAAGAGTTGGTTCTTTGAGAAAAATCAATAAGATAGACAGACCCTTATTCAAACTAACTAAAAATCCAAATTTTAACAAAATCAGAAATAAAAGGGGGGACATAATAACACACACCGATGAAATCCAGGGAATCATAAGGACATATATATTCTACCAAATTGGAAAATGTTATAGAAACAGCTAATTTTCTTGATAGGTACCACTTACCAAAGTTAAACCAAAATCAGATAAGCAATTTAAATAGATCTATAACCTCCAGTGAAATAAAAATCGTCAATAAAAGCCTCCCAACTAAAAAACGTCCAGGGCCAGATGATTTTTTTAAGAGTTTAACCAGACTTTCAAAGAAGAACTAATGCTAACAGTCCTCAAATTATTCCACAAAATTGACACATGAGGAACACTGAGCCGCAGTTACCCTAATAACCAAACCATATAAAGACTCAACAAAGAAAAAGAATTACAGACCAATTCCCTTATGAACATAGATGCAAAAACCCCAATAAAATACTTGTAAACCGAATCAAATAACACATCAAAAAGATCATCCATCAAGGTTCATCCCAGAGATACAGGAATGATTAAACATTCAAAAGTCAGTAAATGTAATCCACCATATAAACAAACTGAAAAAAAAATAGATGGTTATCTCAATAGATGCAGAAAAGAACTTTGACAAAATCCAACACATCTTCATGATAAAAGTCCTGGAGAGATTGGGGACAAAGGACATACCTGAACATAATAAAAACAATCTATAGCAAGCCTACAGCCAACACTAAGTAAATGGAGAGAAATGCAAAGCAATTCCACTAAAAAGGGACAAGACATGGTTGTCTATTCTCTCCATATCTACTCAAAGTAGTATTTGAAGTCTAGGCTAGAGCAGTAAGGGGATACAGATTGGAAAGGAGTCAAATTAGAAAGAAGTCAAAGTATACTTACTTACAGATAATGATAGCATACAAAAGTGACTCTAATATTTCTACCAGGGAACTTCTACAGCTGATAAATACTTTCATCAAAGTAGCTTGATAAAAGATTAACTCAACAAATCAGAAGCCCTCATAATACTCACAAGACAATCTGACTAAGAAAAAAATCAGGAAAACAATACCTTTCACAATAGCCAGATGAGGTAACGTAGGGCTGCTATTCTGGTACCCTTCACTTAGGAAACAAAAAGAAACCAACACAACCTCCACCTTGAGATATTGTTCTATTTGCAACTACACACAAGCTATTTAAATTCTACAAATAGGTATTAGTTGGAGTCTATTACAAATGGGAGGTTCCATTAGAGACTCGAGAAGTTAGAGAAACTGTTCCAGTAAAGCAAGAACCAAAGCAGAGAAAAGTAACAAATCCAAACTTCCAATCCATACACTCGCAGTCACATGCTCCTTTATCACTCTGAAACTTCAGAAACGAGTGAAGGAGATTTGGGTGAGCTACTTACTAAAGTGTAACAGAAACCTGCCGTGTACAATAAACATTTTATATGGAACAAGCAGCACAAAATGTAAGCATTCATCCCATCAAATGACTTCTTCCAGAAATTCTTACCTGAAGCACAATAGGATCAATGCAAGTAAACTTAGTTTCTTCTCTATAGAGATACTCAATGGAACACTTCAACAGAAGGATTTTGGGATTTTTAATACAAGAATTCATCTATAAAAAAAAAGGTTTGTTAAAGGTTTGCACTTTATAGACTTTTAATCATAATTTTAATTTCTTATATTCCTACTAATTAGCAATGCAAACTCCAATTTATTACTTTTGGGTTATTCACTTTAATTTTTTCAAAGCAAGTTCTTCAAAGCAACTTTTTCTTATCTATTCCTCTTTACTCTTATATTTTCATTTACTATATACTAAAACATATATACACTATGTTTTTCTTTTCTAATTCTCATGCTGTAAGAAGAAACAGCATGCTCTAGGTAGTGATAAGTATTATATGCAGACTATTTCACACACTCTAGATCAGCAACTTTGAAAGTGTATTTCAGTCTTTCTAAACTTCAAAAGTAGAAAAGAAAGGGGAAAATGTAATGGCACTTGAACATTATTCTAACACAATAAATTCCCCAACAATCTTAAACTGGCAAGCTCAACTGGGTAATGTAATGTGAGGTTAAAAGAGGTTAAAACACATTAAATCATTTTCAAAACGCAGAAATTCATGCCAACACTCAACCATGCAACTAAAGCCACATGCAAAATAGCCTGGGTCCTACCCTTAAGCTTTCAGTCTGACCCAGCTCACACAGCACAAACTGGCAACAGTTCTAAGAACAGTAACTAGCTGGGGTGCTGGGGGACAATGGTTTTACCCTGTAAAGATTTGTTTCTTGTACTTGTTTAATAAAATGTTGATTGGCCAGTAGCCAGGCAGGAAGTAGAGGTGAGGCAACCAGGCAGGAAGTTGAGGCGGGGTAATGAGAACAGGAGAATTCTGGGAAGAGGCAGTCTGCAGTCATCCAGACACAGAGGAAGCCAGACACAGAGCAAGCAAGATGTGACTGCCTCGCCAAAAAAGGTACCACGTCATGTGGCTAACACAGACAAGAATTATGGGCTAATATAAGTTATAAGTTAATAAGAAGCCTGAGCAATCAGTTTATAATTAATGTAGACCTCTGTGTGTTTTCTTTGGGACTGAACAACTGAAGGACCAGATGGGACAGAAACTTCAGTCAACAGGGAAAAATATATTCAGGCTCTAAAATTAAAGACTATGTCTAAATATGATCAGTGAGGCAAACCAATAATTCATGGCTATATTTCTACTTCTCCTACAGGATTTTCTTCAACTTCTGAAAAGACATAACATGCTTAGTCTTTTTCTCCCTTTTGGTTTTCCAAGACAGGGTTTCTCTGTGCAGTCTCCCCCCCTCCCCCCAGACAGGGTTTCTCTGTAGTTTTTGGTTCCTGTCCTGGAACTAGCTCTTGTAGACCAGGCTGGCCTCGAACTCCCAGAGATCCACCTGCCTCTGCCTCCTAAGTGCTGGGATTAAAGGCGTGTGCCACCACCGCCCGGCTCTCTGTGTAGTCTTAACTGTCCTGAAACTCACTTTGTGGACTAGGCTGGCCCCAAACTCACAGAAATCTGTCTGCTTCTGTCTCCTGAGTGCGGGAGTTAAAGGCATATGCTGCCATCACCCAGTTAACATGCTTACTCTTCAATAAACGTTACTTATTTTGGTTTGACATTCTGTCTTAAAAGGGTAATATACTGTTTTATAAGATTATATATGCAAACACCCAGTGATTTTGGGACAATGTCTAAGAAATAATATCGAATACCATCATATTATTTATAAGTGACCACTAACAATTTTCTAAAGGCTAAATGTCTTAAAGCCAGCTTTCTATATCAGTAATTTCCACATCCTAGATTTGACTAACTGTGGATAGAAAGTATCTTGCAAGACTGGAGAGGGGCTGTGTGTCCCAAGCATGCACAAATTATCTTTTTCTAATATTGTAACTTATTAGGACCTAAACACACTAGCATAACAACTATTTATACAACACCTACATTGTAGTTGCCATGGTAAGTCATCTAAAGATGATTTCAAGTCTATAGGAAAGTATTCAATAGCTTCTATAAAGAGCCTGAGCAGCAGATTTCAGCATTCCCTTGAGACCCTGGCATCCATAGCCTGCGATAACTGAGAGACAACTGTATTGGTCGATACTTAGAAAGGAGTAAAACGGGACTACAGGCCAACCATCTACTTTCCTAGAATAGAACAGCTGTCTCAACTCTTCCAGCAATAAAATCAATATCTCCTGTGATAAGGCCAAGGTATCCCAAGTTTTATAAAGTTTCCTTGATGGTCAGGAAGTATAGCAAGGTCTGAGAATGCTGCTATAGTTTCTCAAAATGTAAAGATCAGGGCGCTGAAGTAGTTAAGAGCAGCTGGTGTACAATTCCCAGCACCCATGGTAGCTCACAACCATCTGTTACTCCAGTTCCAGCAGCAGCAGATGCAATGCCCTCTTCTGATCTCCATGGACACCAGGCACACACATGGTGCACAAACATGCAAGCAAAACACAGAGAAAGTAAATCAGTAAAAATTACTTTATTATGACAACCAACAGATGACACTGAGACACTCACAGTGCCCACTTTCAATGCAATACTACTCTTCCCTTCACTTATCTACCTTTTCCTACTCCCTTAAACCTACTGAGTGAGACAGTTTAAGTTTAGGGGTCCATATATTTAGCAAGGTGCCCAGAAAATACTGATATACACTGTACTTTGAGACTCAAAAGCCCTCAGAAGTTCGAAACTCTTGGTGGGACACAGGAAACCTGCCTGCTTCTTTTAGTATTGTCTGACACTGTAACATTTTATACTTTTGTGTTTCGAGATTCCTGAACACTCAATATCTAACCTAACCTCCTTTTTTGTGCTAGTGCTGGGAAGACGCCTTGGAACTGAAGATAGAGCTATAATGGGTGAGAAGCATAAAAAACTAATGACAATTCTGCAGGAAGACCAGTTGTAGAAAACTACACCATTTAAAGGAATACAGCCTTTCAGAAAAACTCTACCTGGAAGCAGGGAATAGGGAGTCATGATACCAGTATGGTGCAAAACGTTGATCTGGAAACCTGACTCTTCTTCCTTCTTCTGTCTTTTGAATTTCCATATTCAAATCCCAATTCATCATCAGCCCTCTGAGATATTCCTGGAATCTCCAAACTTTTGCCTCTATGAAATACATGGCTAGGTACCCTTCAACATCTCCTTTTGTTCCATAATTGAGAAATTCCAGCCTATGAGCTTAGTACATAGCCATGGTCTGCTGAATTTCACTGCTGAACTGAAACTCATTACCTTTTTATGTGCAATGTTCTTGGTACAAACAAAGCCATTAACAACCACAGAATCAAATTTCTTTCCACCTGGAATCTAATAAAACAAGAAAACAATAAGAACCAGTGATATACCCTCCGACTTTATCACACGACTAAGTAAGGGCATGGCGGTTCAGAATACAGTTCTCATCATCTCACGTTATCTCACCATTACTGTGTTCTCCTGCCCTCTAATCACTAACAGCATATGTGCTACTCTAAAATACTCATTGACTAAATAAGCTGGTGTCTGTGGCAATACTTTTAACATTAACTACTACAAGTAAAATATATATTCAGAACTTAGTATTATCTAACTAAAGCAACTACCCACTGCTTTTCCTCATGACAGTGTCAATAGTCTATGAGAACAGACTTTCTCATAAATGACTTTCCAAAAAGAAGCATTAAGAAAGGAAGAAATTATATTTATTCTGGTCCTCATCACACACCCATCTCACTCTTCCCACGCACCTCTCACTTCCTATGAACAGCTTCCAAGAGCTCTACTTGTACTGTACAGAGCAGACAGCCTCACAATGACGGTTCCTTTCAGATCACCATTAAGAGATAAATGACTACTAGCTCTGCCTCATCAGTTCCTAGCATCGGCAAACATTAGCAGAGCTCACCTTCTTGATGTGGACAAACTGGCGGATATCCATGTCATCATCCTGGTGCTTAACATCAGGTCGGACTGTCTGAACAACCTGGCAGACTAGGGACACAATGATGTCCCTCCAAGACGATGACAATGACTCGTTGTGAATCAACTGCTGGAGTAGTGCCATCATGTGGTTATGATTAGCTGAGCTACAGAACGTCACAGAAACAAGTCTGCGGTGAGGACTAAAGACACAAGAAGCATTCTACAAAGAAACATTCCAATTATGGTTAACAGATAAGATCTTCCATGCCAATTTCATTCCTTCAATATATCGACACCATGACTCTGCACGTAATAGAATTCTGTGAATATCTTCGAAGTAAGAAAGCCCCTTCAAACTGTTCAATGAAGAGTCTAACACATAAACTAGAATGGAGACAATCAGCTTGGGATTCTGTTTTATGAGCTACATCATCAGAAGTCAGAATACACTTTCTATTACTATTTTCCACTTTATAAGGAAGAGGAATTATGCATATATCCAAGCCACTGGAAATAAAAATCTAGCGCCTTACAGCAGCCTTTCCATGGCTTGCTTCTCCTCATTCTCCTCCCGCAAGAGCTCCAGGTTGTTATGATGCCAGCCCAAAGGGGTAAAGGGCAGTTCTTTGGATTTTTCCTCTACTCGACGATTAAACAAAGATTCTAAACACAAAATAAGAAGTTAGTATTTCACTGTCATGTTTTACACCATCAACTCATATACTTAGAAAATAAAAGTATCTTAAGTTGACTGATATAAATTATTGCTATAAAATAGCTAAGACCTGTACAACACACAATTAAAATATGTAATAAAATATGTATCAACAATACATACATCAATACACTAAATTGCAGAAGCAGAGCTTGAGGTATAGTGCTTCTGTATCATGTGCAAGAACCTGCATGGTAGGGGGAACCCAGAAACAACTGGCATCAGCCAAAATCTGAGCACAGCTATGAAAAGTAACTTGATCTACTGAGAGGAACAGAGACTCTCAGTCAAGAGTATCAACATCAATTCTAAAAGACAAACAGAATAGTATTTTTGCATTGTTTGTTTTAAAGAGTTAAAAGAATGCAGATTTTGCACATAAACTGAAAACCATATTCAATTGAAACCTGAATGGTGACAATAACAGAGTCATGTGTGCACTGAATTCTCAAGAGAGAAATTCTCAGGGACACCCCAGCCCCAGATGACAATATAGTCTCTCAACACAGTCTCCACTGTATTTTTACAATATAGGCTTTAAAACAAAATTTTAACAAAGTAGACTAAAAAAAAAAAAACTTAAAAAAGTTATACTAAATAAAACTTAATAGTTTTATATAAGATTTTGAAGTCTTTAAATTTTTAAAAACAGTGAAATGATTGGGTGTGGTCATGCACATCTTTAATCCTAGAACTCAGGAGGCAAAAAAAGGCAGATCTCTATGAACTTGAGGCCAGCCTGGTCTACACTGCTTTCGGAGCTGGGAAATTAAGAGCACCTGCTGCTCTTCCAGAAGACTGGAGGTGAGTTCTCAACACCCACATTAGGCAGCGCACAACCATCTGTCACTAAATCTCCAGGGGTTTCTGCGGGTGCCTGCATTCACATGCGCATAAACACATGTAGACACACACTTCTTACACATGACTTTAAAAGATAAAAATAGTAATTTTTAAAAGGGCAAAATAAATTACAAAAAGTTAAAAAAAATAATGTTTTACAAAACGTGCTCATTAAATAATCATTGAATACTATGACAACAAATGAAAAGACAAAAATTCTAGTGCTTTCTCTTTTAGAGCAAACCAGCTTCTATAAAACATGGTACATAAGGCTCAAGACTGGCACTTCTCGATAATGAACAGCCAGTCTATAAACTTCCAGTTGAGCTAGATGTTAGCAGGTAAATTTAGATAGAGTATCAAGCCAGATCAGCTGCCACTGGCCTCCTGATTCCAACTTGCCCCACCTTCTCTCTTTTTCTAAAACCCCAGGAACTAAGATGACCACTGGAGGAGTCTTTTTCTCCCTTTGTCTTTCTCCACGGAAGCAAAGTTTAAGTTAAAGGTAGGAGAGATCTGTACTCATCTGCTCTTCTTTAGTCTCAATGAAACTCATCAGTAGATGTGGTGCTTTGTTCTCTTTGCCTACTTCTTTTCCCAACTGTAGAGGGCAAACACCAAATTCAAGTGATAAGCTCACTTGTGAGCTTTTTGGCAAAGAGGCACTCCTTGACAATATGCACATCAATATTCACTTTTATACACTGCCTATAAAGAATAAAATACAAACTACTCAAAAAATTAAACAATCATTTTTAAACTAAAGATTCTCTCTCAAATCAAGACCAAGTTTGTATCCTTGACTTCCAACATACTCAAAAGTCATTCTACATATTTAAAATTATGTTCCTGTGATATTAATTAAATATGCTTTCAGCACTTTCTGTCAACATGCTAAAACCTCAAGCACACCATCATGAAAAAGACTTCATTTCGAGTACAGTTGTTTGTAGAATTACCTTTGATGAAGGCATCGCTTATTGAGAGCTGCTGTCCTCCAGTGTCGGAAACCAAATACTCTGCAAACCAGGAGAAGAGAGAAGAGGAAGGAAAGACACATGACTTCAACAGGCCAGCGTAAGTATGCACAACACCCACGCACAGTGTGCACGACTCTCCGGAAAACTTCAGAAACATTTTCACTCAGATGTTTCTATACACAGGTTCTATATATTTCATATTAAACTATTTTCAGTAGACTTAAATTGACAACAGAACCATTAAACAATTTGCCTTGGCTCAAATGTCAGGCATTTTAACATATATTTTTCCAAATGATGCTTAGTTGCCAAAACAGAACTAATTTAGAAAACTGCTTCCACGTTGAAACATGGAAACTGAGGTAACCTAAATCTGTGTTCCTGGGCCACGGTCACTCAAAATGGCTCCAGGATAACCTCTCTCTTGTTTCTTTAAAACAAACATAAAAAGCAAAGGTCTTTAGTGATTAGTATAATAAGCCTTAAAATACCACACCACTTTTCTCACGTACTACTGCATTATCTAACAATAACTATCTATGTATACAGTACTTCATAGAAGCCACCTAAGAGAACAGGATAATTATTTTAACTTCAGAATATATGCAATAAAATGAATTCATATGGTAGATGATAAAGATATAATTTCAGGAATTTTGTGGTTAAGTTTTAAAGTCAGTTTTTGGTTCTTTACAACTTCTAGCTTACTACCAAATCTTTACCAGAAGAAAACTAATGAACAGACTCGGAATGCCTTCAAAGCATTTAAAATCTAAACACTTCCACAAGTGAACTTTCCTCGAGACACAGCTTAGAGGAGTTCTTTCTACTATGCAAACTAAACCGCAAAGAATTTACTATTTTAATGTGAATATTCTCCACAAATTTTTTCTGAGTTCATTTCCAAGCCAATACATTCACCCTTCCAGTCAGGAAGCAGAGAAAACATTATAACTGAGGAGCATCATACAATACAATCAGGTACATAGATACAATTTGTTTCTATAATTTATTTCTGGCAGAAATAAGCAATGCCAAATTCTGTTAGTTCAACCCATGCATTGTTCTTTAAAAGCCCTACTTCTCATACTAAAACTTAAGATATCAAATTCCAGAAGTGATGGTTTACTCCTTATATTATGGAAAAATTAAAATACACAAAAAGTCCTGTCTACTGTCCACCTAGATTCAGTAATTATTGAAGACTTGTCATATCTGTTTTCTCTGTATATCTGTACATGCTTTTAAAGTTACCCTGCAGCTAGAGGAATGGCTCAGGGGTAAAGAATATCTGCTGTTTCCCAGAGGACCTGGGTTCCATCCCTAGCACCCACATGATGGCTCACAACTCTTTGTATTACAGTTCCACAGTACCCTATACCCATACTCACAGATATGCACACATACATGTAAACAGAAAAAAATTTTAAATGTAAGTTATCCCAATTAATTCAAGTTACACACAACACTTTTCAAGTAGCACATCAGGATGCCTCTCTTTAAACAAGGCCACTCAGGCGGGTGGTGGTGGTGCACGCCTTTACTGCCAGCACTGGGGGGCAGACAGGTGGGTCTCCCTGAGTTCAAGCAGACCAACAGAGCAAGTTCCAGGACAGCCAAGGCTGCACTGAGAAACCCATCTCAAAAACAAAACAAACAAACAAAAAAACCAAGGGCACTGTTCTCTGTAGCCACCACATCCTGTACACACTCAGGAAAACACAGATACTGCGATGCGACAGTCACAGAACGGATCCATATTCACACTGATCTATTTGCAGAGTCTGGAGCCCATCAAGTTTATAAAAGACTCCTCTTGCTATGCCTCCTCACTCTCTTTTCATCTAGAACACACCTCCTACTTTCTTTCCACAATAATGAATTCTGACAGAAGCAGGCAAATGTCCTACACGAAGTCCCCCTTTCTAGATATGATCCAGTGTTTCCCCATGGTGTGTTGAACTTGCTCCTCGATCCCATGTTTTCTATGCATGGGAAAGCTACTCAAAGGGCTTATAGAGCCATGGCTTTCACCTGTGTCAAAGTCCAGTCACTTTCTAAAAGCAGCTCAGAATCCTGCTTGTAACACAATATATTTTAATAATACAAATCTTCAAAAAAAATGAAAAATTATTAAACCAGAAAGCACACCAAGTTTTCCAAGCTTTTGAGGCTGTCTTATAGAATATTTTTTAAAAAGCAACTTTTTAAGTATGGATATTTCAGTAGTTTTAAAAATCTAAATTCCTTCAGCTATAAGAAATAAAGGATGGGCTGGAGAGACGACTCAGTGGTTAAGAGCACTTACTAGCTGTTTTTTCCTGAAGTCCTGAAATCGAATCCTATCAACCACATGGTGGGTCATTACTATCTACAATGGGATTTGATGCTCTCTTCTAGTATGCAGATAGAGCACTCATATGAATAAAATAGTTGGATGGCTGGCTGGCTGGCTGGCTGGCTGGCTGGCTGGATGGATGGATGGATGGATAGACGGACAGCTAGGCAGGTAGGCAGGCAGATGGTAGATACACACACACACACACACACACACACACGAAATAAAGGGCAATCCACAAGAAGGATAAAGCCAGCATCCCTGCTCACATAGGCAGAACTCTATTCCTTCACAAAACTCTAAGTTACTTTGATAATCTTTTCTTGTTAGCAGTCAGTGTTCAACTTAACTACCACAGAGTAAAATATTTCCTTCTATTTCAGCTTCGTCAGACAATAAGAATTCTCATTAGTACAAGAAAGGCTAGTGAGAGGGAATTTTGAGGGCAAGAACAGGTAGAGACTCTTAAGTCCTCACATCACAAACGAAGACTATCAGGGTTGTAAACAACCAATCAGATCCACCTAAAAACTATCCTCTTTCTAGTGGTAAACCCTCTTTTCTAATATTCTTGCTGAGTGAGCTAAAGGAACGCTCTTATAAGTTCTAAGGCCAGATTTTCATCTCACGGATTTGGAGCTAAAAGAAAATCGGAAGGACATTAAATCCAGCTAATCTCTAACCAGATGTTAGCATCTATCCTCCATAACCCTGACAGGTGGACATCCAGATTCAACGTGAACACCTCCAAAGCCAAGTGGCAGAATCTCACTACCCCAAACTATTGAACTTGACTCTTTTACATACAAAATTCCCACCTTTTCTTTCAGATACCTTAGGGACAATGACATTAAGCCTTCATTTCTCCACTGGCCCTTGGTCAATACTTTCTTAGAACAATTTTTAGAAAATACAAAGTATGTTATATGCATATATGAAAATAGCACAATGAAATGCATTATTCTAGACAGTTACTACACACTTATAAAAAACTACTGAACAGGGGTTGAAGAGCTAGTTCAGTGGTTAGAACACTAGCTGCTCTTCCAAAGAACCTGGGTACAATTCCCAGCACCCACATGGTGGTTCACGACCATCCGTAAATCTAGGTCCAGGAAATCCACTGGCCTCTTCTAGCTTCTACAGCACCAGGCCCACACATGGTACACATACATACACGGAGGCAAAACAACAATATACATCAAAATGGAAATGGAAATGTTTATAAAGTATCGAACAGAAACTGAGGGGATGACTTCAGCCTGCAAAGTGCTCGTCACACAAGCACGAGAACCTGAGTCTAGATTCCAAGCACTCGTGTAAAGAAGTCTGGATGTAGCAGCACACGCCTGTAATCCTGCAGTGAGGAAATAGAAACAGGAGGATCCTGGGGCTTGTCAACCAGGCAGTCTAACAAAATCAGCAAGTTCCAGATTCACCTGTCTCAAAAAATAAGGTAAAGAACAATACTGAGTAAGATAGCCAATGTTGACCTTTGGCCTCCTCCATACACACACATACACAAGATTTCATATAAACATATGTCCCACACAACCCCCCCACACAAAGTGCTAAACAAACTGACTATAGACATGGCAAGTCCTATAACAAAACCTAGGAGGATATTCTTCCTGCTGGTATCATTTCAATATTGTGCACAATCATTCAAGCAAGCTACAAACTAGACGTCAGTATTAGCAGTAGCACTGCTGACTCCAACCAAACACGCTATGCTTTGCATGTTTCCATACAACAATAAAGCTCACAGTGGGCAGAATAGTAGGCGCCGGTGGCCAGGGAGTAGGGAGAATAGGGAAGAACTGGTCTAGGGTAGAAGTTTCAGTTATGAAAAGGAACTGAGATCTACTTTATAGCATGATTGATGCAATATGGTAATGTGTAGTAGATATTTCAAAATTCCTAAGAAAGTAAAATTTGAAGGTTCTTGTCATAAAAAAAAAGTTAGTTCCTGAGATGCCAGATGTGAACTGGTTTTATTGACTCATTGTTCTTTATATACAAACGTCATTGCATCACTTTATACCATATAACTCCCAAATACAAATGTGAAAAGATTTATGAATATATGAAAAAAGTCATAATGAAACCTATTATTATTATCTTTTTTTTTTTTTTTTTTTTTTTTGCTTTTTCGAGACAGGGTTTCTCTGTGGTTTTGGAGCCTGTCCTGGAACTAGCTCTTGTAGACCAGGCTAGTCTCGAACTCACAGAGATCCGCCTGCCTCTGCCTCCCAAGTGCTGGGATTAAAGGCGTGCGCCACCACTGCCCGGTGAAACCTATTATTTTATACTATTAATCTACACTAATAAGTGTTGGACAATCATGACTATGGGAAGCAAAGCCCTATAGGGTAACTTAGGACATCCTCTGCCTACCAGCATCTAATAGACAATGATCATTTTAGCATTTTAACCAAGCAACAGATTATTATAAAGCTATTTCAGACTCCATAGCCTGTTAGGTAATCACTATACCAGAGTTTTATCCTTAACTCAAGAGAATACTCTTAACATGTTTCTCATGTTATACTAGTTATCGTAAAGATCTTTGTTATTTTTCTTATTTTTTTAAAATTTTATATGCATCGGGTATTTTGCCTTCACATATGTCTGTGTGAGAGTGTCAGATTCCTCGGAACTGGAGTCATGGACCAGCTGTGAGCTGCCATGTAGGTGCTGGGAATTGAACCCAGGTCCTTTAGAAGAGCAGCCAGCGCTCTTAACCACTGGCCCATCACCTCTCTAGCCTCCTGCTATTTTTCTTAACAAGTATGTAAGCTTCCTTCAGACTTATCATCACGTGACAGCTACCGCTCACATCTTTAAAAAGTTTTTTTTAAAGATTTTATTTATTTATGATTTCTGTCTCTTCCCCTTAAAGCAAGGCAGTTTCCAAGAAGAATCATGAGCTTTCAATTGCAAGTATCTCTCTTTTTATTCTCCAGGGAGTTATACTGAGGTTGGCAAAAATGTCATTTTTGAAGTCTCCAGTTCCATTCCTCACCCAACATTCTGTGTTAGGTTTCCTTCCTAAAGTATATGTGTGCCAGCTTAGCAGTCCACCCTCTGCCATTAGGAATTCTATGATCAAAGACTACTTTTTTCAAACTTTTCGGAACATCCTTAACATTACAAGGGGTAAAACCACCAGCAAACAGCAAGTGTACTTTACACTTGGCTTTCAGCAAAATGGAACAGCTAGCATGCATGTTCAGAGGGCAGATGTCCTGTCACGACAGTCTTCTGCTGACCCCTCCCTATCAAAAGCCTAATCTCATGGAACTGTGGCGTACAGTACAGTCTCACAAGGGTCAGATCTCCACAATGCCCTTCACACTCACCTAAAAGCTCACCTATGGTCAAATCTCCTTTCTCTCTCTCTCTCTCTAAAAGCTCACCTATGGTCAAATCTCCTTTCTCTCTCTCTCTCTCTCTCTCTCTCTCTCTCTCTGCCTTATTTTTTAAATAAGAAGCACCTTTTATTATCACGATTATCTTAATTAACATTTTATCACATCTTGATAATAGTTGACAATTATGAGAAATTTGTTTGGGGATGTAAATATTTCAAATTATGAAATAAATTTTAGGTTCTATAAATTTTTATTATTTTTAGGTTCAAAGTAAAGAGTAGCAAAGAATTAGGCAACCATTTCAGAAGCAATTCAGTTTTACAGAGTTAAATGTTTAAAATTCAAATACTGCATAAAACCATGGAATTGAGCATTATATTTATAATAAAGATGTTTTGATGATTATTATTAAATGAACTCCCATAATTACTTATTTTATTTTCTTTGAAAAAAATGGTGCATTAGCTTCATTAGGTTTTACCTGAACTTAGTTTCTAATTGTATCTAATAATATATATCTCATCCTACATGTTTAAAAAGGAGCAATCAATTCATGCTGCTATGTTACATATTAGAAAAGGTTTGCTGTATCTTTCCTTTTACATCATGTTTTTGTTTTTCGGATTTTTTTTAATGTGGTCATTAGTATTTTTGAGTTCACAAACTAAAAAATCAAATAAGACAGCTAAAGAATTAATTACAAAAGAATTCATTTCTCACTAGAGAAGACATTTTAAAATAAATGTAATGAACATAAATGAATAATTTCCCCCATCTACACTCAAGCAGAACAGCACAGGCAAAGAGGATTTGTGATGTTAAATGAGGAAAAGACAAAAGAATAGAGCAGAACGTCCATGTTATAAATGCAAAGAATTTCCACCTTGGAAGTTGCACATTATGGGAAGAACAGTCAGATACAGTTCCTTTTAAAGACTATATGCTTTAAACTGGGCATGGTAGTGCAAAGGGAGAAAATAAGAAATAAAAAGAATCAACAAAAAAAGGTGTGGGGAGGAGTACGGGGTGAGGGGGATCCGAACAAAACCCACTCCAGAGCCCGTCAGCCTTTTGGGACAGAGGAAGGCAGAGGACAAGCTGTAATGAGACCCTAGGGCCCATCCAGGTGGTGACTGCCTCCTACCTTTTTGGTCAGCAGGGTGAGGGGGCACATGTGGGTACTTGGAGGGCTTCTTGATATGGAAGTTCACGTTGTCCAGCTCCACGTTCAGGCTGATAGAAGCGGCTGAGTCACTGTCCACTGTGGACTGGAAACTGCTGACTGAGGTGCGCTTGCTAGGACTGGCAGAATCTTTTAGTGTTGGGAAGGGGAAAGGAATACAGGGAGAGGGGAGTAAAAATGGGTTTTATCAGGGCATTGGAGGAAAGGAAAAAAATTTTAATACACAAGCCCAATGTGCAATACCAAAATGGATACAGTATTTTCACGTTCTTCTGGGTAGACTTAATAAATTTAAGCATGTTAAATTTAAAACGAATTTTTAAAAGAGGTTTTAAAGAGAAAATATACTGGAGGTTCTGCAGAGAGAGAGTCGATACCACAGTGGAGAGATAAGAAAGCTGCCTGCTGCAATATTAGCTCAAGAGTTACTTTTAAGCTGCTGCAAACTAGAGGCCATGGCAACATCCAGAAATGTCAGTTGACTAACAAGCTGCCTTCAGAAAATACTGTATCTAAGCAAGGATCACTACTATCACATGCTGACATCAAGTGGGAACCATAAATCATACACAAGACAATCATTTCACCATTTCAGCACAGCAATAAGCCATAAACACTACAACATTCGAAAGTCAAACTTACTAGCCAAATTATCGTCGCCTTCTTCAGCAATCTGTTCTGTGTCACTATCATCAAATTTTATGTCTTTAAACCAGGATGGTTCAGAGTGTCCTTCCACAGAGTTCACTGAGTCGCTGTCTGGAGAAGGTGTTTCAGAAAACTCGGTACTCTGAAAGGATCAAAGCAAACTGAGCAACTGAGCCTAAGTGACAGCATCAGCATATGATAAAGAAGTTGTGGCCTACATTTCTATAACTCTAACAACCCAATAAATTCACATAAAAATAGCTAAATAACAAAAAGGAGGTACAAAGCAGTAGTATCGTATTGATAACCACACTATTTGTTTGTTCATTATGCATACAATGTTCTGCTAGCATGTACATTCCAGAAGAGGGCACCAGCTCTCATTATAGATGGTCGTGAGCCATCATTTGGTTGCTGGGAATTGAACTTAGGACCTCTGGAAGAGCAGCAGGTGCTCTTAACCTCTAAGCCATCTCTCCAGCCCGATAATCATACTCTTAAAATTATAATTTTCACTGCTACAAAGCAAATGTAGCATTTTACAGATAAACATTTCTTTGATATGTAGTTGGCAAGGTGTCACCTCATCCTTTAGTGCTGGGTGAAGATAGCATAAAATGTAGTCTAACCCTGGCAACTCTAACCCCCTAGAAAACAATCCGATTCTAACAAATTATAGCACACCACTCTATGAGGCTACTGGTCATTTCTAATTATGGGGCTTCCAATTTCAGTTTATAAATCTTCATTCACAAGCTGCTCACAGTTTCACCATATGAATATATATGCGTGTGTGTGTGTGTGTGTGTGTGTGTGTGTGTGTATTCTTTTACACAAACCAAAATTTAAAGAATCACATCTTTTCTAAAATATTTATCTATAGCCAGGTGGTGGAAGCAAGTAGATTTCTGAGTTCAAGGCCAGCCTGGTCTATAGTGAGTTTCAGAAAGCCAGGGATACACAGAGAAATCCTGTCTCAAAAAAACAAAACAAACAAACATAATTATCTATAAATAATTTTCATTCTTATAAAATAAATTTTAGCATTAAATCGTTAGTGTACGATTTGTATACAGAGTCAAAATCTATCTCAATAGCTAATATCAAATTTTCAAGTCACTTTGATTTCCACTCTTAGTTCTAAAATCTCCCTCTTAGTCCTCAAGATAAAGAAAGTAAAAAAGAAAAGCATTAAAATTAAATGGCAAGTAAAATAAGTACCAGAAGCCCAGTGTGAGCAAAGACACAGCACACTGCAGACCTGATCCTAGAGGGAGGTCATTCAGTGGAGGAGCACTTCCCCTGCACTGAGTCTGAGAGGTTTAGAAACAGAGTCTTTAGGCCATTCACCCACTTTTTAGTCCTACTAAGGAAAACAGAATTTCGAAACGAGCTACTACATTCTTATCAGCAGTATCCCTACCAATTACCTGCAACGGTCTATACAGAGCATACTCGTCCCTGAAAAGCTGGTCATGATGACTGACACAGTCCAGCCAACGTCCATCAACCATCGCTTGTCCAATTGCTATCGCTTGTGCCCTAAATCAAGACCAAGAAAACTGAAATTTTACAAAGTCATACAGAGTAATGTATGTCAGGCACATAATAAAACACTTCTTTTTTTAAATTTTTATTTCTAATCTAAGAGAAACTATCAAATGGTCTTTAGATAAATAGGGATAAGAAAGAACTACTGAAAACAAACTCTACTAGGCACTACAGCGAAGGAGAAACTACTGGTAAGTAGACCTAAAACCAAGCTTATCTGAATTTCAGTAAGCATGCACTGGGTACATGAGGCATTCACACTCATCCTTAACAAAGTAAAAACACTGAGAATGGCATGGTTCCTATACTCAAACAACTTCCTGTCCTGATTAAAAAAAACACAAATATTAAAGAGATATGAAATACATGAATGAAATGGAAACAACACATTACAGTATATGACATTTCACAAATTTATAAAGCACTCAGCCAACATTATTTTGTTCAATACCCACAGCTTACTTACAATACTAAATCATTTCCCTACCATTGAAACTAAGGGGTCCAAATCTCAAAGAGACTGAAAAGTTTGACTAAAGACACAAAAGTAAAAAGACTTACAACCAAATTATGACCCAGAGGTTCCTGCTTATCGCTATTTCTTTCTTATCCCTTCTCATGAGAGGAGACTCATCTGAGCAAGTATCAAACACTAAGAGACATCTTAACTTGAAAGGTGTAGTGGTTTGCATAGGAATGGCCCCCACAGACTCATATGTTTGAAAGCTTGGCGCACAGAAGTGGCACTATTAGGAGGTATGGCCTTTGGAGAAAGTGTGTCACTGTGGGGGTGCGCTTTGAGGTCTCAGATGCTCAAGCTACACCCCGTGTGGTACACAGTCTCCTCCAGCTGCCTGCAGATCAAGATGTAGAACTCAACTCCTTCTGCCACACCACACCTGCCTGCATACCACACTTCTTGCCATGGTAGTGGACTAAATCTCGGAAACTGTAAACTTAATTAAATGTTTTCCTTTATAAGAAGAGTTGCCACAGTCATGGTGTCTCTTCACAGCAACAGAACGGTGACTGAGACAGTTCCCATATGCTAGATGTGTTTCCTAGTTGATGGTAGTGTTTGGGGGGATTTAAAAGATGAAGCTTTGCTGGAGGAATTATGTTAATGGAGGCCAACTTTCAGAGTGCAAACCTCCTGCCCTTCTACTGTGGTTCAAGATGTGAGCTCTAAGCATCCTGTTCTTGTCGCCATGCCTGCTGCCTGCTGGAATGCTACTGCTGCTGTTCTGTTTAGGTTTTTTTTTTTGTTTGTTTGTTTTCTGCTTGTTTTTGTTTTTCTTTACTTGGGAAAACGCCCCCACTAGAATGGCTGTGGTCAAACCTCTGGAGGATTTTCTTGATTAATAACTGATAGGGAAAGGCCCAACACACTACAGGTGCTCCCACTCCTCAGCAGGTGATAGCAGGTATGTAATAAAGGAGGCTGAGCAAGCCTGAGAGAGCAAGCCAGTAAGCAGCATTCCTCCAAGGCTTCTACTTCAGTTCCTGCCTCTACACCCTTGCTTGAATTCCTGTGCTGACTTCCCTCAGTGATGGAGTGTGACCTGAATGTTGTAAGCTGAAACAAACCCTTTCTTCCTCAGGAGCCTTTGGTCATGCTGTTGTGTTGTGTTTTGTTTTCAATTATTTTTTTATTCTGAGATTATAATTACATCATTTCTCTCTCCCCTTTCCTCCTCCAAGCCCTCCCACATACCCTCCTTGCTCTTTCAAATTCATGACCTCTTTTTTTATAGTTAATTGTCGTTACATATGTGTAAGGTGTTTGACCATAGCAGCAGAAATTCTAACTAAGATACCCATCATTATGTACTTTAACCCTCTATAACCTTAAGCCAAAATAAATTCTTTCTTCTATAAATTTCCTTGGACATAGTATAATATCACAGCAACAGAAAAGTAGCTAACACAAAAAACAGCAGATCCTGTCTGTCATATGTTTTATATATGATCTCTGAGACAGACTAGGTCCCTCCAGAAATGAGTTACGGACTCAATGTCTGGATTACAGAAGAGTGACAAGAAAACCCTTTGACCTTAGACTCTAGCTACAGTCTCCTATCCAGCTTTGCTAGGGCTCCATCTGAAGAGTTACTGCACGTTTCAGGTCCTGTGTGTTTGTGTGCACACGGGTGCTCATGTGGTGAAGCGAGCAGCTGAATCAACAGGAAGTGTCTTCCTCAATTGATACCCACCTATCTTTTGAGACGGGTATCTCACTATAGATAATTGGAGTTCATCAATTACACTTAGACCAGCTTACCAGCTGAACCTCTGGCCTCTGCCCCCCCAAGCTGGGTTACAGGTGTACATTGTTGCACCCAGTTTTTCCCATGGGGCTTTTCACTTTATTAGTCCTCCTCTTGTAGCATGCGGATTTGGTTAGTCCAACACAGGTCTTCCGGCTTGGGAACAAGTGCCTTCACCCACTGATTGATCTCACCAGCTGCAAGTCCTTGTTTTTAAGTATAGTAAATTGTGACCCCAATCAAGTTCCTTGCAAACATTTTCATCAGATGAAGGAAGTTAAAGAGCTTATTCCTCAAACCATCAAATCCATAAAACATCATAACTCGCAAAAGATACCCTTACATATTCAAATATACATCCTCGTCATTAATAAGCAATAAACTAATGAATAATTTCAAAACATCTTAAAATTATAATACCTTGTAGCAATGTGTCCATTTCTGATTAGCCAGTTGACTAACTCCTTTCCGACAATGCAGTTGGGATGTGTTCTCAGCCAGTAGCGGTGATCCTGAAATTCCATCCCGCTGCTGTGGTGGCAGATTTTCTTCCACAGATCTTTTAACTGGACACTGTCCTGCAATCACATGAAAAGCAGTTAGCTAGCCCTGAAAGGGTTCTGGGTACCTGTTCAGAGGCTCCTATGGCTGCGATCTCAGATGGAATCTGGGTGTGGAGTCCCTCACAGCTGCTAACTGTGGAAGTCATTCGGTATAAATGGCACATGCATGGAAACAGCTTCAATTCGACTCATTCGGGTTTTTTTTTTTTTTCTCTTCAAAACAAAATATTTCAAATGTTCCTTCTTTTTCAGTCAATGGCACATATTACTTGTCTCTCAGTTAAGCACACAATACATTCTATGGAGACAAATCAAGGTAGACAAAGACGACAGTCAATTACACAAACCTAGTTAGAGTAGCCTCCACTCCACAGATTCTAGATGTCCCCCCATTATTCTCAAGTGACCAGTAAATGTTTCTAAAGAAAAGTCTTTGTTAAATAGCTTCCTACTTAAGAAAACTTTCAAAGAAATTCATGAACTACAAGTTCAAACGTAAACATGTAAGGACAGATGTTGGAACAAGGTCCAAAATATGGAGAGGTGTGAGAATTCTGAGTGCTTATGGGAAAACTCCAAGAAAACAAGGCAAGAGTCTTGTGACCTTAGTTTCTTTAAAACACGGAATTGTTCCTGGAAGGTGTTTTTATGCTCCTCCCAGGTATAGCAGATAGGAGTTTAATTCAGATTACTCATCATAACTGGCTACTGCTATTTATTTATATGCCTCTACAGGAAAACATGTTTTTGCCACATGAGACTTGATCTCCACGTGTGGCTTGCTCTGAGTGTACATATCTCATGTGACTCCTCTTACCCTCAGAATATAAATTCGTCTGATGCTCTGAATAAAATTGGCAATTGCATGAGACTTTAACCTGCCTCATTTTACCAGCTCCATTCTCCCAAGTCCCACCACCAGCTAGAGAGGTAAAAAGGTGGCGCCAGGAACAGGGACTGAAATGGGCTATGAGATAAGAAAGCAAGGATACTCACAGAAGGAGGTGAGTGTGAATAAAGGGGCAGAAACCAGAGAAGGCTTCTCTAGAAGGAAAGATGGCACGGACAGTCCTTGCATATGATTTTGAGAAGAAAAGACCTACAGCACTTTGAATCTAGACTAAAAGACGCATTTGTGTATCATGTAGATCTTTCGCCTCCTTTAAGCTTACTTGCTTTCCCCACTTAGCCCAAGAGGATAAACCTTTGGAATGGATTTATTCACACCATAAGAGCCATAAAGTACCAACTGCTTACCTTACTCCTCTTGCTCTCAATTAATAAATCAGGGAAGAACCCAATGTCAGCAATTACATGGATTTATGAATTTGATCCTTGTTATATTACCCTTAACACTCAGGTTTTTTGGGTTAGTTTTTTTGTTTGTTTGTTTTCAAGACAGGGTTTCTCTGTGGTTTTGGAGCCTGTCCTGGAACTAGCTCTTGTCGTCCAGGCTGGCCTTGAACTCACAGAGATCCACCTGCCTCTGTCTCTGTAGTGGGATTAAAGGCGTGAGCCACCACTAAAAGTCAGTTGGGAAGCGATATGCAGAGAGAGCTTGTCAGGTGAAATAGGACTCTGTGTGTTTTCTTTTCCCTTGGTGCACAGGGCCTTATTTGATCCCACAACGGCAGACAGGACCTCTGATGATATGGTCAATATCTCCTTTTGTCCTTTAGCTGGAAATTTGCTGTATCTATTGCTTTGACCTGTGCATCTTCAGAGTGTGCCTCTGAACACTTATGTTTCTCATCCTCCTTCGCCTCAACTCAGGCAGAGTTAATGGATCCAGCTCCTGTTATCTTTACTAATGACTCCGTGTCTATGCTTGGACCTTAGGACCATCATAAACTCCTTCATTCATCTAAAGACAGAACTGAGTTTAATTTTTCTTTGGGATTTAAATCACTTCCTATTTGCATACAACATCATAACATTTGTGTTCCTATTAAAAGGCAAATATGGACTTAAATTCTACAAAGGTCCGGAACTACTAATCATATGGGTCTCTTTTCAAGCTATTCTCTCGATTTTTCTGATCAATATAATAATGTAACCAATGGTACTGGACATAGTTGGGATCCCTGTATTGGTGGCAGAGTATTACACAGAATGCTAGATTTAGCTACAACATCTCAAATCAAAACCATTCTGGATATCTACTAATAAAAAATTAAAAAGAGGGAGATGTCAGAACACAGTCATTTGTTGGCTGCATTTTCCCAGGTCCTATCACTTCTAAAATGGTAAATAGACAGAATGAATTTATTGGTTCCCAATGATAAATCAAAATAACCTTCATCTAACTAGTCACTGATTCCAACTTAAACTCAACAAACAAATTCTACTGTCCATGGAAAATGCTTTGATCCTAAATCTACACCTTTGTAATATCCTTAAGTAAGATTCACATTCTGCCTATCAAAAGTAATTTCAGCCTTTGAAATCCAGTTAGAGCCCTTGAAGACTTCCTAACTCCCTCAACTGCTAACAATCTTCCTATTTTATTTCTCTATAATATATACCTGTGTTATACATTTGATACATTTTTATTATTAAAGTAGCATTTCAAAGCTGGGCACAGTGGTATGCACCTTTTAATCCCAGTATCTGGGAGGCAGAAGCAGGCAGATCTCTGTGAATTCAAGGACACTCTCATCTACATAGAGAAAACTGAGGCAACACAGAGAGGTCATGTCTCAAACACAATAAAATTATAAAATAAAATATTACTTCTTTCACTAGTAAAAATATTCCCACCGATCTCATTTCTGTTTTTTGAATTAACCTCTTTAAGACAAAAGTCTTATTTTTCATTTCTTTGAATTGTTCTTAGAATTTGACAAATGTTTTACATATACATAAACTGAAAAAAGAACCAAAAAAAAAAAGAACCAATTACTATGTCATATAAACAGTTGAAATTAAAGTTTCTCAGAGTTTTCCATGTATGTAAGAATGATGTTTCAAAGTTTAAGCAAACTACAATCTAACTTCAATTCTTGTATTAGATAAATGATTTTGTCAAATGAAAGGGGGAAAGAAAACAGTAATACAATGAGTATGAAAGAGTATTTACCCAGTTTCTCAGGTGATGCTAGTAAATTAAAGGTTAAGCTAATTCATTCCCTGTCTAATTCGTAAACTTTATTTTTTTAGAGCAACACCCCAATTATCCCAAGCGAGCCTCAAAACTCATGATTCTCCTGCCTCCTCCTTCCCAGTACAGGATTTACAGGCATGCATATCAAGCCCAGCTGACACTTATGTATTTATTTCTTTATGGGAATAAAAAGTCATCATTTTTTACGCTCAAAACTAGCAACAGGTTAGATGCTGGACTGGTACCAGAAGAATTTTGCGTTCATCCTCAGTAGTCTCTGTTCTAACATAGGTTCGGTTAGCCTGGGGACTGACAGATGTCTCATATGAAGGAACCATAGGAGAACCAGATCGATCCAGTGACAGATTAGTAATGCTGGCTGATCTGGAAATAAAAACAAAAAGTACAATCACAATTTTAAATTCACCTGTGAATGGAGTTAAGTGAAATTCATACTCACATGTTTAGAAGCTATTGCTAGAGGAACGATATTCGTAGTTATGAGGGTGGACTACCACTAGAGAAAAGCAGGAAGGACACCAGAAACAAATGTTTGAGCAAAAAAATTTGAACAGTTTTAAATACTATAGGAAAACAATTATATAGTTTGTCTATTAGTATTTCAAAGGAAGAACACAAACTCTGCTTGTAAAAAATACTGGAAATTAATTTTTATAACTGAGAAAAACAAGAAATAACAACTACATACAATAACCTGCGTCTCTGGGTTAAACACAGTATGGCATGCATGCCAAATCCAGCCTGCCCTTGTTTTTCTATCACCCAGAAATTAGAAGAATCAGTTTTAGAGTTGAACATCTTGCAATGAATCTGATAATAGGAAAACTAATTACATCAGCCTCAAGAAAAAAATTATTTTCCTTCTCATTAGTAGGCCTGTATTTAAAATACTGTGCTCAAATAATATTATACAGGCCAGGTGGTGGTGGCACATGGCTTTAACCCCAGCACTTGGGAGGCAGAGGCAGGAAGATCTCTGAGTTTGAGAACAGCTTGGTTTACAATGTGAGTTCCAGGACAGAAAGTGCTACTCGGAGAAATCCTGTCTCTCAAAAAACCAACACACACACACACACACACACACACACACACACCTATTTCTTCAGTAAAAAAAAAAAAAGTTACAGGAAATGTGTTTCCTCTTGTTCCGTAAGTATTCTCATATATCTTTAACTTTGCTTCTATGCACATATCATATGACTTATAAATAGAATATCATAACACCAAGCTTTTATGTATTTTTAATTTAATTGAAATTTTAGTCATCATCTACAACAAAAACAAAAATAAAATCTAACTTTAGCTTCAACAGAAAAGATGAAAAGAAACATCACTTGACACTACATAACTCATTTCTGGGGTAACCTACACATTCTATGGAGTAAGTATTACTAGCTCACTTTACAGGTTAGGAAAAAAATTCAAGAACCAGGAGCCAGTGGGGTGACTCAGTTGGTAGGGGTGTTTGCCACCAAACCTGTTGATCTGAATTCAAACCTTGGACCCCACATGGTAGAACAGGAATCTCCATGCATACTGTGACATGTGCACACACACACAAATAATAATAAATATATACATGATAAAATTTGGGGGTTTGGTTTTTTTTGATTTTTTTCAAGACAGAGTTTCTCTATTTGTCCTGGCTGTCCCAGAACTTGCTTTATAGACCAGATTGGCCTCAAAATCAGAGATCTGTCTGCCTCTGCCTGCCAAGAGCAGGATTAAAGGCATGTTCTACCACCATCCTACTAAATGTAAAACAATCTTTAATTCAAGTGTTGGAAAGAGCCACTTGTTCCTCTTGGCCACTCAGCCCCGAAATAAACACACAGAAACTATATTATTCAAATCACTGCTTGGCCCATTAGCTCTAGCTTCTTATTGGCTAACTCTTAGATCTTAATTTAATCATCTCTATTAATCTGTGTATCACCACGTGGCTGTGGCTTACCAGATAAAGTTCCATCCGTCTGTCTCCAGTGGGGCTACATGGCTTCTCCCTAACTCCTCCTCCTTTCTCCCAGCATTCAGCCTAGCTTTCCCTGCCTACCTAAGTTCTGCCTTGCTACAGGTCCAAAGCAGTTTCTTTATGAATTAATGGTACAGAAGGAAATCCCACATCATTCAAGAATCAAGTATAAGGAAATTTATCTAAAGTCAGTTCACTAATACTAAGAGGTGCTAGCCAAAACCCTAAGTCTCAAGAGGAAATTCACCCTCTGTGCAGTATAAACACAAAAATATTTTAAAATAAATCATTCAAAGATTTAGCAGAGTTAGTTAATAATCAATTACTTGCTTCTTGACATTTTCTTTTAGTGAAAGGCTGTCACTGTCTTAGTCAGCTAACTGAAGTCTACCCTCAGTGTGTGCACTCACCCACACTGCCTGGTTCCCTGAGTGCACGCTAATTAAGTGCCATCAAGAATGAAAGAAAATTAGTTGTTTTTGCTGTCAAAAGCTCTAGTAAACAAGCTATGACAAGGATGCTGACTAAACTTTATTAAGACAGCAGACACTGACACAATTCTATCTGGCCTGAAGACCTTTGTGGATCCCGCCTTCCACCCAAAGCCCAGGGAGACATACAAACCAGCAAAGCTGTACTTGCACATGCTGACAAGGGTACTGCAAAGCATCTTCTTACTTTTTAAAATCTGGCTCTGCTCTCCACCCTTCTGTGAATTCCCTCTTTACAGTGAAACTCCCATCTCCAATTCTTCCTTTTTCTCTCTTTGATGACAAACAACTCACTGAGATGGTCTATTATGGTCGCCGGTGTTGTTCGAAATCCAATGCTCAGCTTTAACGCTTCTTATGTAACACAGCTGCAGTAAATTCCTCCCTTGCTCAACACCTTTGCTCACTGGCTGGTCTCTCACCTCCCTGGCCTGTCCATCTCAGCCTCCTCTTCACGTCCCCACCCCTCCTCTCCCATTCACTTTCCTGATGAGTATCATAGCTGTAAACCATTCACACATGACAATGCTGAGATCCCTATCTCTAGCCAGTACTTCTCCTCTAACCCATCATGTGTTCACTTGACATCTCTCTAGGATATCTAGATGACATATCAAATTCAACATGTCTAAAATCAAACTGTTAATGTCTCCACCCTCCACTGCACTTCAATAAATGCTAATGCTACACTTAAGCTGCACAGGAAAAAAACCCTTAATCACCTTTGATGTCCTTTCTGGGTTAGCCTACACTGTATTTATTAGCAAGTCCTATTTACACACAGCACCAAAACACATGCAGAACTTGTCCTTTTCTAGTGTGCTCACACCCCTCACCCCACTTATATGCGGCTCTAAGTATGTTCTCCAGCCTGGGCTGCTGCTGCTGCACCGGCTTCTCCTCCAATAGACTCACTACAGAAGTCAGACTCCTTTTAAAAAATAAATCAGAACACTGCATGCTCCAAATTCCCCTTTTTAACTTTCCAACAAGAGGAAGTTTTCATAGGCTAGAATGTCACCTAATAATTACAGAAGGACTGATTTAGTTAGGAAAAAATATTATATAGCCTTAGAGCAATAGTCAGAAAGCTAAAACTGCTGACTGAACCAAGGCAACCTCAAAGAATCCCCCACATATCTCTTCTAAATGACAAAGGGAAAACTGGTAACTTAAGACATAATCTTAGCAAAAACCTAAGTCAGTGCGACCAATGACACAATAGAACTGTACCCATTCTTGTAGGACAAAATGAAAACTACACAAAACTTTATAGTATTCCTTTCAAGAAGGAAGAAAGGATAAAAATTATACCATAAAGCCAATCCAAGAAACATATGACAAGCACAAACCAATGGACATCCTACTAAATAACTGCCTATCTCTTTACAAATTGATTATCAGGAAAATAAAGGAATTATTACATAGTAAAGTAGACCAAAAGAAATGACAATCAAATGTAATAAATGAACCTGGTGTAGCGCCCACTTTCTTTAATTTGTCATGATCTCATAAAGGACCAAATAATTAAATCTTGGGGTCCTGAAAAATCTGGCAAACATGAAAATTTTCTGAATATACAACAACCAAAAATTAATTCAAAATCAAATATATAATGAATCCAGGATGTTTCTAGCAGCCATCACGCAACACCCACATGATTGTTCTGGAGGATCTGACACCCCCTTCTGGTCTCCATGGGCACTGCATGAATGTGGTACACAAACATATATGTAGGCAAAACATACATATACATAAAATAAAAATAAATAAATCTTTTCTTAAAAAGAGTTCTCTAAAACACATTCAGAGTCAGCACAATCTTGATCAAAAGCAGAGTGAATTATATTGCAGATACTGACTCTAAAGACTGTAAGGACAACAAAACAATAAAAAACCAGCAAACCGTGAACACACTGTTAGAGAAGACAAAAGTTAGAGAACTGACACTACCTGAATTCAAGACTATACAACTACACCTATCAGGGTCATAAAGCATGGGTAAACAAAGAAACAAACATGTCAATAAAGCACAACAGAGTTCGAGACCCTCCAAATACAGTCAAATGACCTCTGATAAAGAAGCAAAGGCAAAGAAAGAGCAAAGAAGATTTTTCAATAAATGATACTGGATCAAATGGGTCAACATATACAAAAAGAATTATAAACAAAGTTATGCCCGCCACAAAAAAATAATTCAAAATGGATCACAAATCAAAACATGAAATGCAAGACTACAAAACACCTAGAAGATATAACACAGGAGAAATCCTAGATGCGATGAATATAGTAATAGCTACTTAGAACACCAAAGGCACACTCCAATTAAAATACTTATACTCCGTAAACAATGTCAAAAAATGAAAAGACCAGCGAAAGAGTACTTGCAAGTGATACATTTAATAAAGATTTGTTTTGTTTTGTTTGAGACGGAGTTTCTCTGTGTAGCCTTGGTTGTCCTTAAACTCAGAGATCCACCTGCCTCTGCCTCCAGAGTGCTGGGATTAAAGGTGTGAGCCACCACCGACCTATATGCCTCACTTTCTCACATCCTTTCGGCCATTATACTAAACTAGAAGGCAGAAGGTATATATATATATATATATATATATATATATATATATATATCTCCTCTTACAACTCAACAGTGAAAAAAATAAGCAATGTAACCACAAAATGGACTCCTTTTACAAAGAGGACACACGCAAGGTAAATAAGTAAATGAAAAAAATGTTCAATTCTTATCAGGAAAAGGCAACTTTATTACAAAACACTGGCAACAGCATTGCTGGAAAGGTGTGGTAGAAGAGGAACTCTCCTGCACTGCCTACGGGAATGAAAAAACGCTAGAAGAAAGTTCGGTAATCCCTGCAAAACTAAACATTTCCTTTCTATTTGATCCCACAATCATGCTTTCTGGTATTTACCCAAATGAAGTTAAAACTACATCCACACATAACAACAAAAGGACACAGGGCTGAGTATGGTGGTGTGCACCTGTAATCTCAGCACGCAGAAGGTATGAACAGGTAGCTCCCTGTGAGTTCCGGGACAAACAGAGCAACGTAATGAGACAAGTCTCACTTAAAAAAAAAAAATTGCACACAGATGTTCACAGTCTTCTATACAACCGCCAAAACATGGAATTTACCCAGATGACTTTCAGAAGGTGAAGGTAAATTATGGTACATCTAGAAATTAGAATATTACTTAGCAACAAAGAAAAATATGCAATAAGTCATGAAGAGATAGAGGAAACTTAAGTGCACATTACTAACTGAAAGAAATTATTATTTCTATTTATATGCTGTATGATTCCAAGTTTCTGTTTAATTTTGTCAAAACTGCTACTAAAAAAACAAAGAAGAATTCTCAGCTGGCGTAAGCAGTGCTTGCCTACAATCCCAGCACTCAACGAGTTAGCTAGGACTGTAAGTAAGAAGCCAGTCTGGGAACACAGTTGAGTCCGAGGTCAGCAAGATCCTGTCTCAAACATAAAACATTTTCTGAACTTATTTACCAAAAAAACTAAAAAATGATGGCATTACTCTTGAATGGTTTAAAAGTACTATATAAAATGTATCAAAATAAACAGACAAAATATAAGTATATCTTAATGGAAAATATATGGACATTTATTTCCATATTCTTAAAAGACTTTTACAATTTTCAATTTTACAAAGCAATTGAAATTTTTTGTTGTTGTTGTTTTTTGTTGTTTTACTTTCAATAGCTCCTCATCTGAGACCATTCATCCATCCTGAGACAGTCTACTGCAGCACACAGGACCTCTCATACTCCTACCAGGTGTGGTCCCCTTGAGCATCTACCATCTGTTTCCCTGGTACACATTTTCACAGAATGCCTACATGCCTCACTAAACCAGAAGACAGAGAAGGTCCCAATATCTGCAATCATCAAGGAATAGCTGGAAGAGAAACGACCAAAGAGAGGAAGGACATCATCTCACCTGTTTGTCTGTCTGTTCTCATTTCTATGGACATAAACACAAATCTGAGTAGCTTCAATTAGGTGTTTACCTGTTTCGAGCAGGAGACTTCCCTGCATCCTCTTGAACAGAGACAAGTCTTGTTGAAAGAGCACTATTTGAGGAGTCTGGATGAATCAAGCTATAAAGAAAATGAAAACACTGGGGTCAGTTGGGGCTGCAAGCAGATGCTTTCAAATTTTGAAGCAAATTATTTTTCCCTGCAAGAATGAGATTATATACAGTTCATTTTTGTCCTTTTCAGTTATTTGAGGCAAAAAGTGCAGTTTCACTGGGCAATGGTGGTACACGCATTTAACCCAGCACTCAGGAGGCAGAAAAGGCTATTCTGATCTATAGATCGAGTTCCAGAAAAGCCAGGGCTACACAGAGAAACCCTGTCTCAAAAAAAAAAAAAAAAAAAGAAAAGAAAAAAGAAAAAAAAATGATGTTTTAAATGTACGGAATATCAATAAACCACCAAATTTGATTGGATAAGTGATTTATAAAACTCATCTCCATACCACATATAGAAGATGAAAGTGATTTGTGTTTAAAAAAAAAAAAATCTGTGTTCGAAAATTCTATTCTCTGTCCCACAACTCATAAGAATAGTACCAAAGAGAGCAACAAACCAAGGTCCAAGAACAGGGCCCATTTCTTACCAGCTGCGTGACCTCAGATTCACTACGTAACCTTTCTGAACTTTAGCATCAACATCTGTCAAAAAAAGAAACAATTTCCCACCAAGAAGATGTGCTGACTAAAGGAGCATGGCACGTGAGATTTAACACAGCGCCCAAAACTGTCTCTGAGGCCCAGCCTCTGTCTTGCACGATGCTTCACTAAATCATACTTGGAAATTCTGAGACCACACAACTGGACCACACAGAAATAAGCATTGTTAACTAAAATAATAAAAAAGCTAAAGAATGTAATCTTCATACTGTTTTAGTAAATATAGAATCAATTAAGTTTATAAAATGTGTACAAAGTATAATATGACTGCGATGCTGCAAACATCAAAAGACCCATCAAGCACTTTAAGGAGAAGACTCAATTACCACTGTATTGAAGAGTCTATATCCCTACCCAGTACCATCTTTTTCCCTAATCTCAATGAAACAATTACTAAGAATTTACATTTACCACTGTTAGAGTAATGAGGCAAGTAACTAATAACTATAGCATTTGTATCTTCATATATAATTCTGAACAATATATAATTAGAATCTTAGTGCATATTGATTTGTGACTTTTTCTACTTATGACCCTGGGTTCAAATATGATGAATTAGTTATAATTCATTTCCTTTTAAATATGCGATATATACTAATTCTTCTCCTTGTTAAAAAGTAACTAAGAAAATTACTCATCCGAAGAATGATAGTTAAAATGGGTATGTGGTGCATGCCTTCAATCCCAGCACTTGTGAGGCTGAGGCAGGTGGGTCAGACTGGACCACAGAGTGAGTTCCAGGACAGCCAGGGCTACACAGAGAAACCCTGTCTCAGTCTCAAAAGCCAAAACAAAATAAAAAAAAGAAAAAAGCAATTAAAACTCTGAGATTGATGACATGGAAAAATTAGGAGTCATGTGTAAGAAGATAATTCTCCTAAAGAAAAGGAGTGATGGACCTTGGATTCCAGTGTAAACATAAACACGTCAAATACTCAAAACAACAACAATAAAAAAACCACTAACTGAATTTGGAAACAGACCCACATCTCAGGAGCACTCTGCTTTCTCTAAGAGGACTACATCAGGAAGTATTAATGTCAATGACTCTGTTGCCTCATCACCACCTACTGCAAGGATCATGCACCTGCCACGTATTCTGTTCTTGGTTTAATAGTAGAAGAGCAAATACACCTGTATAAAAGCTCTCCTCTCATGCACTTATATTTCAATGCTAATATAATCACCATCCATAATCATCTATGATCCTTCTGTACATGAACTGGAAAAAATAATAAACTGGCAGATAATAAGAAAAATAAATGTTAATGAAAAATACAGGTCACAGGACTAAGCATTTCTCATTTAAATCACATTATATTCAAGTGACAGTACCTTTGCCAGGCTAAATCATCCTCTAAAAATATGTTACGACTAGCTTTTCTACTCCCAACAGGTGTCCGAGGTTCACCTGGATCAAGTATAGACACAGAGCAAGTTGAATCTGAGAGAGCATTCAAGTCTTCCCCAATGGAATTACTGTCTGTGGAATGAGCATAACTTAAGGCTATTTTTCTACAGTATGTGCACGCTCGGAGGTCTCCTAGGAGGAAAAATAATAAGGAAAGGTATCAGTAATATATTATTTAATAAAATATTTTAAATCTTTGTGTTAATAGGTAGTTTAATAAAAGGAAGTGTCTTCAAGTAAAGACCACCAAAAAGACATTCCAAATAAGTGGAACACTTGGCTGAGTCTGCTGTATATGCTACATTTATTATTACAATAAATTCAACAAGCTTCTCAACTACTTCAAGTATCTGTAACAGTTAAGAAAATCTGACCCAATAATAACAGAAAATCGTGGCTGTAATATATTTTTTCATAACTGTATTCATGCAATGAGGGATCTATCAGAGGTAGTGCTTTCAATGAGAACAGATCTTAATATAGTGAATAACAACAGAAACAAGTTATTGTCCCTAGATAGTACGTAGGGATGAAGTAATGCTAAGGTCCCTATCATACAGCTCTGAAGAAAGGTCTCCAGAATAGAGCACATCTTTTTAACTAAAAAACTCCTGAGAATTTCATAGGTGAGAACTGTGCTTACATCATTTCCACCCCTTCATCTCCCCACTTCAGCTCATTCCATGTCCAACTCCTCTCAAATCCATGAGCTCGTCTATAATTATTGTCATACACACAGGCACGTAAGCACTCATGCATGTAAAACATGCAACCTGATCGATTTCTCAGAAAATTAGGAAACAACCTCCTCAAGACCCAGCAACAGCACTTTTGGGGATTGACCACAGGATGGTCAATCGTACCACAAGGACATGTGCTCAACTATGTCCATAGCAGCTTTGTTTGTCATAGCCAGAACCTAGAAACAATCTAAATGCCCCTCGACCAAAGAATGGATAAGGAAAATGTGGTACATTTACACAATGGAGTACTAAACAGCAGAAAAAAAATCACATCTTGAAATTTGCAGGCAAATGGATGGATCTAGAAAACATCATACTGAGTGAGGTAACCCAGACCCAGAATAATTGTCATATGTACTCACTCATAAGTGATTTTTTGTTGTTGTTGTTGTTGTTATTGTTTTGGGTTTTTTTGGATTTTCAAGACAGGGTTTCTCTGTAGTTTTTGGTGCCTGTCCTGGAACTAGCTCTTATAGACCAGGCTGACCTCGAACTCACAGAGATCAGCCTGCCTCTGCCTCCCAAGTGCTGGGATTAAAGGTGTGCGCCACCACCCAGCTTCATAAGTGGTTTTTAAACATAAAGCAAAGAAAACCAGCCTACAAATCACAACCCCAGAGAACCTAGACAACAATGAGAACCCTAAGAGAGACATATGTGGATCTAATCTACACGGGAAATAGAAAAAGACAAGATCTCCTTAGTAAATTGGGAGGATGGGGACCATGGAAGAGGGTAGAAGGGAGGGGAGAGGCAGGGAGGGGAGCAGAGAAAAATGTATAGCTCAATAAAATCAATTGAAAAAAAAAATTTAAAACTACAGCCTGATGTATTGAGATGTGTAGGGCTCAGGCAGGGCTGTCCCTGATGTATTGAGATGTGTAGGGCTCAGGCAGGGCTGTCCCTGATGTATTGAGATGTGTAGGGCTCAGGCAGGGCTGTCCCTGATGTATTGAGATGTGTAGGGCTCAGGCAGGGCTGTCCCTGATGTATTGAGATGTGTAGGGCTCAGGCAGGGCTGTCCCTGATGTATTGAGATGTGTAGGGCTCAGGCAGGGCTGTCCCTGATGTACTGAGATGTGTAGGGCTCAGGCAGGGCTGTCCCTGATGTATTGAGATGTGTAGGGCTCAGGCAGGGCTGTCCCTGATGTATTGAGATGTGTAGGGCTCAGGCAGGGCTGTCCCTGATGTATTCAGATGTGTAGGGCTCAGGCAGGGCTGTCCCTGATGTATTCAGATGTGTAGGGCTCAGGCAGGGCTGTCCCTGATGTATTCAGATGTGTAGGGCTCAGGCAGGGCTGTCCCTGATGTATTCAGATGTGTAGGGCTCAGGCAGGGCTGTCCCTGATGTATTCAGATGTGTAGGGCTCAGGCAGGGCTGTCCCTGATGTATTGAGATGTGTAGGGCTCAGGCAGGGCTGTCCCTGATGTACTGAGATGTGTAGGGCTCAGGCAGGGCTGTCCCTGATGTATTGAGATGTGTAGGGCTCAGGCAGGGCTGTCCCTGATGTACTGAGATGTGTAGGGCTCAGGCAGGGCTGTCCCTGATGTATTGAGATGTGTAGGGCTCAGGCAGGGCTGTCCCTGGAGAAGACTGACTGCGCTTCTCTCAGCAGCCACGCAGCTCTTCTTCTAGGAAGAGGGTCGGAGATTTCCTCCATCTACCAGCACAGTTTTTAAACTAACAGGAAATAGTCTTACACACAATATGACACATAGGACCAAACTAAAGGAAAAGCCCTAGTGAAATAGGAATGAAATGTTCTAGCTAGGAGTGCAGCTTAGTGACAGAGTGCCTGCCTAGAATGCATGAGGCCCTGAGCTCAATCTGTAACACACAAAAATTGTTCCTAGGACAAACAACATCCTTAATACTTTCAACCATTTTGTTGGACACAGTCCTGTCCAAAAATAAGTTTCATTTCTACTCATTTTTATAAAACACTGTTTGATGTGATTCCATAACAATCTGGTGTACTAAGAGGCAAAATACACCAAGTGCCACACGACATTTCAGTTAACAACCGACCACATCCTACAACAGTGGTTTGGTGAGCTTGTAGTGGGGCTGAAAACTTCTTACTGCCTGGTCCAAGAGCCATCATAATGGTTTAGGATGGCATATTATTCACATTTTTGCTGACGCTGACTTAAACTTACGGATCTGTAAGTCATGAAACTGTAACACACATGATCTAAATAACACTTGATGATAAAGCCAAGCGGTAGGGGTGCACACCTTTAATCCCAGCAGGCAGGCAAGAGGCAGAAGGATCTCAGTGAGTTTGAGGACAGCCTGGACAACACAGTGACACCATCTTAAACAAGAGGGAAGGTGTGCATAGTGGCACACACCTGCTGTGTGGAGGCAGAAAGAAAAGGCCTTCTGGTAGGCAGAGACACGAGGATAAGGCTACTGTGGCTCAAAAACCAGAAGGAAGGACATGTCGGGTGGACATGCTTCAATGACCACAATGCATTTGTGGTCAGTCTTGGCTCTCTCTCTCTCTCTCTTTTTTTTTTTTTCCAGTTTTTTGAGACAGGGTTTCTCTGTGTAACAGCTGTAGCTGTCCTGAAACTAGCTCCTGTAGACCAGGCTGATCTCGAACTCACAGAAATCCACCTGCCTCTACTTCCCGAGTGCTGGGATTAAAAGCATGCGCCCCCACCGCCCAGCCTTGGCTCTGTTTCTTGACTTGATAATTTTAGTTCTAATAATGAGATCATTCCCTGCCATTACAGAATTTATAGTTCACTGGAAGCAACTTACTAACTTACTATCTAGCTATTCCTAAGAATAGTCTATGATGTCCAAACAAGAACAAAAATTCCTAAGGATACATTTCTCAGAACTTAGCCTACCACTAAGTAGCAAGACAAATAGCTGTTCACTAAATAACATGTCATTTAACAATCATACTTCAATTATATTTTATCATTAATATTAAAAATCTGAAGTAATATAAATATTTCCGAAAGTTCAATATACATTTACCATAAATTACTACTAAGTATACTACTTTTTTGTTGTTGTTGTTGTTTTTCGAGACAGGGTTTCTCTGCAGCTTTGGAGCCTATCCTGAAACTAGCTCTTGTAGACCAGGCTGGCCTTAAACTCAGAGATCCACCTGCCTCTGCCTCCCGATTGTTGGGATTAAAGGTGTACACCACCACTGCCCAGCTCAAGCATACTACTTTTATTATCTCATTTTAAGATAACTATTATATAATTCTGTTTAATCAAATTATATATGCATATTAATCAAAATAAAATGTCACTAGTTTACTAATTTCTAACATTATAATTTAGCAGATGAAATTTATCTAAAATTTAAATAAAGACAAATATATTCATTTTAATCAGGACTCAGTAAACAATAACAAAATAAAGTGTTCTTTGGTTTAGGATAAATAAATGTGCTCTGATAATCACTACTGCTGTCCCAAACTTAACTACATTAAAGAAGCAAAACTATTCTCTGCAGAAAGTCCTTCAATGTTTACCACAGCAAAGACTAGATTATAAACTATTCTCTGCAGAAAGTCCTTCAATGTTTACCACAGCAAAGACTAGATTAGACTATAAACGATAAACTCCCTTAACCAGTCAACTATTAAAACTATCAAATCAAGAAACAGAGACAAGCCTGACCACAAAAGCTTTCATTCCATGAAGAATGTTCGTTCATCAGCAAAGGACTACTGGACACATGCCTAGAATTGTTGGAAGACAGACAAAGATTGATAAGACAGGTCCTTGCCTTGCAGAATCTATAGTTCACTGGAGACAACTAACACATATGCAATTTAAAAGCTGTATGATAAATGCAGATGTTCCTGCTATTACCACCAATAACAGCAGCTTAATTATCACTGATTCTCTATTATACTCATTGATTTTCCTTCTAATTTTTGAGACAATGTCTTACTGCATAGACAAAGCTGGCTTCAAACTCAAGAGAGATTCACCTATCTCTGCCTCTTAAGTGTTAGGCTTAAAGGTGTGTGCCAACACACGAGGGCAATTTATTAATTTTTCTACCCATCAATATTCCAGGTATTTTCCATTTTTTCTAGTGTGTCCAATATACATTTCTCACTTGCAAGGACTAATATTAAGGTTCGATTTGACTACACAAACTTTTGTTCCAACACTAATGTTGAAGCTCATTTGGTTTTGTTGTTTTTGCAGTGTTATTAACATTTAAGGCTGACTTTCATCAGACAGCAGTTAACTATCCACAGCATGACTCTCATCCGAATCAACTGAGGCCTCAAGTACACAGAGTTTCCAAAAGCCAAGGGAATTCTGTCTCAGCACAAAAACTGGAATCTTAGTTTCCAGCCTCCTGACTAACCCTTCAACTTAGACTTCACGGCTACACACGCACTTGAGAGACTCCTGACTACGGGTAACTATCAGCCCACCCATTAGTTCCCCTCTCTGGAGAAACTTGACTCTTCTGACTCAGTGTAAGAACGGTTGGTTTTATAGACACAGTAGCTTAGGGATAAGTTTTCTGAATTGGCTCCTCAAGTTTCTGAAATTGGTTCTCTAATTAGATTCAATTTAAAAGAATTAATGAAAGGGCTGGAAAAAAGGTTCAGTGGTTGACAGCGCTTTGTTGCTCTTAAGGAAGACCCAGGTTCAATTCCCAACACCATCCGTAACTCCAGTTCCAAAAGATCCAATGCCCTGTTCTGACATCTGTGAACACTAGGCACATCCACAGCACACATATACCACACGTGCAAGCAAAACACTAACACACATAAAATAATCAAAAAAAATTTAAAAAACTAAAGAAAAATAAAAATATTAGTGAGTATTTCCAATAGTAAAAAGAACACTAAGAAAGTGGTAGGGAAATAAAGGCTTGCAAGACAGTAACTCTAGCTCTTCTTAACTGAATACGGACAGTGCTCAGGTTAATACTTAACAAACCGCCTGTTAAAATAACAAGTATGAGATTAGTTCATTACTCCTAATGTACAACACAAAGTAGAAAAAAGGGTGAGCTTAGGGACTCAAATTCCCAGCTCATGAACCTTACAAACTGGCTAGGAATGTAGCCATACACAGGCCCTGGGTTCAACCTCCTGGGAATAACAATATAAAACAAATTAAAAAAAAAAAAACTGGACAGGAAGAAGTGCTTACTTTCTGGTGCCGTATTGCTTGCTAAGCTAAGATTGCGAAGAGTCTCAAACTTTAAGTAGGTGAATAAAAACAGTTAAAGTCTGGTGGTGGTGGTGCACACCTTTAATCCCAGAACTCAGGAGGCAGAGGCAGGCAGATCTCTGTGAGTTCAGGTCAGCCTGATCTACATGAGCTAGTTCCAGGATAGCCACCAAAACTACACAGAGAAACTCTGTCTCAGGGGTAAAAAAAATCAGAGTTAAAGAGAAGAGAATTGCTTATGACGACAGACATTAAAATAAGGAAAACTGAGTTGGAGACACGGCTCAGCAGTTGAGCACTGACCGCTCTTCCAAACCCGGGTTCAATTCCCAGCACCCACATGGCAGCTCTTAACTGGTTCATGACTCCAGTTCCAAGGAATCCGACACCCTCACACAGGGTTTGTTAAGTATTAACCTGAGCACTGACCATATTCAATTGACAAACTTCCATCCTTGAACTTTCTCCATTACTACAATTTCACTGCATTCCCAATGAAATAATATGAATAAAATACAATTTGACAAGGTACACTATCATGTAAGTCAAGGGCAACCTTTACTTTGTGAATAAAAACTCTATAGAAATATTAATTTAAAATCTACTTATCTAATAATATCTAATGCTGCTATAGGTTTTTACAATATCTATACTAGTTACTTATGAACACTCTCATCTCTTTTACTATTCAAATATAAAGTTCTTAAAATCAAAGCTGTATCACTTTTTCTCACTACAATACCCTGCCACCATAAATATAAAGCCCAAAATTAAAAAATGGCTTAATATTGGCCTTCTATTTAACTATTTCATAATTTGACTTTTAAATATGATACTGTTAAGGAAATACACTTACCTGTGTAGCCCATAAACTTTCCAGGGATTTCTTGATTACAACAACGACTGCAGAAAATCTGCCCACACAATCTGCAATGGTGTCTGCGCCTAAAGGTTGTGAATTTTTCACTGCAATCATAGCACTCTTTGCACTGGCTATCTGGCATCCAGTACTGCTTCAGGTCACTGTCCTACAAAAGCAAAAATGTGTGACGGCTTCTTGAAAATATGAGCATTAAGTTGTAATGACAAATGAAATCTTAGAAGGTATCTTTTGACAAGCTAGTTCTTCAGATAAAATGCAAAAAGGTTACAATAACCAACACAATCTTGAAGAAGAAAAATTGAAGTACTTACCTCACCCACTATTACAACTCATTCTAAAGCTACAATAACTCCAGACAGAGTATCAGTACAAGGACATAAAAATGGAACCATAGTGCAGGAAAGAGCGGCATGCCAACACTGCGTATGAACTTGATGAGCTATAATGCAGCCACTGAAGGCAAGGCTTTTTAAAATCAATGTATGGGGTCCAGCTGGATATCTATAGGGACAAAGGAAACCCGAACCCTATTTATGAACAAAAATAATAAAGCTTGTTGACAAAGCCACATGTGAGAATACGTACTAACACTGACCTAAAAAGCAAACACTGAAGCAAAATATAAGGGCAAATAAGAATCAAACTACACTTAAAAAAAATTAAGAATTTATGTGTAAAACTCTGGTACTCAGAATCAGAAGAAATGATAAACTTTCATTTAAGTGATCCGATGCCATTGCCAGAGGGTACGGCACGCTCTCCACGAGAGCATCTACAGTACCTGGCTCTTCCCTTCCATGATCTCCTTGAGGCGCTTCAATACTGTGCTGAGGCTTCGAAGCTGAACAGCTGTACGTGGGTCATGACCTCCAAAGGCTGGTTCTACTTTCCTTCTTGAGTCTGAGTCAGATTTAAAAAAATAACACTAATTGTTTTATAATTTCTAGTAACCATATCAAACATTATACATGTGTGTGTAATATAATACAATCATACCCTATTGTTAGCATACATGTGTTGATCTTTATCAAAATAAGTTGTTTCAAGTATGTCTTATTACACATAAACCACAATGTTAGTGTAGTTAAGTACTAAGAACTATCAGTCTTAAATGACTGATGATTTTGAGTGTGGAAATGGAATCATCACTTACATGCCCAGAATTTATTGATTTCTTGTACACTTTTTTCCCAACCAAATAAATAACAAACACCTGGGAGACATTGACCCAAAAAAAAAAAAAAGTAATCCCAGAGAATTATTTTAACTTGGTCTAAAAGTCAAATAAGTAAGCAATGGGACCAAACTGTTCTGTTCCATAGCAAATCATCAGAAAGAAATTGTATTGACCAGCCTTCCAAAGATCCCAGCAGGCTTTATAGGACATCCAGGATAATAAAATATGACCAGTGTCCAAGCAGATTAAAACTGCCAAAGCTTCGACCCTACTCTCCCCCAGCCCACACCCATACCGCCACCTTTTCAACCTTGCAATTACATACTGAAAGGGATCACTTACATTTGAAATAACAATATGAAACCAAATCTACTGATAATAAAACAAGTCCAAATTCTAGCTTTGTAGCCAAAGTATGACTACCATAGCTGTCAGCTATTCTTTTTTATTTAGACAAAAATCACAAGTGAAATTTCTATCTATACCTAGCTATAGCAATTTCAAACTCTCAGGGGAAAATGAATGTGGCTTGACAAAAAGATGAGCATTCTTGTTAGCTTAAGCACAATAATCTAACAACCTGTGGAGTCCCCCTGACATACATAATTCCTCCCTATCTCAGTTTTACTTCCTAAGGTTTCAGTAATCCTCGGTCATACTGTCTGAAAATAATAGTATCTGTCCTAGCTCAAGAAAAACAGATCACATTCACATGATTTTACTATAGTTACCACTGTACTGGTTAGCATTACTATTATTAATCTCTTGGTCTAATTTATAAATTGAACTTTATCATAGTGGGAAAAATTATATATTAAAGCTTTGAAAGTGCCTATGGCTTTAGATATCTACTTGGGGATCTAAAAGGTATGTCCAACAGAGAAGGTAAATTTCTATAAAATGGAAAAATAGCCCATCCTGAATCTATCTCATCATTTTCTGGCTTTGAACTTGCAATCCTCCTGCCTTATCCTCCGAAGCCACAGGTCGGGTTTAAGGGGATTGTAATAAGGTTAAGCTTAAACCTGGGTGATCTAGAATGAAAAGAAAATCCTCTACCCCATCTTCCAAATGCTTCCTTTCAAGATGATATAAGTTGGGCAGAGGCGGTTGCCCTGGAAAACCTGTGGGCATGACACAGTCCACTTTGTTCTTCAGCAAAAGCGCCTCTTCTACATCTGCTTCCCCCGCCATCCAGTCTCAACAAGCAATGAAACATTCTGCCAACCACCATTACACAGGTAGGGTTCACTCGAGTATTTCATGGAAGTCAGTGACCAGACAGGACACACCCGGGGTTTAGGGACACGTGGTTCCCAACACTGCAGCCTCCCTCTCTATGGAATCACTACCACTGCCCTTCCTCTATCACCTTGAGTTACTGAGCCGAACAATCTAATGGAAATAAACATAAACCACCCCAGTCCCTCAACTGAAGCACAGATTGCCAGTCCACAACCATCAGAAGAGCAGGAAAATGAATGGGATGCCGACATGGTAAACAAGCAGGCATGAGAAGCAGTGTATTCAGCCACAGACAGTGTGAACCCCAACAATGACAGCCCACCAATGGAGTTTGACAGTGTTCGGCAGCCAGTGGCATGCACATCACACTTTATTAGCATCCCGAGAATAGGTGCAGAATCCGTCTGTAAAGTTGGAACTAACCTGTGTTCTCCTGGGGATGTGGCAAAGTGTTCTCTGCTGAAACCCAAGCAAGCAATTAATCAAAATTCAATCAAGACAATCAGAGCTTGCATAATCAAAGTTTAAGGACATGATGAAGAGTATTTCAGGTATTGAAAAATTCTTTTATTACCCAAGTTTTACTTATTCTAGAGTACTTAACTATTCCAAGAAACAGGAAAACTGTTAGTATCTGACCTAGAAAGACATGAAGGAGATTCACACACAAAGAGGGGAAGACGCTGCTTTACCTAGTACTGAAGAGCGCCGCTGGAGCTCCTCATCAAGCTGCTTTTTATAAGGTACGGGCGACTTCACCGACTGTGTCCTCGAAGGGATGTGAGGGCTGGACCAACCTGCACTCGGAGATGGCTGCTCTCCTTGGCCCCCTTCTCCCCTCTCTGTGACAAAGGAAACTTGGTATCACTTGAAAAGCTAAGGTCCGGAGTTCAACAAGGAAGAGACAGATAAAATACTTGGGCCAGTATGTTCATGTATTAAATTCATAACTGAGGACCCTTTGCTCAGGTTAGAAGCTCCTAACCCCCTGTAACTATGCCCCCTCTTAACCTCTGCAGGCGATCACACGTGTACACAAGTCTTCATTTTTAAATACTTTAAAGAAAAGGTCCAAAACTGCTGTTCTAACACATTTCAAACAAGAAAGACAAACGAATCAGGATGGTAGCTCATGCCTGTAATCCTGGCTCTCAGGAGACTAATACACGAAGATAGCCTCTTGATCAAGGCTAGTCAGAGATATGCAGTGAGTTTCAGGCTAGCATAGGCTAACCACTGGACTCTTGTCTCAAAACAAACAAACAAAAAAACCAAAGGCAAACTGAGGGTACAATATGGCTGCTGTTTTTCTTAATTCTTCCTGGTTAAAAAACAAATAATATACTATTCAAGAACTCATTTCTAAATTATTTTTTCATTTGATATCACTTAAACTTAATCCAATAAGTGTTAAATCTCAACAGGCCTAGTGGCAGCTTCTAATTGTTTAAATGTATAAATCATGCACTGCTGTTTAATTTTATTGCTTTAATTAAAATCTGTGTTATTAACACCTCCCTCACAATAAGTTTCATTCTGTAAATTCATTAAGTTGAAGCACATTAACAGAAAAAATACAGAAAACTGCTTTCTCTTTAAAAAGAACCTCCTTAACCATTTTAAACTCAATTCACACAAATAATTAACCAGATTACAATGAAACGCTACCTTCTCCTTCTAAAGACTTGGTGACCTGTGATTAAAGCTACCACCTTGTATATTTCACCGCCTTGCAACAGCACAGCACAAGACTGAATGCAGAGAATCAAAACTGCATTTTCTGATTTTTAGAAATAAATCTTACCTTTGTTAAAACGAAAGAGATTTACAAAAGAACTGTACGCTGACTTGAAGGGGGGCTCATCCTGGTCAGGAGTCAAGGGTTTGAAGTGGGTGAGGTGAGACGGACTAGTGGGCGAGTGAGGCAGGTCACTAGCGGACTCCAGAGTCGGGGAGCTCTTATCATCTGTGGCCATTGCATGAGTCTACAAAGAAAGTGGGGAAGATTGAAAGACGTTCCTTAGAAGCCATCCGAAGAACAGGCAAATATCCACACAGCCCAACTGTGTGATAATTCGTACCAATAAACACCAAATCTATTTTCACATATTCAAACTCAGGCTTAAAAAAATACTACTTGAGCTGGCTCAGAGGTTAAGAAGAGCACTGGTTTCTCTTCCAGAAGTCCTGAGTTCAATTCCCAGCAACCACACAACCATCTATATGAAATCTGGTGCCCTCTTCTGGCGGGAGGCATACACGCAGAGAGAACACTATATACATAATAAATAGATCTTTAAAAAAAAACTGAGGTCTAGATGAAAAAATCCTCAATACCTTTAAAAAAAATTATGACTATGTGGACAAGCTAATTTAAAATATTACCATTCTAATTTTTTTTTTTGAGACAGGGTTTCTCTGTAGCTTTGGAGACCATTCTAATTATTTATACAATTAAAGTTAATTTAAAATTTGCAGGTAAGGCATAAATGTGAGCAGATGAAAAACTTTCCCATCATTTATATCATACTGTACAAGGTTTTTTGGGGGGGGGGGGAGACAATCAACACCTTTTAAAGTTATAGGGGAAACTGACTTTATATAACACAAGCTATTGAGCCTTATTCTACTTATGTATCTCAAGAAAAAAAAATTAGTCCCCTTTTGACACATCTACACAATCTGAGCAATTAGCTTTTGGCAGTACCTGTGACACATGAACTTGGGATTTCTATGATTCCCCCCACCCCCAGCCTAAACTCCTAAGATACTGAGGTAATGACCTTCCTAAAAGTATATCACCAACCGGAAGGCACAGAGAAGCCCCGGGGCTTTTTCCTTCCTTTAGACTGAGTTAAGTATCCTTTGCTGTGCCATCATTAGGGTGCTACACTGTGTAATCTACACTGCACAAAAGTGGACATTACACACTTCAACACAGGTCTTCTCCTTCAAAATCGTATCTACCGGCTCACTTTATTTATCAGTACTCCTGGAAGTCACATAAGCGAGCCTTATTTCTATGTTTAACAGCTGTGGCAACTAAGGTACACCAAATGTAAAACGATTTTCTTTGGGTGGATCAGACACAGTAACCAACCTGTGACTACACTCCAAGTCCTGTCACAACATCCTCAACAGCCTGCTAATGATCAAAATGACTTTTGCAGCTCTTCACAGACTTCCAATTCTAGCTGTGTTCTCTTAATACTCAACATTTTCCCAGATTAGTAATGTCACTGATAATTTAAAAAAGCAAAAATAAAACCACTGGCTTTGATGGGATTTTGGCAACAAGTGCTTACTGGAAGGGATGGGGAAGAAAGGAGCAGAGAAAGGCAATGGAGTAGGGGAATAAAAGAAAGGGAAAAGAGAAACAACGGGGAAGAAGAACATCTAGGGTCACGTTCCACTGGGAGACAAGGCAAAGCATTGTCTAGTTGGGGTTGCTATTGTTATGATAAAACAATAACCAAAGTAACTTGGGGAAGAAAGGTTCCACATCATTGTTCACTGTCAAAGGTGGTCAGGATAGAGGTAGGAACCTGGAGGCAGGAACTAAGGCAGAGGCCATAAGGGAGAACTGTGCTCACCATGTGTGCTCACCATGTGTGCTCACCATGGCTTGCTCAGGCTGCTCTCTTATAGAACTCAGAACCACCAGCTCAGGGATGGCATCACCCACACTAGTGCCTTCCCCATCAATCACTTAGAAAATGCCCTCCAGGCTTGCCTTAGGCCCATCTTCTGGAAGCATTTTCTTAATGGAGGCCCCCTCCTCTCTGAAGACTCCAGCTTGTGTCAAGTTGACATAAAACTATAGTGACAATTGATGCTCCAGCATAAACGGGTAAGTTGATGACTGATCAAGTAAAAATTCAAGGTTTTGTTCTGTTTCGTCTTACAGACCACCAGAGAGAAGGATATAATGGCAATAAAACCCCTCAGTTTCTAAATACAACCTATTCCAATTCCACAAAAGTACCAACAAAAGCACAGTGACCAATATGTGTAAGGAGTCTATGAATAACTTCTAAAGGTCATCCATAGCCAGAACTTTCATTACGCTTTGAACATAAGAAGGTAAAAATTAGCATGAAAGTGCACAGCAAGTGCTATCTCTAAAACATAAATACAATCACATAGACTTAATCTCAGTAATTACATGCCACCGGCAGCCAAAAAAATTACAACTCTGATTTTTAACAGCATAATAACTATTTATGCTGTAAAGCATGGCTCTTTCTGCATACATAATTAGAAATATTAACCTACTTATCCAACAACTTCTGCAATGTCCAAAACTGTTTGTCTCTTTCTTTTCCAAGGAGAGAATGATATATGCAGACTTGCTACACAGTATCTTGGTGAAGCAAACCAGAAAACTAGTCCACTATTAAAGTGTAGAAAATAACTTGATTCATCAGCCCATATGAAAACTTCAGTAGAAAATCCAAATGTCACCCTAGTCGTTTTCTAGGGTCAGTTTTTTCCTTAAGTACAACTCTCAAACATTATCAGGGCAGGACAAGCAATGTTCACTTCCATGGAGAAAGGGTTTTGGGACTGAGCAGCGGTAGCACAGCTTTAATCCCAGCACTGGGGAAGCAGAGGCAGGCAGATCTCTGAGAATTTGAGGCCAGCCTGGTCGGTCTACAGAGTGAGTTCTAGGGCAGGCTCCAAAGATACAGGGAAAACTTGTCCTGAGGGGAAAAAAAAGAGGGAGAGTTGTTTATTTTTGACCTGAGCACAACAGAAACACTAAAGAAATCTCAAAAAAACTCAGGAAATTAGTCTTGCTTCTAAAAAAAAAAAAAAAAGCAAAAGCCTGACCTTTGTCTTTGTCACAAGCCTGAACCTAAGAGAAAGAAAAAAAAAAACTAAGAATCTCTCCCTCCGTCTTTATGGGGGTGGGGGGAAGTGAGAGGAAAAGTGGGAATACTGGAGAGGATTCAAATAAATGGGAAGAAGATGGTGTGAATTGCTATGCGCCTACCTCTACTGTCAATATACCAACACAGGACGCACCGAATGATCAGCCTTTATCATTTAACACATAACACACAAGATACACAGCAATGCCCTGCTTTGTACAGAATCTGCACCTTCCCTGAATGTCTTAAGAACATAAATAGGGCAGAAGCCCCTAAATTCCTAACTGCGTCCATCGAGTTTGATTTTCATCCTTTCTTGGGAAAGGGGGATTGACTGTTGGGAAATCAAGTCTCTTCCTCAAAAGAGGCAAAGCTGAAGTGAAAAAGCCTCAAAAGTCAGCGTTTAATCTGATGGACACACGCCAAGTTTGGAATGGTTTCTGCGGGTCAGAACTTTCTTTTCCAGCCTAGAGCTGCACCTCTAAGACTGAGCTCACAGGCTGAGGAAGGGAAGGCGGTCCCCCTCCGAAATAAGTTCGTGCATCAGGGAAACAGAGGGGCAAGAGAACTTTCAGCGTGTCAAGGAAGCCTCTGCGGGAGGTGCCCAGCCAGCTCCCGTCCTGTGCCACCACACAGGACCAGCAGGTATTCAGGACCCAGACGGTCCCCGTCGGGTCTTCCGCGCTCCCCTGGCCGAGCCTCGGCCGCAGAGCCTCGGGCCCTCGCCATCCCTCCCGCCGCGCTCGGCGCTCCACGCCGGCCTTGCTCCCACTGCGGGCCCCGCCGGCCCACGCCGCGACGCCTCCCTTACCTTCGCCTCCCGCCCCGGCCCCGCCGGCCTCCCGCCACCCCGGCCTCCGCTTCACCCTGCTGCGCCCGAAGCCGCCGCCAAGAGCAACGCCGGCTTTCCCAGGCAGCAGGCGGTGGCTCGGAGAAGTCGAGAGGTTTACGCGGTAGCTGCGGCTTCTCGCTTCCGCCCACCGCCGCAGGCTCCGCCCAATCTCCGTCCCAGCCAATCCACAACCGTTCCTGCGTGAAGACTCCTCCCACTCCTCCCCGCCCTCCGGACCTTCCGATCAGATGTCCAGACAGAAGGAATCGAAGCCAGAGAGTCTCGTCCTAGGCCCCCCTCGGAGGATTTAAGGCGGCCTCAGCCTTCCCGAAGGAAGCGGGGATGTCAGTGCACGTGAGCATCACGCGTGCGGGTCACTGGGTGGCGCGCGGGGCACCAGACGTCAGCCCAACTGCAGTTACCGTAAGTGTTCAACACTGTGAGCACCCACAATATGGGACCTGCATTCACCTGAGTAGCCCAAAGCAAAGAGGTGAATGCTTTCAGGATACTTTCAGGACTCCGCTGGATCAACCTCGTTACTTCGGAAAAATGGCTTATTTCTCTAGGCCTCCGACCTCTGGTGGGAAAAGGCGGGTTGATTAAAGGCGGCATTCCCTCCATGGTTTCTCTTTGTTGTTCTTTTGAGGATGAGGTAAAACAGTGTTTGTAAAGCAGTCGGCACAGAGCCCGGCCCAAGTGATGTTGACTGTACCGTTTTGTTTTTTAATTCGGGTTTCCTGTTGCAGATAAAGTTATCAAGCCCCGACTTTCTCAGCTTGGTATGAACATGACCCGTTATTTTTGTCCTGATAAAAAGTGCTGTGCAATTAAAAGTAGAAAACAAGCTAAAACCTGCTCGCTGAAAAAAGTGGGGCTTTGCAGGGGAGCTTTGAAAGGAATCCGAAGGTGGTGTTATTTGACTTCGAGTCTCGGGATCCTGTTCCTGGAGAATTTTGGCACATCAACCCATCTTTCTCCAGCTGGTCTTTTCAGCCCTGGAAGGTATCATCAAAACCTGACGCTAGGGGCCGCTACAGCCCCAGGTGGCTCCTGAACTCGGCCCTTGGTTTGTGTCCTCAGCGCCCTCTCTCCGCCTTTGGGGTTCATTACTGCTGTACCTCTCCACTCCCGGGTGTCCTTGTCCCGGGAGAGTTTTATCCATGCTATGGGCTATCGTGGGTGCAACCCCTAACCTAACCAACTCCACCACACATCTACCTGCAACCACATCTATCTGGGCCTGCCTCCCTCCTTCATAGATCATAACTTTTTCTTTACAGCTTTATATCCCTGGGGGCTTGGAATGTCTCCTCAACCAAATCTTTCCCGATAACTTCTTCCTCAGCCCATAAACATGAACATGCATCTTCCTTTAAAAAAAAAAAAGTTTCTTCAAACCCCTTATCTGGCAAAGAAACACCATTTTAACTAACAGCGTGTCTGTGTGTGTGTGTGTCTGTGTGTGTGTGTCTGTGTGTGTGTGTGTCTGTGTGTTTTCTGTGGAGGTGACCAGGAAGGCCGGAGGAGTCCGATTCCTCTGAAGCTGGAGTTATAGGAGGTAATGGGCCCCCAAATATGAGTGCTAGGATTCAAACTTGGGTCCTCTGCAAATGCAGCATGTGTCTCTAATATCGAACCATCTCTCCAGTTCCTCAACTAACATTTTCTGAGTCATTAATTGGACCACTCTTGTGTGGGGTAGGAAAGAATCAAGTTGCCACCATTATACTGTCTTCCCCAGAAGTTTCCACTCCCATATCTACATTAACATGTGATGTGGGATTCCCCTCTGTGTGCTGTGAATATCATTGGTTAATAAAGGAACTGCTTTGGGCCTATAGCTCTGCTATAGGGGAACAGAACTAGGCAGGGAAAACTAAACTGAATGCTGGGAAAGAGAAGGCGGAGTCAAAGAGAAGCCACGGAGCCTCCTTGGAGACAGACACACTGAAACTTTGCTGGCAGACCACGACCTCATGGTGATGCACAGATTAATGGAGATGGGTTAAATTAATATGTAAGAGTTAGCCAATAAAAGGCTAGAGCTAATGGGACAAGCAGTGATTTAATTAATACAGTTTCTGTGTGATTATTTCTGGGCTAAGCAGCCAGGAACTAACCAGCAGCCTCCTTACAACAAGCATGCACTTTAACGTCTGTGGAAATTTTGATTTCTCTTTGGGGGAAAGAAACCAGGTTAGGTTCTTACCTCATACTAGACATCAAAAATTAATTCCAGGTGGATTTCATCTGTAAAGTCATTTTGTGAATGTCTATAACTACCCTCCCCATGAATGCCCATGCAAGGACTTATTCTTGCTGAGCTGGAATATAGTATAGAGCCACATGCGTGTATACATTGTAATTACTTACACTTTGCTGAAAAGCCACAGCTTTTCCTTATCAATGTCAACTTCTCTTTGTCTTTCAGCTGTGCCCTAATTCAGCACTGTCACTGTTCCATTTAGGGAAGTTGCCCCTGATTTGGCCAATAGGAGCCCCATGAAAACTCGTGGGAGGGTTTGCCATGCTTCCATGACTTCCTGAGTATTTGCTGTTTGTTTTGTATTTCCCTCTTACTTACCTCTGATCGCCATCCCCTAACAACTACTTTTCTACTCTCTTCTCCTAAGATTAACTTTTTTTCCTACACATGAGCTCTTATAGGATTTTTCTTTCTGGTGTATTTCACTTAATAAAATGTTCACTTAATACAGGTTACGTATGTTGCCACAAATGATATTTACTTCTTTTTGAATTTGTATTTATTGTTTTTCAAAGTCATGCGGGAGCATACACATGTTTGTGCCCGGACTCATGGAGGCCACAGATCAGACTCAGATGTTCCTCAGTTGCCACATGCCTTGTTTTTGAGACAAGGTCTCCCATTGGTCTGGAGCTCACCAGGGAAGCCATGCTGGCCATGGAGAGAGCCCAGGGACAGGCCTGTCTTCACTACCCACCACCATGACTTATGTGTGTTCTGGGGATCAACTCAGGGCCTGGACTATCACTCCAACCTATTATTTTTCTTTCATCTTTCTTTTTTTGAGGATGAATAGTACCTTTCTATGCAAATATGCCACATCTTCCTTTACCCATTCTTCCAGTGACGGGTACTTGGGTTACTAATTCATATTAACTGTTGCGGGGCACGCTACACTGAAAATAGAGGTGCATGTATCTGTCTGTTTGACACACTCATTTCTTTTGTGCATATACACTAAAGCAGAGTCGCTGAATCATGTGGAATTTCTATGTTCTGAGGAGCCTGAATATTGTTTTTCATAATGGCTGCCCCAGTGTCTGCTCCCACCAGCAGTATGCACGAATGCTCATTTCCCCATTCCTTTGTTAAAACTTGTTATAGTAATAGCCATTCAGATGGACGTGAGGCTGTGGTACCTCTGTGTGACTTTAATTTACATTTTTCTGATAACTAGTGATGCTTATCTTTTTATATGACTGAGGAGTGTTTGCTTTTTCCTACCCTTTCTTCAGTTTATAACATTCTTAGTGTTTTTCACTGTTGAGTTCTCTGTAAACATTGGATAATGGTATCTTGCCAGATGTATGGTTTTTAAATATCCTCTGTCATTCCCTAGGTTGTCTCTTCGGTGTTGTTTTTCTAACTTTTCAGAGCATTTTATTTTTATATAATCCTATTTGTCTGTTTTGCCTTTCTTCCCCAAACTTTGGATTATACAATATAAAAATAAAAATCACATAACATGTTGAAGGCACATATTTGTTTTCTGGCCCAGCGGACTCATTTCCAACATTACCTGCCCAGTGCCTATAATAAATAGATGTCTATGAAGCCTTGCTTCTCTTTGGTAGATAATGCAAAACTATTTGGTTTTTTGCTTTTGTTTGTTTGTTTAGTTTGGTTTGGTTTTATTGAAAGACTCACTTCTAGATAGAATATCATGAAATTACCACTCTTTCATACTTTATGTGAAAGCGTAAATGGGTATATGCTGCTGGCAAGATGAATTGGTGGATTTAATAAACACTGTAAACATGTTTATAGTCTTTGATCTAACACTTAACAGTTCCATTAGTTGAGCATAAAGAATTGATACAAGCATTTTAAACAAGCAAGATAAAGGAAGATGTGTTTTACATTGTTATTGGCACAATAAGGAAGTAAAACAGAAACAACCAACATGAACGACTCCACAGTAACAGACTCAGATCCACTCTGCTTAAGACAAATGGCCTGCAAGTATGCCAAATGCTGGGAAAGTGTGGAGCCATCAAAACATAATCATGTTTTCTAGCCAAGTATAGGAGGAGCCTGTAACCCCAGCACTTGGGGTGTAGAGGCAAGGAGAGCAGGAGTTCTAGACCAGCCTCAGCTACATAGCAAATTCAGTGCTGGACTACACGAGACAATCTTTATTAAAAAGTGTTTTCCTCGCAATCATCTTTCTTGTCTCCCTTCTTATATCTTCCACTCACAATTCGGCTTTTTCTGCACCACGGCTCCTATCATAATCAAATTGGAGTCATCCTACTAAAATTGCATTCATGAGGTCTTCCTACTTGCCAAGTTATTTCCGGGCTCTGTCATCTTTCTTGGTACTTCTTCCTTTTTATAAACTTTCTGGGCTATTGGCTTTCACATCAGACTCTGGGAGTCTCCAACCCTAGTTCCTCATTCTTTTTGGCTGGGAGGCTCCTATCTTCCATGTGACCCTTGAAGATTTAGACATGCCTCAGGGTTCTTGCTGGTAGGTTTTTCTCCTGACAGAATTTCTGGATGAGCTCCCACACCGTCTTCAGTGCTGGTAGTAGACACCAGGTTCATATTTCCTGCTCAGCCACCTCCTCTGAGCTCCAGATGCACGTGGCTAGCTGCCTCCTGGACATCCCCACCTTCCTGTTACACAGCCTTTCACACTCAACAGTCCCGGAGTTTCACTCATTATCCAATCCATGCCCATATTTCTTCCTTGTTGAGGGGTGTTCTATCACCCAAACCCCAAGTGTAGCAGTCACCTTTGCTGTTCTCTTGCCCATAACCTTCATGGATAAGTAGTTGTGCTCATCTGAATGTAATTGGTTGACTACCTGTTCCCTGCAAGATGTAGCCAGTACACCACCATGTTCCCTGCCATGATGATAATGAACTGTAAGCTGCCGCCCCAATTAAATATTTTCCTTGTAAGAGTGGCTGTGGTCATGGTGTCTCCTCACAGCAATAAAAACCCTAAGACAGAAGTGATCAAGTCCTGCTATGTGCCTTCATTCTGTTTAAACCCTAAGACAGAAGTGATCAAGTCCTGCTATGTACCTTCATTTTGTTTAAACCCTAAAACAGAAGTGATCGAGTCCTGCTATGTACCTTCATTTTGTTTAAACCCTAAGACAGAAGTGATCAAGTCCTGCTATGTACCTTCATTTTGTTTAAACTTATATTGCACATATACGTATGCATGCCTGCACATCTCCGTACACATGCATGCCACAGCACACATGTGGGGGGCAGAGGACAGCTTGCAGGAGCCAATACTCTCCCGTTATGTGGGTACCCAGGACTGAATGCCTTGACCTACTGAACCACCTCGCCAGTCCACTACCTCGGGGTTTTTTGTTTGCTTGTTTGTTTGTTTGTTTTCAGATGGCCAAAATGAAAATACAGTAGCTTTGGATTTTCCTGGGAATCCCATCATCTGAATGAGTGTCTCATAGCCAAACAGATGCTAAAGACATTTTCTGACCAGGTTTCCACTGATGTTTGCAACAGTTTTTGCGCCAGACAGTATTCAAATATTTAGATTCTTATGTGTAAATGAAAACAAACCCGTCAAGCCTTGTGCACGGAAATGCAGTGAGCAGAGTGAATAGAAGCGGTGAACTCCGTGTTCACAGTTTTAGCTGCAATGCAACTTCAGCCGAACATCAGTTGTTAACTGTTGCTGAATGGTG